AAACTGGAACAGTAGATTCTGAAACTGCTGATGTTGTAAATGGAACAGTAGATCCAGAAACTGCCATTGTAGATGTAGATGTGGAATCTACTGTACTTACAGATTGTGTTGAAGTAGATGTAGAGTCAGAGTTCAAATCTGATTCTAATTCTGTACTTGCACTATCAGTTGTACTTATAGTATTAATGGTAGTTGTGGAGGTTGTAGAAGTTGAACTTGTCTTAACAAATTGTGATGAAATTGGAGGTATTCCAAATATTGGGAGATTAAAGTTTGGTAATGTAATTAATGGTACAGATCCTAAAGCAGATGAAATCACATCTGTTGTTCCTTTTGTTAAATTACCAACTGCTTGATATGTTGAGTTGATTGCATTAAAACTTTCCAACATGCTGCTTTGTGCTAAATATGTTAAGTGTATAAGTAAATCTGGACATGTAACATTTGCTACCAATTGAAGATCTTTATTCAAACATCTAGCTACTCCAAACAAACATAAATTTTCGTATGTTTCTGCATCTGTAGCACATACTGGTGCATATTCTCTTGGACAAGTAATATGACATGGATTTGTTTTTTGAGTTAGTTTATCCCCAAATTGTCTAAATATTCCACTAGCTGAAGCTCCTACTATTAAAGTTGCTAAACTCAATATATTCCTTTTATTCAACATTTCTCCACAATTATATGTTACTTGAGTTCAATTTCGAAATTTACTTTTTTTGTATTTATATTTTTAATTTAATTTTATCTTAAATTAATAATGAATGATCCTGTGATGCATTTTAATGTACATAATTTAATTTATAAGTATTTCTTATTGAGACAAACTGTTAATTCAAAACGGTATGTCTTCTTTTATATTCTTTATTCTGTACACGAATGCGAGCATACTTTATTTTAAAAATTTATCATCTCTTTTATAACTTTTTCCAAATGTTGAAAAAACTCTCATTTCGTTTCCTTTCGTTTCATTCACTCCTTCCCCAAATTAAGATTTAACTTATTTTGTAACTTTTAATATTTGAATTATAATATCCTTATAAAATATTCTCTATATTTTCACTATTCCCCTCCTACCTCTAACTACCCAACCTTTGATTTTAAATTGATTTTTCATAAATAATTGTGCATGCATTCAATGACATTTTTGCGCCACATGCACTGCATGCATTGTTTGTGTCCATATAAAATACATGTAAAAATACTAATATAATATATTTCAGTAAGTTACAACTGAAACAAAGTTAAAATATTAACCGTGGAATTATATATATATATATATATATATATATATATATATATATATACATATATAGCTTTTAGTAGTTTTTGTTCTAAAAATCAACTAAAAATTTTTTTTTTGTGTTAGAAAATTATTACATTGATTAAAATCCATATTATTTAAAATAGTTGTATAATTAATCAAATATATTAGCTTTATATTATTTTTTCTTTACTTTCTCAATAATTTGAATAAATAAAATTTGGGCGGTAATCTACTTATTACTAATAATGATGATCATTTTAAAATAAAGAATCAACTAAAATTTCAAAAGCTGACAAAAGAAAAAGCTATTAAAATTAATGGAAGAAGTAAGTTAACCATTTTTTCTTATTGAATATGAAGAACAAATGTATATAATGATTATTTTTTCTTTATATTTATTATATTGTTGATTCTAATTCACTTTAAATCATTCTTACTTAATTTACTCTTTATTAATGATAATTATAGAAAAAACACATTCAAATAATTCCAGACTCAGTATCTTCTATACGAAGATTATTAAAAGATATGAAGGTAGATTCATATGACCCTAGAATTATTGATCAACTACTAGCTACAGCTTTTGGTAGGTTTCAAAATGATTTATAATGATTGCAATACCATTCACATATTTAAAATAATATAGCATTTAGCCAAGACTTAATAATTAAATCTAATGAGTATGCAAGAATTGATTCTAGAACAAATATTCAAGAATGCGATGTCAAAATTGCTATTTCAGAATACTACGAAACAAGCGTAGCTAATCAAAACTCTAATTTAGCAAACAAAACAGTCTCAAGTGAAATTAATTCTTTACCTTTACCTACATTTCCAAATAAAGGTGTTTCAAAAATTTGGCTACCGACAGAATATGAAATGTCAATTACTCCAAACTGGAACCAAGATTTAACTAACTTGAATAGCATGAATGACTCAGAAACTGAAAAGATGAACAGAGATAGTGATATAGATATTGGTGAAGATATTGACGATGATGATGATGATGATGATGATGATGATGATGATGATGATGATGATGACGATGATGATGATGATGATGAAGGTATTGGCAGTAATAGCAATAACATCAACATTCGAAATGTCTTGAAAAATAACAATTAATTCATTTCAAATTTAAGGCTTTGACCTTCTTCAACTCAATGTTGCTTTCCAAGGAAAGGTAACAACAATGACATATAGTATATTCTGAATCTATTTTATATTGATTTTTTAATAATGTTAATATATTTTAATTTTATTAACTTTGCATTTGAATGAAAAATCTCTTATTACTTACCTTTAAGTTTACACAATACTTGAATATTGGACTGCTTAGGCTTGTCGCATCTATAACATCTAAATTTTTGTTCGTATTAATCATTTATATTTATTGAAATGTTTATGGATTGTTAAACAGAAAATCGAACCAATCCCAGAAATCCAAATCCACTGTGAATAAAACTTACAAAAAGTGAAATAGCTTATTCTTATTAATTTTAAACTTTAAACCATCCAAATTCTTATCCAACTCATCCTTTTGAATTGATGGAAACTTCTTTAATTGTTTTATTGCCTGGTTCTTCTCTCTGGTACTACTTGTTGACTTTTTCAATATCTTCACTAGTTCAGACTTTGATAATTGTTTGCCTTTTTCTGACATTTATACACATTTATATCTCTTATAGTATATAAATTTCAATTTTTATTATCAGAAAAAAAAAATAATTATAAACAAAAAAGGCGCCACATTTACATGCGTTAATAATTACATTGTGGCAAAGGTAAAAAAAAAGAAAATGCAAAGTTATACTCCTTATTCTCTAGTATTATCTTAAAGCTCAATATATATTTAAAATAACTCAGGGAATTGTGCTTAGCCTAGTAAACCTACAAAAAACTACTATATTAGTTTTTACTTAGTTATTTCAAAATAAAAATTATTTTTATTATTACATGTTTAATATATAAAGTAATAACAATGCAGGTGAACCCGCCATTCTGGAATGATACTAATCAGAATTTTCGGTTATTTCAGATTCTGAAATTTCTACAAATTCTGAGTTTGTTCTTTCATCAGAAGATGAGTGAGGTGAGCGGTTATGGAGATAATCCAATGAAGAGTTTGAATCTGTTCCAGATATATTTTCGTCATCATCATCTTCTCCCATAGAAAAAGAGATATCATTAAAGGCTTCTTCCCATAGTTGTTCTTTTAGTGACTCAGAAGTATTTGTAGAGTAAAGATAAGAGTAGCTATAATTTTCAAAATCTATATAATCTGAAGATTCTTTGTTAGTGAAATTTAATGTTTCAAAAGGTGAGTAGTAGTCAGAATTTACAGGATCATTAAGTAAAGGGTTATTTATATTTATATTACAAGGGCTAATCCACGTATAAATTATGGACTCAAGCCACAAAATGTTGATACATGGTATTCCTTTTTCTTTTGCATGATGATATTTTTCTGTATATAATTGCTCACATATGCAGTGGGTTGCAAGCAGTTTCTCCGAACTATTTTTGGTGTTATTATCTAATAAACTTGAACCAAAATACCTACACCACTTATATAAATCTGAATCCACAAAGTTGTAAAAGAATTTATTATTGAATCCAGTGAACTGCAAAGTACAATTTTTAAGAACTTCTTTCCTCATTATCTTAATTATATTTGAAATATTTGGTGCCTCCTTGTAAACCATTTGGATCAAAGAATCCTCATCTTGGAACTCACTTTTCTTGCTTAAAGCTGCGTCAAACTCTTTAAAGTAGGCATCATGAATAGCTATTAGTAACTTTTGGAATATCAACAACTGAAGATCTTTTTCAGATTTAATGATTTCCTTAATAATATCAATAGAAGATTGGTCTTTAGCCATGTCCTTATCAATTTTATGGCTATCTACTTCATTCTTTTCTTTAATATCATTCTCAGCTTCTTGATCACTTCTTGTCCTTTTCTTCTTAATTAGCTGACTCCACTTATTATTGGTTCTGATTTGTGAGATATACCTAGAAAAACTCCCAGAATCATTTGGAATTGAATTGCTTGGGAAAAAGTTATATGGATAAGCCTTTAATAATGAATTAATGTCACTCCAGGCTTGTTCAATATCATCCAAAATTACCAAAGTACGATGGTCATACGGAAACAAAGTGTTTAAACTTTTAATTGAAGTATCTTTAAAACCATTATTTCTATAAAATATTCTTTTTGAATGAAAAAAACGTAATTCTGGATCCAAAATTCTAAGTGAAGTATATGCATGGTACTCTGTTCCCATTGTGTACATATAGATTTCATACTTTTCTTTAGAAAGAGTTTTTAGCATATTAATTACTCCTGGTCTTAATTTGTAGTAACCAAAACTCCAACTTGAACTAATTCGTGGTTTTTCTGTTCCTGAATTTATATAGTTCCCAAATGGAATACAAAACACCAAACTCTCTAAAAGTTTAAAATAAATCTGAATTTTTGGGTCTGTCTCATCAATATAATGAGGAATCACATCAATTCCCTTTGGAAGTAGTTCAGTATTTAGTGATTTACTTTCAAGCATTACAACACTACCACAATATTTATTATAAATTTCTTCAGTTATTTCATTTTCCATAATCTCTTTAATTGAAATAAATTCTTCCTTTTTCTTATTTTCTGGTAGGTTGGAAGATGCATGTATTAGAGTATTATCCAGGTCCAAAACCAGGTTTAGCTTTCTTTTAATATATAACAATTCAAATATAAAAGATTTTTCTTGTTTATCAACATAGTGTTTATTAAATTTAATATCATTACTATTTGAAAGAAAACCTGCATTTATTAACATCCTTTCATTTCCATCCTTGTTATAATGGTTACCTGTTTTATAATCATGTCTATCTCTGCTATTAGAATGTATTTCCGCTGTCTCATCATTGCTATTTCCAGCTCCGTCTCTATTCATCAATTTATTACTAGTACAAAATTGATTCTTTGTTTGGAGAATAAATCCACATTCTACACATATATTACTCAAAAATGTGGTGTGGTCACACAAATAGTAACCAAAATAGTATCTATTATTATGGCAATTTGGGTTTTCTTGTTTAATATGTAACACAGATTTCTCATTACAATCCTCCTCTGAATCTTTAATCTCAATTATTTCCAACTCTGAAATATTGTCATTTCCAGTACTCTGTTCTTTTACTGAGATAATCTCACAACTTTTTGGAGTCAAACAACTTGCTATTTTTCCGTGACATATAGATTTAATCACTGTAATTTCTTGACCATTTTTCAAATCCGAAACACTTAGAATAATTTCACCAGGTTTTACCCTGTCGTTTAAGTATTTTCTCCATTCTAGTTTAACTGGACACTTAAAAATTTCAGTCAGGCATTTAATATTTATTCTCTCATCCTCTCCCATGTCAAATTGTTGTGCAATCAACTATATTAATATTAAAAATATATTATTTAGTTTAAACTTTGTTTTCACTACTTGAAAGAATGACCTAAATTTTATCTTAAAATATTTTTCTCCTAATATTTTTTTTTAATTGATACTAATCAAATTTAAATAATTTTTAAATATGGTTTCTTTAAATATCTAATTCTGATTTTTAATCTCAACTGTTATTTCAACAATTTTTTGTATTTTTTCCTTATATATTATAATCTCCTGATCTTACAACTTTTTTTATTCTGCTTTTTCTTACATTCCCAGACAAAATAAATACACATAAATTCCTTCAATGTATGTAATTATAGTATTTATTCTTCTGGTTATATTTAGCTAATAATACCGGTACTTACGTGGGATGGCGGGAAAAACAACGTATTTAAATATTTTATGTTTGTAATAAGATGTAAGAAAAAAAAAAGAAGAAATGAATTAGAATTTTAGTTAAAAAAACATTATAAAAAGTTTACAGCAAATGTGATCAGTAATCTGAATATTATAACAAAGAGTAGAAGGAATTTTGGGGAAAATGAATGAGCTAAGGGTACACCTTGAAACGAGAATGATCAGACGTAAGTTCACTGTAATCATGTATTTAGATCTGATCTTTCCAAAGCTAGAAGAAAAATAGTCTGAAAATGTAATCTCTTTGGAGAAAAATAAAAACTTAATAAAAAATTTCTTAGTTTTTGACTTTGCTAATTTAAACATTCTTCCTAACACTAATGGCGCATATTCCTAATTTCTATATGCATGCATGTTTGCATGCAAATATTCCTCAATGGGAATAACTAGGAAGATAATAAAAGTAAAAAAAAGGTAAATTAGTGAAAAGTTTAGTTATTAAACTAGGAGTTAGCTCTTGAACCAGAAATGCATCCGTCGGTATATTTCAAGTGATATTGAAATCGGATTACGGTGGAAACATAGGCGAATGGCTTGAGCATATTCTTGAAGAAGTTTTGAATATATATAATGTTATCTCACTTCCATTCACATTATAATGTTCAGTTAGTATCAAAAATTAGAAATATCAGACATTTATATATATTTATAAGCATATAATAGTAATAATAATATAGATTTGATTAGTATAGTAGTAATAGTAATAGTAGTAGTAATAGTAGTATTAATATCAATAGTAATATTAGTAGAGAACAGGTAGAACTGTTTCATCAGTGGCTCGGATTTGGTTCTTCACCTATATAAACAGTGGTAGAGGGATATCTGGGTACTGAAATTGTAATTTGTAGCATCCCCAAGTAAAGAACCAATTCCATGGACAACTTTTTGGCATTACTCGAAAATGACATCACTCGTGACTGCTAGTACCTACTATACGACACATCTTCGATTATGCATACATAAAAATATATATACATACATACATACCCAAGTCTCTAAGAGGTAGGGATTATGGGTATAAATACCTTATATTGAAAGAGAATTATTTTGGTTACCAGCAAAAGAGGGCCTGGAAGTTTCATTATTCTCAATCCAAAGTGTCAAAGATGGAGAAGGTAACTGTGCCAGAGTCTTCTTACTAATTCCAGGGTTACTATCATAGTAGCCATTATTTTGTATGAGAGAGCTCATGTTTTTGAAACAGTCCAAGAAATGGTCAGAGCCTGTAGAAGGAGGAGCCACAAAACCACCACCACCATAGGCTTCAGAAACTACTGATTTTCCATATTCGTTATTTTTTGATTCTTTAATTCCCAAGTAATCTCCAAACTGCTTAATTCGTTCGTTTTCAAAAAAACAAATTTTATCCTGCATTTTTATATCTTTAAGTATCAATCCATTATCCACATTACTACCATTACTTTTAGCTTCCCCTTCCTCCTTTGTTGTTGCCAGAGTAGGAAGAGGAGCAGACTGGTTAGAGGCAGAAGACGACGACGACGTAGACATTGATGGTGGTAGTGAAGATGTTAAATACGACAAAAATGCTGACTTATATTCAAAAACTTTCTGATTATCCCCTTTTCTAATATTAGTATTATCATTCTCATTGCCACTTTTGGCGTCCGATTCTTGGATATCCAAAAAGTAAGGGATATTTTGGGGTTTTCCTACCATTTTGGGCAGTGTAACCGGAGCTGATATCGTAGGGTCTTGGCTCATCTGGTCCTGCAAGTGTTGTACATTTCCACTAGGGTTTTGGTTGTTGATGCTGTTTGTATCTGGACCCGGATTTATGCCACTGAACCTTCGATTTACCCCAGAAGCACCATTACCGCCACCACCTCCATTCTGGCTATTATTCTGCTCAGAATCCGGATTGAAATCTGGGGAATTGCTGACAGGCAGTTCCTTGATCCCTACATTTGGGGAACACGGTTCTTCTGAGAGTCTTAGGTTGACCACAGTCCTCCCTACCTGAAGAGCCAGGTTGTGGCAATTATCTATGGCTTGTGGCCTCCTTACTGAGACAAGAGTACCAAATTTAGAATCATGATCTTCCAGCATAAAGTTATCATTCCTATATCTAATAGTTGCATGATACCTGGATATACTTACATCTGAAATCCTTACATCAGATTCGTGACCTCTCCCAAGCTTGAGGTCCTTCTTCTCTGCCATACTAACCACATGTACTCCTCTATGGACGTTCCCATAAATATTTTCTAAAACAACAAAAGGAGGCTTAGCTTGTGGTACTTTGACAATATTGACTCTAGACCCCTTTATGGAAGCTGAAGAAGGGAGAGGACTCTTACAAAGCTCACACTGTAATTGTCTGAAGAAGAAGGTATCACCGGACCCATTTTCGTTTGCCAAATTAAGCCTTCCATTGATCCAATGCCTTAAACATTCCAGATGAACAAATTTGATCGACCCTCTGCATTGGCAAGGACATAGCAGAGGATCATCCTCTTGTTCCCCTTCTGTCAGACATATCCTACACTGCATAGTTATAGACTCTTCCAAAGTTGGTTCTATGATATTGGTCTCCATCTCGTCTAACCTAAGCTCTGGGATCTGGTCTCCATCTTTAACCAGCTGTTTAACTCTGAGCTTAAATCTCCCTAGCTTGACCATGTCATTTTGCTGCAAAGCATATGATTTGCTTGGTAGATCCCGAACTATAAGCCAAACTTTCTTAGGAACAAGCTGTCTGTCACCACATACTCCCAGACTTCTATCTGCAGGAAAGGCTACAAATTTCCCATCAGATGTTGTCTTAATAGACAGTAAATAGTCTCCTTGTGTTGGGAGTTCTTCCTCGTCTCCAACAATCATACACTCAGTATTCTGTCGAAAGATCTTGCTACTCTTACTCACCAAAAACTTCTTATTGTTAATGTGTTGAGCTTCATAGTCAAAAAGCTCATGGGAGTCTCTAGACCATGTTGTTGTCTCTATAATTAGGCCCTGTCCTCCCTCTTCTAAAAGAGGATTTGGCAAGTTTTCGATACTATTGCCTGAGGACGAAGATGTGGTAGTAGTTCCTCCTCTTGCTATTCTCAACAAGGATGAGTCAACCCGTTCTCCAATCTGGTTAGTTTGGATAGATTGGCCAGCCTGGATGATCCCATGTGAATGACCATGGCTTTGACTTAGGTTTTGACCCATTACTGTTAGAGTTGGAACTCTCACTGAAGAGCACTCTTGAATAAGCTCAGATCCCTGTCTTACATCTACTTGCGTTATATTATTATCTCTTGTGGGACTTTCTTCTCGCATATCTGTACTTAGATTAACCCTTTCAAGGTTCATCTTGTTGAAACCAATTCAATCAAACTTCTTATTACCCACTATATAATAAATATATTAAATAAAGGATTGAGGAGCTGATTTTTATTGTTGATAACAGAAGCAAACTCTCCACTTAAGGCAGAGATGCCACCAAATTGTAAAGTTATTTTAATCTCCCAGCTATTACTTTACCTTTAAGATTAGAAACGTATATACTTAAAAGTCTCAACGAAAAATAACTTTTAATTTCTTACTTTGTAATTTCTGAGTACGACAAAACCTTGGTTTCCTGTCTTTTAATTTTGTGTCCTAAAAGATTTTTAATATAAACCTTCCTGGACGTTTTCTCTCCTAAAGTAGTACTACTAAGTTGATTGAATTTTGCAACCAGAATACATAAATATATTTGCTACTGTTTTCTTCTTAAATTATACCTCAATTTGGGAGTCGTACGCAAAAATGAACCAGAGCTTCTGTATTTATATACTATCACTTTTCTCTTTCTTATTTTCTTCTCTTTCAATCTATCTTCCCACCAACCTTCCTTATTTCCTTCTCTCTCTTGTATAAACCCCCCTTTGTTAGCAAAATTTTCTTTAAGAACTTTAATTTAACATTCAGATAATCCCTTACCTGGAAATCTTTACCTCTTGTATCAATTTTCCAGGCCTTATACATACAAAAATCGCGTTCCAGGCTCCTTTACTTATTTCATAAGCTCTTATCCTACTCACTAATTACACAGCTCTGCTATCTCAGACTTTGATATTTCTAGCTTTTGCTATTATTCTCTGAGAGGGGAATTTTAAATGCTTCTCATTATATTTATAATTAGAAATATTTTCTTATTTGTGTGTTCAGATTTTGGCGCCTCCTCTAAGTCACGAGCAGTTAAAAATTTATAATATAGGAGGGGTAAATTGAGGCGCCACATAGGTGGGGTTTAATTATTTATTATTAAATGATTATATTATAAAAGTAATTATTTGGAAATTTAATATTGGCATTTTTAATAAACTTTGGATTAAAAAATTGGCTTCTATTCAGAATTAGGTACTGACACTTATAAAACGACTATATTAATGTAAAATAGTATTATTAATAATATAAAATAGATATTTAATTGTTTAATTAATAGTTTAAAAATGATATATTTGTGAATATTTAAATGAATAATAAATAAATAATAAACAAGTAGATAAATTGTATATATATATATATATATATATATATAATATATATATAATGTATATATATAACATATATATAATGTATATATATACCTGTGCACATATCATTACACTCACTTTCCACCTCCATAAGATCTCTCCTCTCTTATTCTTGTTTCTGGTTTTTCAAACCATTTCTAAGCAGGCATAATTAGGTTAATTCAGGTGAATTATTTGCCAAATCACGATATTTGGGGCCGAGTAGATAGTGTGAAAAGTATTCATTTTTAACCTTTCTTTAAAACCTCCTCGATACTAAACTACACTCTAAATCCCGTATTTTTGGGACTTAGTAGCCAAAAGAAGTAATTCATCTAGTTATTCACACTAACAAGCCGTAAACATAGGTGTGTCTATTTGAACATTTGGAAAAGAGAAATTGAAACTTGAATAAAAAACGGATTCAAAATTCGTGTGAAAATTTTGAATCTATTTCAATTAAAAATAGTCAAATTTTTTACTTAAATCAAAAAAATGCTAATTTATTACCTTAACTTACATTTGACAATAATTTTTATAAAATGGCGGCAACAGTGGGCGGGAAGGTGATATAATTGCATTTGTTAAAATATGGGAAATATAACAAGGTAATGTAGTAGTTAAAATAAATAATAAATATTAGAGGCAATTAATTTATGAGATTGGGAGCAATAAAAAAATTGCTAAATTTTAAATTCATTTAACAGAAGCAGGGAAAAAATAAGTAAATTAATAAGCGAAATTGATTGTTTTGCTATATTAATTTGCGAATATTGAAAATATTTTGATATATTTAAAGTATTATTTTTAAAGAGAAAGCTTTTTTTCTAGAAATAATATTAATTAACAGAAAGTTGTGAAACTTAGCAAAATATCATCTTTTATAAATATATTATACTAGTATATATCAAGAAGAAATAAGATGGCATACCAGACATATTCAGAGATTTTTCTATCAATCCCTCCGCTGCATTTTGCTTATCTTGGAGTAGTATTATGTATAGTTCTCTCAACTTTTGGAGCAGGCTGGGGTATATTTACAACTGGTAATTCCTTAGTTGGAGCGGCTCTTAGATCTCCAAGAATTCGTTCGAAGAATTTGATTTCTGTAATTTTCTGCGAAGCTACTGCGATTTATGGCGTAATTGCAACTTTTTTATTAATGTCAAAGATAAGATCACTTCCAGATATTGATATAATTTCTGGCCAACCAAAAGATGCTTGGGAAGTTCAGATTGTTAAATCCTCATGGATTTTGCTTTGCTCTGGGTTAACAATTGGTTTATCCAATTTGTTCTCTGGAATTAGTGTTGGGATTACTGGTAGCTCAACAGCTCTTGCTGATGCTCAAAGAGGAGAATTGTTCTCCAAGATGTTGGTTGTTGAGATTTTTGCCAGTGCTTTGGGTCTTTTTGGAATGATTGTTGGTTTTTATCAGCTTTCTCTTGCTGATTTTCCTTCAAAATAACAAATTCATTTAGGTTTCTTTTTTTTTATTCTATTTCCAACATGATTGTTACTATTTATTATTAATTCTAACTTTTTATATTGTTTCAATTTTCTTTGTAATACTTAGCATTCATTAGAATTATTAATACATTGAATTGGCATTGCAGGTGAGAAAAGAAAGTGAAATTTTATTTGGATAGAATATTACATAAAATTATTTGTGTAACTAAATGAACTAGAGAAAAACAGAATTTCCCTTTTGGATAAGAATCTAGAAATAAATTATTATGTAATTTTTGAATGAAACAAAAATGGAATGTTACGAAAAATATTTATAATTATAATAATTTTTGAAGTTATATTAGAACGAATTATCAAGTTGAATTATCCTTATTTTATATAACCAAGTTAAGTAATATCTTAATATTCCTTCATAATAGGTGGCATCTTTTCTTCAAACCTGGTTGGAGTGTCTGTGTCCATAGTCAATCCAACAATAAAAATGATCAACATAGTAGACAAAGAAACTAAGATTAAAGCTGACAAATTAAAAGGAGTTAGCTTTAAGTCTCTTTGGGCCACTGACGAAATTTCTCCATCCATTTGCTCCTCTGCTAGGACACTTAGTAAAAATGTGGCAAGTAATAAAACAATATTTTTAGCTCTCATATTTTGACCGTTTCTTATATTTAAATAAATCTAAACCTGAGATGAAAACTATTAACCGTACAAATTGTCTTTCTTCGCTCCGATTATCAATGAGTAGTATTATCAGTCTTTATGATTTATTACACGGAACTTTGTACCTTGAGAGACTTTATTTTTCTGACACTTATTCAAAAATAAATTATTTTGTTTATCCAAATGGATTGATATTTTTCTATCATTTATATTCCCTCAAATAAAAATAAAAACCTACCCGCCATTTTTTGGCGGTTTATGAAATTTTGAATAACAAAATGTCAAAATGATTTTTCTGTGGATATATTTTGCAAGTAGAAGAGTTATGAGCAACTAATATATCTCAGTATAAATAAAATAAGGAAATGTGGGGAAGAATTTATAGAAATAAGGAAAAAGAAAACTTTGGTGCAGAGCTGTATTAATGAGCCATTGAGTTATAACAACGAAAGTTTGATAATTTAAATGTAATTAAGTGGAGGTTAATAAGTGTTAGTAGAATAAGAGCGAATGAAAATATTATTAGTCATTTCCTTTCTTGAAAGTAAATGTATTATATTAAGTATAGAAGAATTTAGAAAAAAATTCAAACTTGCAAGTATATGAAATTAATAAGATGCAACATATTTGAACCTACGGAATTACATGCAAATTTTCTTTCAAATTTGGAAAATCATGCAAAACTTTGTGGACAGAATACACGTCATTGCATGCATATGCAATGGCTAATGCCGGTATAGGGAACGAATTTGATAGGAATGCTTTGAAAAATTGTTTAATTACTTGTGTAATAATTAGGTTATTTTGAATGGAAAAATTTTGAAAGAAAATTTCTGAATTATTTTTGTGAATATTAGAAAGAAAATCATTATTTAAGACTCTGGATGATGAGTTTTGTTGGGAAGTTTCATCAAAAAGAGAAATGGAATTTTCCTTTACGTTGAAAAGATTGAATTTATGTTGGATTGAGATAACCAAGTTGAAGAAGTTAGAAGATGTTGAATAACAATAAGACTCCATATTTTCATCACTAAACCATAATGGATAATATTTTTGTAAGCAGTGTGTGAACCAAGAATTAAAGCTCATTCCCAGACTTTTGCACATAATAACAATACATAACCATTCAATCTGTATAAGCTTTGATAAAAAGTGAAATTCAAGTATACTATCTATTTTGTTAAGGAAAACAAGACAGTCCAGCTGCAGATTACTGCAATAGTTCATTCCAACTATTGAAACTGGCTCCGTGATTTTTGATAATGGAGTCTTTATAGATAAAGTATTTGGTTTGAAAATAATGAGGATGAATTTAATTGTTTGATTTGCCATAGGAAGAAGCTGAAAATAGTTGGTGATATTTATACTGCATAAAATATTATGCAGAAGTAAAAGAGAGTGCTCATATCTAACATAATATGGTCCAAGAAAAGATTGTAAGACAGTCAAGTAAAGCATAGCATTGGCATAACTTTTGTTTTTAATGCATTGTCGAAAAAGATCATTTGGACTTTGGTTGATTGCTGGAAAAACAATGCATGGAGCAATAACTGGATCTATCTTTCTAATAATTGAAATAATAAGATATGTGAATATTTGTGATTGGATATTACAATTTCCAAATAAAGATAACGATTCCATTGATGAGGCTTTTGAATACATTTGTTCAAGAGATTCTTGAATGATCTCCATTATTTGTATCATTTCTTGAATATTTTGGGAAGATATCATAATTTCAGACTGAACTAGTTCCACAATACTAATATCCTCGCCATGTCTGCAAAATCTTTTGTTACATATTTTTAAATTTGGCCCAACAATATGAAAGGTTTCACTCAAGTAATCAAATATAAGTTTCTCAGTTATTTTCCCGTCAACAATACCATTTTTTTTGGAAAATGATACCATTTTTTCGATTACTTCATTCAGATTCTTTTTATAATCTCTACATGAATTCTTTAAAATAGGGAAAAGCATATTTTCAAAAATATTTATCAATATTTTGAGTATATTTTCGAGTGGGTATATCTTAATATAACTGATTATTGGAAATAAAAATTTTCTAATTATTTTGGATCTTAAAAACTTATTTGGAATGTTAATCAGATCTTGTAGAACTGGAGAAAGGCTTTGATAAATATTTAGTATAATTTTTGGCTCACTTACTAAAGAATGAAGGCTTTTATTCATAACTGATTCGTTGTTAACTTGATTATTGGCTTTTTTTTTGTTTGGATACGATTCCAAAATTAAAAATGAAGCAAGACCAGGGAAGAAGTTGACGATATGAGTATGGCCGATTTTTTCCTGAAATGACTGTATGAGGATTGGGGTAAGTAGGGAGTATTTTGAAATTTTTTTGTCACTACTTTCGTCAATTAGTGGAAGCAAAAATAATTGTTGAGACTCTGTTAAGTACCAGATAATACCAGAAATATCTAATTCCTCAATGTTTTCCCAATATAAAGGAAGCTTATCTGATATTGTGTTTACATTTGAATTTAAGTAATTTTTCATAAAATTCCTAAGATTATGGTTATTTAACAATTCAGATATATTATTTTCAAACGGTTTGAGTTCTTCCTGAAGTAAATTAAAGGCATCTTTCATAATACTGTCATAATTTGAGGTATCAGGGTTTACCATACAATTTATCTGAGGCTTATTTGAGGAAGTGACTTCTGTTGATTCACTGGACTTTTCAAGTTCTTTATCATTTTGATCATTTGTGCAAAACTCCAGAAAACCAAATCTAATGATATTAAAATTGTTGAAATAAGCTAGATTCTCATCAATATCAATAGAAGATTTATCAATTGGCTGGAATTCAAACTCGCATTTTTTGTTGAGAATATTTTCATCTGGCTGGTAATATACAGTTAATTTATATAATTTCCAGTCTTTGTGTAATATAAGAAAGACGCAGACTTCAGAGCATTTTTTGATTAGTAAGATTTCGACAGGATGATCATTCCAAACTTCTGAAAGATCAATAACCCACTTGACTTCTGTAGGTATAAATAAAAAATGTGACAAATTCTCATCTTCGTAGGCTGTGAGAACGAAATCATCCGTATAGAGGATAAAAAAGTCATCTTTTGATTTGGATATACTATTGGCTATTAATAAAGGATAAGAAGAGCAAAATGGGATTATTCCAATAATATTTCTAATATCCAGAGAATTCCTAACATCAAAAAATACAATACAAGTTTCTTCATATATTTTGCTTTTGTAATTCTTAATGGTTTTTAATTCTTTACTTAAGCATTGGATATAAGCTTCATATAATTTATTCTTTTCAAATGCTGAAATCTCCCATAAGTCGTCATTACTTGTGATTAAATCGTGAAAAGTATTTAAAAGTAAAGATGAGTCTACTGATAAGAAGAAAATCCATTCATTAATCCATCCAAATGGCAAGTTTGGCTTGCATAGAAGAAGTTCATGATTAAGATCACAAAATAATCTCCATCTTGAGTTTATTAAATCGTAAATGGCACATCCTCTATAACCACTTACTAGTATGTAATTTCCACTTCTGTTTACATATGCTTCATTGATTGGCCAGTTGTGATTAATATATATGGAAGGCGGAATTGGGATACTTTGTAAAACAAGATCTGTTTGAAACTCTAAGCAAGATGATATTATTCCAAACTCTGGAGAAATTTTCTGGTGAAAACTATTACTAATATCATTACTATCAATGCTATCACTCTTGTGATTTAATTCAATCATGGAATCTTTTGCAACCTTACTACTCACCTGATAATTTGATTCGTTAGATTCTGGATCCAAATCTAATTTGAAGTTCCTATAATTACATTGCAATACTCCAATACTTTCCATTCCAAGAAAAACCAAATTTTCACAACAAGGCAGACTCTGGTTATCATTGGAAAGTTGGCAGAAAGATGATTTTGTTTCTACTAATTTGTATATTGGAAGTTCTATTAAACAAAATTTTTCTTGATCATCGTCTTCTGTTTTGATCTTGACTTGATATAGCATTGAAAAGTCATTTGAGATGATTAGGGCATGTTTAAATAAAATTGGATTCTGCATTCTGGATATATTTTTATCTTTATTAATATTAAAGTAAAGCTTCCCAGAAAAGCTATCAATAACAAATATTCCACTTTCTTCCAAAGTTATGGTAATATATATATCACTGTTGGAGACATTTAGATGTGGGATTTTGGAAAATAAACTAATGTTAGAAACAAATTCTGAAATTTTTAAGCTGAATACACGGTTAATTTTTGGCCTAACAAACAAATTCTCAGTGGTTTGAATATCATTTTTTGATCGATTATATACTTTTTCTTCAAATGAAAGAACTTCAATAAACAATTCCTCTTGGTTCAAGGAGCTGGGACTGTTAGTTTCTGATTCAGCCTTCGCTACTTGATAATTATAATCAAACCCAAAAGTGGAGTCAATATGATCATCACACAATTCAAACTCTATTCCAAGTTCTTTTGGTTGAGCAGACTCTTCGCATATTGTGACAATTCTACGGCTCTTATTAAGGATTTTTGATCTTAAAACTCCAGTTAACTTGACAATATACCCAAATGAAAATTTTGGAAAATGGTTAATTTTATGATCATTATATGTTTCAGATAAAAAAAAATCTTTACTACTAACACCAAAATATATTGGTGAATTCCAAGAGAATAATAAAAGGGAGTTTAGTGGTTTAACTATAATCGTTAACCAATCATGAATTTCATTGTATTCTAAGTTTCCAGCTCCAAATCCTGAGAAATTTGATTTATTTTCCAAACTGAAATCAAGTTTTTTATTATTATTAATTAAAGCCTCCATTAAACTCACAGAAGAGTAGTGAAAATTTGTTGGGAATGTTTGGCATGATAACTCTTCAATACTTTTTTGGATTTGAGAAGATATTTTAATTCTTTCCAAGTTTTCTAGTTTAATTTCCTTATTGGGAATAGATTCATCCAAATATCCACTAAAACAATTCTTTTTGTTAAGTTCCAAGTTATAAATGGAATCTAAGAAAGAGAAGGAACCTTGTGAGTTCTTTAATTCATCCCCAACTTGAATAGAAGAAACTAAATCTGTTAAGAATATATTTTTTCTTCTTAAGCTTGAATCAGAAAATTGAATTAAAATTAATATTGGAAATTCTTTTAAAGTAAATAATATAACATTTTGATTAATACTTTGATCAAAAATAAATAGAAAAGAATCAAATTTGTGGAATACATTAATCATTCCAATTAACTCCAACTTTGCATAAGATGTTGAAAACTCAATTCCAGTTTCTGCATCCAACTTTTCACTTTTTTCCATCAAAGTCCCATACTCGCTAATTAGCTGAAAAGATAGGAGATCTTCTTGAAAACTATCAAATATTTCATCTGGAACATTCACGCTTGGAATATTAATCAGACCATTTTCAAGTTCTTCTGTAATAAAGACAAATCTTTCATTATTATCTATCTTTGAAATAGAATTACTTATTGAGAAGCTTTCAAGCTCATTTTTTCCATAAATATAATCATTCATTTCTTCACTTCCAATATCTTGCTCATCATCATCATCACTATCATTAATTGAGTCTTCAGAACTGGATTCAAATTCACTCAAGTATCCATCTTCATTAGAAATTTCAAGTGGTGAATGAAGGTGAAGACAGAATACAAAAACATGTTGTTGAGTAGAAGATCCTAAAATTAACAATTTACTATTACCACTCCATTCCAAAGACCCATTAAATTCCCCATTAAGCTTTTTTTTAGAATTGGTTAGTATAAACCTGGAAATAAGTATTCTATTATGTCGGTTACTTACTATTTGAAGAGATTCTCTTGTAATAATTGCCAAGTAATTTTCACATGGGCTTATCTTACATCCAATTATTTCGCTACTCACAATTCCATCATACACTCTTGCGTTATTTACTAATGGGATAATCATTTATGGCCAATTTTCATACATTTTTATTCTTGGTTATAAATATTTTAATCTTATTAAATAAATTTTTTTAGTACATTCAATCAATACTCCATGATGTATGCAACCCTGACCCTAAAGGGATCTAAATATTATTGCTAAATCTATAATCTGGCACTCTATTATACTTATTTTCAAATTAAACACTAGGAGATACCAAAAGAAATTCAAAGTTAACAACTAAAAGAATGAATATTTCAGTAAAATAACATGAATTTTACAAAAACAAAAACAATTAAAAATACTAATCTAATTATTCAATTTATTGTATATTATATATTATATATTAATTATTACCAATATTCTCCCACATCATTTAGGTACCCACTTTCCCGCTCATTTTTGGGCGGGAAATTAAACTATAAATTGGAGAATGTGTGAGAGTGATGTATTTGTATTTTTAAAAATGGATTGGAGGATGGGGTTGGAGAGGTATTTAAGATAGTTTAAGTGCTTAAGGAAGATGATTTTATCGGTAGGATAAAGGTTTTGAATAAAATCTGGGATATTGTTTAGGCTTTTGTTTGTGTGTAATGAGGTATTTGGGGAGATACCAAGGAAGGAAGGAATATTGCAGCAAAGGAGTTTCTCAACACGCAAAAGATGTTCGTGTTGTAATTTATTAGTGAGCTTTATAGAAAAGAAGGACCCGTTTCTTCCACTAGCGATAACATAACGGTAATTTTCGGATTCAACGGTTCTCATATGCACAATAGATGTGCAAAGATTTGTGTGAGATGTTGGTTTAAGTGTCTCTTTATCGATTATTTGAGTTGCACCAAAATTTGGTTCAAAAGTAAAAAGATTGTTGTTGTTATCAGAAACCAAAATAGCCAGATCCTTTTCTTGAACTATTGCTTGAGCTGATGTACAGGTAAACTTCCATAGTGGATGGGATCTAGCAAACTTAACCATAGTTTGTGATCCTCTGGAAGCGTCAGTTCTAAGCATTCCAAAGTGGACTCCTCTTCTTATATCTCCCAAGAAAAATAACGCTTTGTAATTAGAAACTGAACTAATACCTAAGGGTGTATCTATGAACGTCCCTTTAATAAAGCTTGACTCATTTTCTCTAAGTTCATGTATATATAGTCTATATCCAAATGTATGAGCAATATAGGTAACATTTGAGTTAGGAGCTCTAACAATAGGATTATTCTGGATGATTGGATAGGCTGCTAAAGCTGGTATTGCCGGAGCAACTTGTGCAGTTGTTGCTGGTAAGTTAATCAAATCAACACTAGTTACTGGGCCCCTGTACATACTTTGGAAGCATATCTCTAGTTCCTGTACATTATCGTGATATAGCTGCTTTGAAAATTTAGATGGCCAATACTTTAACATATTTGTCCACTTAGCATTATTTGCCCGAACTCCTGTTCCCGTAGCTTCTGTTGTTTCAGTTTCAGCCCCATTCCCAGTTTTTACTACCACATTTCCATCTTCCTCATCCAGGGAAACCAACTGTTTAACCTTGAACATTAGTAATCTTCCCTCAGCCTCGTAGTAATGGGTCGGATTAGTGCCTGTACCAATAATCAAAACCTGCTGGCCTTTGGAGTCTTGCCCAAATTTCATGCTCAACCCCACTTCCCAAGCTCCAAAAGCATATCTCCCCTTCGGTTTTGGAAAACTTTCAAAATCACGTCCCAAAACCGGGTTTGATAACTTCGAATGAGGAAACAAATCCTCAAAGGAGTAAAGCAACAGCTCATTACGCATTATATTCAGGTCCTTTAGTATTCCAAACTGTTCCCGCTCAAAGTCCTTACATGCCAAATTTGGCGCCACATTCTCTTTTCCGAGGTTATTGCATGTGGATGACTGGTTGCAATTGTCAGATTTTCTGGCTTTTTCGTTTATTATATTTGACTGGTAAAAAATTTTGGGAAGAGATTCTCCAATTTCAATTCCAGGGGGGAGAGTATCAAAATATGTTTCAGTCTCGAAGCTTGCTGGTGGGATGCCAAGATCTGGAATACTGGCGAGGGACTTTTCAAAGCATTTGTCAGGGTTTCTGATTAGGTCTTGGTTAAGCAGAATTGTTTGAGCCTCTTTCCCACCAGCTTCAAGGCATCTGAGATATCTGTAAAAAGCCATTTGACGGATATGGTACCCATTTAAATGATGTTTTGCATTGTCTGGGATTCCAACTATGATAGCAATAAGATTATACTCTTTACAAAAAGCTACTCTCTGAATTACTACTTCTGGCAAGAAAGCTCTCCTGAGGAACCAGTTATCATTTCCGGGAAATGGTAACGTGGATAGGGAGTTACATAATTTAGAATTTGATGAAGAATCTGCAAGGTTTAAAAATTCAAAGTTTATTTCATTTTTAATACTAGTTTTTAAAAGTATATGTAAAGGAGACCATGGAGAGTCTATTTTTGCTATGCAGTTGGACATTCCTGTCTCATCCAAGTTTACCACAGAAAACCTCCCCTTATCTGTCATAATCACCAGAGAAGAAGAAGAAAAACACCCTATTTTCGACAGTTTTGTTTCATCACTCATTAATTCCTGCCTAACTTCAATATTTAATGGTGAAGGTGCCTGAATTATCCAAGTATCCACATTACTTGAAATTTTTGAATTAAAGGAAATACCATGTCCACAATTGTAAATTGATAAAGGAGATTCATTAGAAAATGTCTCTTCGATATTGGAACTTGTTAGAGTGACTGGGAACTGAGCAAAGAACTTTGAGATATCCATCTGTACATTGTTGAAGTTTGTTTGTATCTCTAGTTTCCATTTCCTAGAAAAAATGTAATCTTCTGATCTTAAGTTACTCGAGCTATTATTACTTCTTAGATCAAGTCTATATATCAACATTGGTTTTTGTGAAACTGAAGCAACCATTATCATCTCACTATTACCTTCTTTGCTATCTTCTTCTTCCATCTTAATAAGCTCACAGGAAATCAAGAAGGAGCTGGAATTTTGAGTAAAGTTTGAATCACAACTTTGGTTAGTGGTATCTAATTCACCAGGATTGAGGGAAAATGTAGGAGAAATTGAAATCCCTCCTTCTTTTGCTATATAGTACTTTGGTTCAATAATAGGAGTACAAATCGAGGTAATTGGTCTTCCAAGGTCAAACTCATTTTCAAGAAATCTGTAAATTATCTCTTCTTTGCTACCTGTTTGGGATAATACGTTACCCATTAAACATGGTACAGCAGAAATAAAAGGTGAAAAAAATACAAGTCTTTTTTTAACTAGATTATAAATAGCTATAGATCCATTTAGCCATAGTTTACTGTAAATAACTAAAACTACTAAAAAATCTTCTGGATCCTTCAAATTACGATCAGAATTGGTAATTACTGGAGATATATGTCTAATCCAAAATTGATTTTTCCACGTTTCCTTGGTATTAATCTGTTTTTTGGATGTCTCAAAAGGCTCATCCTCGAAAAGTTGTGAAATCTCTCCTTCCATGATTCTTTGTTTTACTACAAGTTGATTAATTTCACAAAGATTATCTAGTTCCTCAAAAAGATTATCCATACTCTCAACTATTATTTGGTATCTTGAAAACTCTGCAATCATTTTTAAGCTATTTGAAGAGTCAATATGTTCGGTACCTTTTTTAAGATCTTCATTTGGCTTAAAGATCTTTAAGACTTTAATAGTGGAATCTTCAAACAAAATTAAAATAAAGTTACCCATAATAAAGGATTTAATTGCCATTGGAGCATCTGGATTATCAAAAAACAAATTTGAAATTAGATCCAGTTCAACTAATCTTGTTGAGATTCCAAAATCTAAAACATTAATAGTAGAAGGGAGAACTTGGATCACAAAAATATCATCATATGAATTTCCCATTTTTATCATTCCAGCTCCAACTGTGTTTGAATCTACTTCATAATCAAATTCTCCATCTGAAGGATCTAGCTGGTTAACATCTCCAATAATGACCATTTCTTGGCTATTATTTATGCAAGTATCTAAAGAAAAGAAATGAGTCTTTCCGATACTTTTTAAAGGATCTGAAGTAAATACCAAGTATTTTGTCTTATTAGTAATTGGATCATTTAAAGCCCAATGGAACAAAATATCATCCAAAAAGAATTTGGTTATTACTGATTTAGATACTGATTTCTCATATAAAGAAAGTTGTCCTATTGGATAAGTTCCATTTGTACTCAGTATTGAGTGCCTTTCATCAATTGGACACTTTTTGTGGTATTCCTCACTCTCAAATTCTTCGTTACAGCTATTAAAACTTGGTATAATGCAAAAGTCTCTAAGGGAATTTGGACCAAGATCTAAATAGTCCCTGATTTTAATATTTTTAAGTATACCTAAATTCTGTTCAGATTTGCCATCTTCTTTTTTAGGGATATCTGAATATATGTAGAATCTTTCAAGATCTTCTATACTGGAAAATTCAAGACAACTATCTGAGTAAGGTTGCACTAAGTTAATACCAGAATCTATTTGAGTCTTCTTGATCTTCTTGTTCTTTTCATCTTTCATAGAAGAATGAATTTCCTCTTTTGACCTAATTAAATTGACTATAGCATTATAACTTAATTGTGGATCTTGAGTAATATTTTGGTTTTTTGCATAAGGTATCAAAAATGTTTCATTAAAGGTAAAATCTAAGATAGATAACCCTGAATTAGAATCAATGTCACCAATTAATAGTAGGGATGGACTAATATAGGCATCATTAGAAGAGTTACTGATGGAACTAGCATTCTTTTGTTGGATGAAATGAACATTTTGAACTCTAAATATGGGGGTACTGGTGATTAAATAATGTTCATCTAGAGTAGTTTCTGATCCTAATTTTTTTGAAAGAGTTACAGTTTCAAGAGATAAAATTGTATGATCTCTGGGTAGATAACTTCTATTCCAATCCCAGTATTCATTAACTTTAAACCAGTTAAATCCTTTAATTCCATTTGGTTGGTCAGGTGATAAATGTATCATTAAGCCTATTAAGTATGGTTGAATCTTATTAAATAGTAGAATGCCGTAGTATTCATTAGTGATTAAAAAAGGTACCGAGTTTGATACTTGAAATTCTATCGATAATTCTGGCTGATTGATTAATATTGGTTGTAGATTAGAAAGTAAAGTCCTTAGATCCAAATTACTATCTAAATTTTCAAGATTAATAGTATTTAATAGTTCACTATTATCATTGGAAGTTGTACTAGCATGATTACCATCCAAAATAACAGTTCCCGTCTCAAATCCAAAAGTTTTTGGTTTAAATCCATGTACTTTTTGAGCACATAAATCAACTTCCAGTTTTTTCTCAGGTACATTATTGTAAGAATCATTAGTTGTAATCAGTGTAAATGGTCTATTTAGGCCTCCATGCAGAATAATAGAATTTGTAGAGAGCACAATTAATCCTCCAGATAAACACATATTAATATTTCCACTAGTATCAAAGGGAATCAGCTTGTAAGAATCCATAGGAAGAAGTTCCAGCTTATCTAGAACAGTAAACTCAGTAAGTTCCATATTTATAGATAAATAAATCAAAGAAACACAATTAGAATGAGATTGGATTGACCCGGTACTTATTGGGCCAATCCTAGTTAAAATAGCAATTTTAGGTTGCAAACAAAGATTAGAATTCTCATCCAGAATTTGGCAGGAATCTACAATAGTATCCATGTAAATGTCAGTTTCTACTAGAATTCCCCAACATGTTCCCAAGGAAAGTTCTTGGGTAAAATCATTCCTATTACTTTTCATTTTGTATGTAATGAAAAGTAGGAATTTAGGAGATGTGATCATCAGTACTAAATCATCACCATTTGGCTTGGTCCCAAGTTGAATCTGTTCCATCTTAATGTTATCATCCATTACAATATTTTGCTGAGAAAGCCTTAAAGATGAACCTCTAAGTAAATCTCCGATTTCAATTTGATCCTTAGTAACCAATTCCAACTCGGTATATTCGCTTGAGTACCTGTAGAGCATAATCTCCCAATTTGCAAATAACAATACTATATAATCAGGCATACCATTAAGTCCCATTAAAGTTGTACAAGCTACTGGAGTTAAGAGAAGCCTCGATGAAGTAATAAATCTAACCTTCTTCTCCTTAGTTACCTCATAGAGTTCTATACTATGGCTTTTTATTAGAGAGAAATTTAATACAGAATCTAGCTCATCTTTTTTCCCCACAAAATCTCCAAAGACTGAAAACTCCGATCTCTCACTTGTACAGTACGTGTCAAATACGGCAGTCATTCTAGATTCCTCCCTTGTTTTAGGCAGCTAAACTCATTATATAAACCTTCGTTGGTTTATACTGCAATTAGAAAAACTTTCTTAAATTCTTCCCTGGTACTTCTTCAAACGATTTCTCAGTCTTTTATCCGAAGTCTCAGTTTTCTTCTTCGTTCTATGTAGTTGGAAAAAGATCAAATACTTTGAATCAAAATCCAATATTAGTTAGTAAATAATTTACTATTATTTTCCTTTTTTATATTATTTTTAAATTTACATATCTTTCATTAAATATTAATTCGGTACCTAAAAAGACATTTGCGCGCCGGCGGGAAGGCACACAAATATATAAATAATAGTCAAATTATAAAAAAAAAGTAAAGTTGTAAAAATAGAAGATCAAGGTTTTACAAATTTCGAAGAATTTAATTGTTACAACGAAATATAATGATTAAACAAAAGTTGAGATCCATATGTTTTAGTAAGATATAGTTCCTTGTTAGTTACAGACCAAATAAGTGTCGGTATTAAAAGAAGCAAAGATGATATTAGTATTCGTAGTGGGAAAGAGATGGAAAATAAAATTAAATGTGAGGCATGAAAATATATATACGATTTTATATTATGCTAATTTAAGACACGCTTTTTATAAGCAAAATAATAGTAAGAATTAATGATTGAAGCATAAACAAGATTTAAAAAGTTCACACAATAATTTTAGTTGAAATAGTTACCTTAGTCTATAGTAGTTAACCTTTTCAATGGAGGATTTATTCTTTGTGAAGTTGAATTTGATTTTTATATCAAGATCTCTGACATTTTTAGTATTTTTTTTTAAAGCAAATATACCAGAAATAATATCATCTGTATCACAAACAAGATCTTCTTCAAAGTAAAATACTGACTGTTTCCAATGTGTGTATCTACCAAATGGGCCTGTAGTAAAAGTAACAGGTTTATGACCACAACCAAAAATAATATCGAACCAGACAATAAAAGCGTGAACAAAGTCTTTTCTTGCAACTTTGAGATAAAAAGGAGATACAAATTCCAAGTCCTCCTTCTTACATTTGTAAAGGTCAATGTCAAGGATACAGTAGGAACTTGTATTGACTGCATTCTCTCCAACAGTATCTATAATTGGCTCCTCCATAATACAATGCTTTACAAACTGGTAATTAAATCCATATACATTATTCCAATATCCAAGCTTTTCTTGCTTATATTCGGCATCCTCAATACCTGCTATGTACATCTGTGCTCTATCAGGGAAGATTAATCCATCTTCTTTAAGCCATTTATCTCTGCAAAATAATACAGTATCTAACATGGACTCATATAATAGTAAGTATCCCATCCATTCAGAAACAATAATATCAACCTTTTCTATAGGGAGTACAGCCTCTTCAGCTTTGCTCTGTATAAAGGTAATTTTATCAGAGAAATGATTATCTTTGATGATGTTTCTGGCTACATGAATAATTTCGGAACATTCAATCCCATATACATGTTTTGCTCCCGCCATTGCAGCAAACATACATAGAATTCCTGTACCACTTCCCACATCCAGAACGATTTTATCTTGGAATAAATGCTTATTAGTCATTATTGCTTTCTGGTAAGAACCAGTTCTTACTGAGTCTTTCAGCATTTCCTCATGAATTCCGAAATGAGCATAGGAATTAAAGTAGTAATCTGCACTGCTAATATCCTCCTGGACCAATGGGTTCCAAGAGTTTTTAAACTCTTCAAGTTCTTTTTCCGTTGGTTTAATCATTTTTTAAGGCAATAAATCCAATCGAGTTTTACTCTATTGGCTTAATTCCAAGTTGAAATTCTATATTTGAATATTTCTGCTGGTATTTTAGACTCTTTTCTTCTTAGAACCCTTTCCAATTAATCAAAATCCCCTTTCTTTCTTTTCAAGCCCAATCAATTCAAGATATATTTTACTCACTTTTTCTTGAATTAATTTTACCTTCATCACAAAATATTCTTGACATTATACTGTCTTTTGGGGAGCCCGCCAAAGTCTGGCGCCACATCAGGTACCGAATTAAATAAAGAAAAAGAAAAAAATTTTGGGTGGATCAGAAAGAATTAGAATAATAACTTAGAACACCGGAGGAAAAAAAGCTTTTTAATTATTTTCTGTTGAGCTTTGATTGAAATATTGGTAGTTAAAGTAATACAGTATACAAGATAGTGTCTACTTGGAGTATTATCGCAATACAGAAAGAAGTACTTAGAAATAACAAGAGGAAATTAGAGAGAGAAAATAAGTTTTGATGTCATCAGAAGATTCCGTTATTAATAGCAGCAATTCCAATGGAATAGAAACAGAGGAAAATGGAGAAGTTGCGAATGTAGATGAGCTTAAAGCATATTTCAGGGATATTTCATCTTCAAATTCTCAATCAGAAGGCTCAAAGAGATTTCAAGATGATGAGGAAGGAGCATCTAAAGAGGATGATATAGGAAAGAGTGATACTGAAAAAGATGATTTAAGTGATTTTAAGTCTTCGAACAATGATCATTCAATTCATCAATTTAGAGATGTTGAAAACAGCTCATCAATATCGGTTCAGACTGTAGACCCCAAGGCTCAGCTATATTCAGCAAAAGATTGGTCAGACCTTAATCTTTCACCAGATTTACTTAAAGGTATATATAATAAAGGTTTTAATCGCCCATCAAAGATTCAGGCAGCTGCATTACCACTCATATTCAGCTCACCAATGAATTTAATTGCTCAAGCTCATAATGGAAGTGGTAAAACGGCAACTTTTGCGTTGGCTATGTTAGGGAAAGTTGATACAAAGATTATTCATCCCCAATGTATGTGTTTATGTCCAACTAGAGAGCTTGCACGCCAAAACCAGGACGTTGTTAATGAACTTGGAAAGTTTACAGGAATTACAACATGGCTTGTAGTTGCACAAGGAGATAAGTATGATAAGACTATTGGGTCACAGATAATTATATGTACTCCAGGAAAGATGCAAGACTTTTTAAAGAAGAGATCTTTCCCGACTGAGTTTATGAAGTTAATGGTAATTGATGAAGCTGATGAAATGATTGACCACAGAAATATGATGGCTTCACAAGTTGGACAGATTAGAAAGTTCTTTAGACAGAATTTACAGATCCTCTTATTTAGTGCAACTTATCATGAAGAAGTTCGTCTTTTTGCTGAAAAAATTGTACCGAATGCAAATAAGATTAATGTTAAAAAAGAAGAGCTAACTTTGAATACCATTCAACAATTCTACGTAATCTGTAACGATGATGCTGATAAACTCTCATTTCTATCAGATTTATACGCTTGTATGTCTATTGGACAATCAATTATTTTTGTTAATACTAGAAAAACGGCATTTTCTATAGCTGAAAACATGAGAAAAGATGGTCATGCAATTTCTGTTATATGCGGTACTCAGACTAATTCCGGTGAAAAAATGGATCATGAAGTTCGTGATCAAGTTATGGACTCGTTTAGATCAGGTGAGAGCAAAGTTCTGATTGCCACTGATGTTTTGTCTAGAGGTATTGATGTTCCTCAAGTTACCCTCGTTATTAATTTTGATATTCCAATCAGATTCAACTCTACAAATTCGATTGGTATTGGCAATGATAGTCTTTCTACAGAAGTTGACAATGAGACATACTTACACAGAATTGGAAGAACTGGAAGATTTGGACTAAATGGTATATCTATTAACTTTATTCTTCCTCACCAACTTTCTTTAATTCAACAAATCAAAGACTATTATAATTGCAATATTCAACTTATTGAAAAGGATCTTGAAAATCTTGAGCAAATTCTCAAGTCTTTGAGATCTTGATATTGAATAGCTCTGATATCACCTAAAAATGCATTCCACTTAATTTTCAAATAAAACCGAATAGCATATAGGGTAAAAAAAATCAAAGTATATTTATGATTATCTAATTCACCTAGTTATAACTAATAATTTTTATTATATTACTCTGCTTTTCTTTTCTTTACTTTATGCATTGCAATAATTATTTTTTATGGAAAAGTTTACAAAAAGGCGACAAAGGCAGGATTCGAACCTGCGCAGCGAAACGCTATCAGTTTTCGAGACTGACCTCTTAACCACTCGAGCACTTTGCCTAGAATGGGAGTCAGACCTAAAAAATGATGTAATTAAAAAAGTTTAATTTGAGACCAAGAATTATTAATTTAATAATAATAAATTTTTAGGATTTATTGATTAAAAAACTCTATTAAAAGAACAGTGACAATTTTCAATAAATAGCTAACTATATGAAAAGAAGTTATATATCTAAAAACCTAGATGAAACTTCTGAACCCAATTCCAATTTGACTTTTCTTTGAATTAAGGGTTTCTGGAAGAGGGTTGGAATTCAAATGGAGGTTTTACAAAATTTTTGCAGATTTCTTTTTTTTTTTCTGTGGAAAATAACACTTTTTTTTTCTTTCCTTTTTTTCTACCCTCAGATCTCACAAAATCTACTTCAAACTTCCTTAAGATTATTCCCAATTCATTCTTTCATCTTGTAACTCCCCCAAAAATTCTCTAGCAACATCCTTTTTAATTGAATAAAGTCTTCCAGACGAATCAAATGTCATATAAACAACCCCAGTAATTTGAGTTACTGCTAACAATTCACCAATATTACCCTCTCTGTCCTCAACTCCATAGGATGAGCTTCTCAACTCTATTCCTTGCTTGGTAACTACATGCGTTGGGTATTTTGGTCTCAATATTGACATTGACTCCACTTCATTCAAAACTTCATAATCTGTATCCATTGACATCTTAGCTCTCTTCTACTTTATTAAACAAATTCAAGCTTTACTAAAAATAATAAATTAATTAAATTAATATTTAGTCACTTTTATTTTTCTTTTGCAAAAATGCACCAATTTGTGGGGGTTTTGGCGGGAAGTTTCTATTATTTAACTAATTACGAGTGATATTAAGTAAAAAAGTTTGTGAAAATTGTTTAAATTTGAGAAATAAGAATGTGAAATCCCCGAGCATTTTTCTTCAAATCTTCAATTATTTTTCATAAAATAATCCTGAAGAAGGCTTAACTGCATCTTGGAATCAATCCAAGTGGAGATAATCCATTATCTTTAGTTTTTGAATGTGTATCTAGAAATTTTAATAACAAAGTTGGAGTCAAGAAATCAAATCTAGTTTAGGATATAACTAAAAATTAGTTGGGAATTCAAGCTTACCTTTAAGCTGGAACTTTCAATGAACTCTGACAGTGTATTCTCTTTTCTAGAATCGCCCACTTGATTCTTAGATATATTATCTAATGGTTGGAATTTCTGAGGTCGGCTTTCAGATATACAGAAAGAAATATAGTAATTGGGAACAATCTGGTCGGATGAGTAAATTTCACATTTCTTAAAAAGGGAAAAATCAATTAAATGTTTTTAATAGTTGAATTGATTAGTTAATATAATTACTTTAAAATAAATAGAATTACTTACCTGCATTTGATTATCCATATATATACTTCTCTGTTCCAAAGAAACTGAATTCGAATAATTCCAATTATTTTCTTTTGCTAAACTTCCATCAATTAATAATCTCTTTGGGTCAATATAAAGTCCTAATCCAATATACTTAACGAATGACTCCTTAATTGTCCAGTAGTGCATAAATTTAGAGATATCTTTCTGAATATATTCCCATTCTGATGGTTGGAAAGTATTTGCCATATTTTTCAAAAACTTCTCCTTAGCTTCTTCAATATTATTGTTTGATAACTTATTTCTTGAAGGCAACTCTGACTTCATTATGTCAATTCCCACAATATGTTTGGACAAAATAATTACCACAATATCTCCATCATGTGAAACATTAAAGTGAATTAATGGTTCTTCTGAGTTGTATTTATAATATGGTTTCATCCCTTTTTCTCGGATTATTTTCACCTGTTTTGAGGAAATACCATAATAATTCATTAAACTCAACTTCATTAACAACACACTCAATAAGGATCTTTTTCTATCATTTAGTATTTTATATCTAATTAAAGTATTACAAATCATTCAAATGAATATAATCTTTAATTATGCCATTAATATAGCACTTACTAAAAATAACATACCTTAAAATTCTCTCAAACTCCTCATCTTCCAATATCTCAACTCTGAGTTGATTAATTAGTTTATCAAAATCTAAATCACTAAATTCACTTAGAGTGCACCACAAAATACAAGCATCATTCAAATCTAAACTTTTTTTTAAATTTAACTCTTCCAACATGTCTTTAAGCAACATAAATATAAAGTAAAAAACATCAAAGGACAACCAAATAACCACTTCCAATACAAATTTTTTCTCTTTTTTTTTCTCACTTGTAAATCGCACCAACCCCTCTTTAGTCTCAACTCTTGTCATATATGCATTTTTGCCGTAACTTCTCATTTGCGCGCCCAGTTCTCGGCTGCCATTCAACATTTACCGCCAACACATAGGTGGTTTATGGCGGGAACTCCCACATTTGTAGGCAGGGACTTAGCGGTAAAATGTGAAATGCAATTAATGGGGTAAACAAAAAAAAAGGTTTGTAAATTATTGTAGTTTTCAAAAGTTGGGTTAAGAAAGTAATGCAAAAAATAACGATAGACATTATATGTTAAAAGAATTTAAAAGTTTTTGGGAAGAATAAACAAAGTTTGGATATTTATTTTGTAATAATATACACATTTAAAGCAAGAATTGTGGTAACATAAAATATTCTTACATGGTGTGCATGTTAGAAATAGTCCAAAAAATTAATTAAGAATTAAAAAAGGAGTGGAATTCCAAGAATATAGCACAACTAAGTAATTTTCTTTGAAAGCTCTATTATTCAAAGTACCTATTTAGTATAAATATAAATCACCTTATAATCATATACAATTTGAGGGGGGTGAGGTAAGTAACTAGATAGATTTACTAAAATTTGAATATAAAATAAAAGCTAATAAAAAAAGAATAAATGCAGTAAAGATCAGCATCTCCTTTTATTAAGGAAAATAATGATATGGTAATATACAAAGAGAATGATTTATTATCATATACAGATAATCCTTTGGGATTGTTACCATCTCGTTTTATTGTAAATTCAAAGAGTTATTGGAATATTACAGGTATATTTGTATGTATACTTAGACTATATGCATATTACCCGGTATGGTTATTATTAAACAACACAAGCAATGATTGGTATGTAAATAATGCTCCTTTTTTTATAGTTTACTCTTTAATTTTTGGTATGTTAAATTCTACTTTATATATATTAATATCATTTGGTGACCCAGGATATTTAAAAAGCTGTCCATCAACAAAGTTGAAACCAGTAGATAAAATTAGAGATCCATTAAAACTGAAATTTAATTTGGAATTGAGGAATTTAAAGAAGGGTAAAAGTGGAATGAATAAAAATGATACAGATAATGTGTTTGGATCTTCAGATGATGAGAATGATGAAGAACTGGATGAGTTTGACTTAGAAGCTGGGTCTATAAATCATTTACAAGTGATAAATCAATCTGCCAATGACACCAGCTTTGAAATTTTGGATGATAAATCATTAGCTGATGTTGGATGTGGTTCATCTTCAAATGAGTTGAATTTCTCAAATAGTATTTTAAAGTTGGGAAATGGTACAACATCTTTCCCACTTCTGAATGCAAGTAATTTGATAAAATCTCCAATAAGAATTGATAAGAGTACAGCCAACTTAAGCTTAGTAATGGAAAGTGCACCTGGGCAATTTCTAAATTCCATTGGAGTTTCCCAATTTTCTTTAAACAATAGTCGAATCTTAGATAATTTGTTTAATAATAATGAATCAGAATGTTGTAAGTTATCAAGAGATCTTTTAGATGGCGATAGGTCTCCTGAGTGTAGCTTCGCTAACTCGAGAAATTCAAATAGAGAAGAATTAACTTTTAGATTAAATCTACAAGATATTGAACAAAAAACACCAAAAGCAGACAAATTAACTCATCCCGTATCAAATTTGAACAGTAATAGTTTATCATTTCCGCTTTCTCCATGTTCCTCGGATGGAATTGACCCCCTACCAAGAGGAGAAATGAGTACTACTAATCTCAAAAATAGCTGTTTTCAAAGTAATGATGGCTACTTTGTTTTTAAAGAGGGTAAAATGTATCAGAATGGGGTCAGATTAAGATTTTGTGATTACTGTAGAATGTATCAACCACTTCGAACAAAGCATTGTACCTCATGTGAAAGATGCATTCGGACTCATGATCATCACTGCCCCTGGCTTGGAGTCTGTATTGGTGAATATAATAGATGCAAGTTTTGGTGGCTTTCTCTTGTTCAATTTCCAGAGTGTATTTGGATTCTTTACTGCATTTCTATTTGCCTTTTCAAGGCAGATCTTAATAATAACCACCCAACCATTTTTGATGTATGCTCCATGATTTTTATTGCTGGAAATGCACTTTTTATTGCTTTTCTTTCTCTATTACTTGTTGTATACCACCTTTTTCTTGCCTATAACAACCTAACTACCTGGGAGAATCTTGCTTGGAATAAGATATCATATCTAAAACCATTTCCAGATACGCAAAACTCACCGTTCTCCAAAGGACACATATATAATATAGCAATCTTTTGCATTCCCTATTATGTGGACGATCTCATAATAGGCGAAGAAGGAGAGATAATATGGGAAAGGAAACCTCCAGACAATGTTTAGATTAATTTAAAAACCTCTAGTACTAATATGGATTTCCTAATTTTTAAGAATCTTATTATATTCTTTGTTTATAATTTTCATATCCTAGGAAATGCATGCATTTCTATATTTAAAAAGCCCGCCTCCCCACGTGTGTGTAAAGTTGACTAATTGGTATGGGCAGGGTTTTCGTTTTTAAATGGGATAAATTCGACGCCATTCATATATGGTTGTAAGACTTTGGGTATCCTGAGACCTTCAGCTGTCTGGTAGTTTTCAACAATGCAACACATGGTTCTTTGAATCGCACACAATGTACCATTAAGGAAATGGCAGTAACGTTTCTCACGTTCTCCTTCTTTTCTGAATCCTAAACGACATTCAAGCGCCCTAGACTGGAAGTCTGTGCAGTTTGAGCAGGAAACAAGCTCTCTATATGAATTATATCCGGGGAACCAAGCTTCTAAATCATACTTTTTTGCTGCAGCGTCATTAAGAGCTCCAGATACAATGGAAATAACTCTATAAGGTAATTCTAAAGATCTATAAAATTCTTCAGAAACACTAATCATTTCCTCGTGGATCTTATTTGAGTCTTCTGGTAAAGTAACACAGAACTGTTCAACTTTTTCAAATTGGTGGATTCTAAAAATACCCCATGTGTCTTTACCATGGGCTCCAGCTTCTTTTCTAAAACATGTCGAAGTACCGGCATATTTAATTGGTAAGTCTTTTTCCTCAAATGTCACATTGTGGTGCATTGCAGCTATTGGTTGCTCAGATGTGGCTATTAAGAATAAACTATTGGAGTCAACTTCACCTTTGCTGTTATCAGAAGGAATATGATAAAGGGTCTCCTCAAAGTCTTGTAACTCAGCTGCCTTACCCATTAAATCTCTTTTCATAAAATATGGTGGCTGAATTGCTCGATATCCTTTCTTCAACAAAAAGTTCATAGCATAGTGGGTAAGAGCCATGCTCATTACTACACCATAATCCTTTAAAAAGTAACCGCGGTGGCCTGCCAACTCTGCACCTTTCACACTATCATAAAATCCTAATTTGCTCATAACCTCATTATGGTGTAATTTTCCAGGTGTTCCATCAACTTTGATATCTGGAATTTCTCCCCATGTTCTTAACACAAGGTTATCGTCCTCTGTATTGGAAATTGGAACATCAGGTTGTATAACATTACCAATTTTATGCCAAAGCTTATCTCTTGTTTCCTCAGTTTCCAATGCTTGTTTCTCAATGATTGGGAGATTCTTCTTTAATTGTGCACTTTTATCTTGTAATTCCTTGCAATCTGCTTTTGGATCTTTTTTTTTGATTTGAGCAATTTCCTTTGAAATTGAATTCAACTCCTTCTTGCTCTGCTCAAGTTTAAATACATCCTCTCTCCATTTCTGATCCACTTTAACAAGTTCCTCAAGAGTCTCCAATCCTTTATACCTCGCCACCTCTGATTCAGCTATCTTTTGATAATCCCCGCCCTTCTCCACTCTAATTCTGTTAATATCTATAGGCATTCTTTAACACTTACTAAAATAAATGATGATTGATTTTATTCGTCAAAAGTTTTCCTAAATTATTTTAACCAATTTATTCTTAACTGAAATTGTTCAGGGTTAATTTCAATTGCTTTATATTGAAGATGGAAGTCCCCTCAACCATTTTTTGTCTTTTTTTTTACGTATTTTATTCATATTTATGTGAGCCAATTTGTCAATAGTTATTAATTAAATTATATTATACTACTTTGGCGCCATAATTTTTTAAATATTTAAAAATAAAAATAATTAAGGGTAAAACTCAACAGATTTGAATTTTTGTAAATTTATTCCTATTTCCCAAAATAATTTTGAGTTTCTAATGACAGATTTCTCCTTCTTAACTTCTTGCTCCCATTATTTCTTTTTTTTAAGATTATCAATCATTTAGTCACAGTATAAAATGCACTTCATGCGGCGCCAATCTGTCATGGCGCCATTAGTTTTTAATTCATTTAAAAAAATAATTAATGCAAATTTGAAGAAAATAAAGTACAAAAATTATAAAAAAGAAAACCTGGTATAAATAGCTTGAGATATTTAACTAAATATGTACTTTTATTAAGCTTATTAGAAAATTTCACGATTTAAAATTACCCTTTATTTTCAATACATTTTTTTTTGGCAAATTTCGAAGTATCGGCATTAGGCGCCAAAAAACAACTTTATAGATTTTCATCATTCAATTTGCATACATCAAAAACTGACGATAAATCAGTAATTGGAAAGATCAGAACCTAACAGAAGGAGGAAATAATTAATGAATATCGTTAATTTATACGTATTTTTCTTAATCTAAGTTTTATCTTGGAAATGGATGCAGGCAGGTTTGATAATAGTAATTTTAGATATAAAACTAAAACAAATAATTATAAATGGTTTTACTCTGATAAAAGAACGAGAAGATACAACCAAAATGAATTTTTAGGGTTTAGGCCGGAACATTCCTCTTATAATAGGTATGATCAGACTTTTTACCATAATAACTCATGGAAAAGAAGAGGCTTGCATAAATACAATGGGAATAGAGTATATAATAGTCCAAGTATTCAAGAAAGATCGACTTTTGAATGGATGAAGCAGTATGAAAGCATGTTATGGGATACTTATGAAGATGTGAAATTGGACTCTTGTAGACAAAATGAAAGTACAAACAACAATAATTTGCGTTTTTATTCTAATATAAGAAATAACACAAAAAATGAGGATACTAATGATACTAGCAATAATAGCGATAATCAAAAATCTTATGATATACCTGAAGAAATAATTGTTCAGCAGAAAAAACTATTGGAATCCAGGAAGAAAAATACATGCATAAGATGTCTTAAAATACATCCCCAAGAAAAATGTAAAAAATTGAGATGCCATATATGTTCTAGCAGATTTCACTATGTACAAGATTGCCCCTGGAGGAAAAATTCAGATGACTCCACTAGGTTATGTGAATCATGTAACGGAGGAAACTATTATTTGAATTCACGTTTGGACTTTTCAACTTACAGAAGGCTAGTTTGCAGTAATCATAGTAACAATAAACACGAAAATATGTCTTCAGAAGTAACAAAAAATACTCGTATTCATCCATGTATTAAGAAGGGATATGAAGAAAGTATATTAATTATAGGAGATAAGGATTCCACGGAGACAATTAAAGACTTAGATATTGAGTGCTATAATTGTTCTGGAACTGGCCATATTATTTGTAAAAATGAAGTTCCTTTCAAGGATGTAGTCAAAAAAGCTTACTGTGCTCTTTGTGGAAATGTTGGACATAATTATCAACTTTGTAATAGATTTAAGGCAAAATTTAACGAAAATATCTCTGGAAATAACAGCTTAGGAAATAAGAAATACTATCATTCAAATGAAAATGATGAGAGTGAAAGTGAAAGTGAAAGTGAATGTGAATGTGAGAGTGAAAGTGAGAATGAGATTGAGGGTGAGAGTGAGAGCGTGAGTGAGGGTGATGAGGATGAAGAAGACTATGAGGATGAGTATGACGAAAATGACGAGGATAACGATAATGATGAGGGCAATGAGGATAACAAGAGCGAAGAAAGTTATAAGAACGACGATCTTGAAGATAGAAATTACGATGAAGAAGAAGAAGAGATTGTAGTTGATGAAGATAAAGCAATAGAGCATACAAGCGCAAATAGTTTTAGAAAAACAACAAACGGATCTCGTGACTACGAAATTCTGGCAAACATCTCAAAGAAAGCAAAGACAAAACAATTAGAAGAAAGGATTAACCTATCAAAGAGTATGGAAAGAGATCCTAATTATAGTGAGTGTTTTAGTAGTGTTAGTGCAAGCAGCGAAAGTGAAATAGACACAAATCATTTTTTAAATCAAAAAAATGAAGCATTTCACATAAAGAAAACGAAATCTCAATTTGAAAGTAAAGTAAATCCTTTCCATAGGTTTAAAAGGGCAAGAAATCCCTTTAAAAATAAATCTCTTTTTAAATTAATGGGTAATAGTAACAGTAATCAAAATGAATCTAAAATTAAATCAGCGTTTGTTAGAAATAAGAACATCTATAAATCTAGGAAAAAGTCAAGAAGATCCGCTTCTAGAAGTAGAAGAAAGAAGTAAGTCTTTATAGGTACAACACTTTTGGAGGAGCTTAGAATATTGATGAAATACACATTTTCGAAAAAATATGTTTATTACATGCTATTATTACTATTAGATGGCGCGCATTTATATTTTAATAAAAAATTTATACTAATAAATATTATTCACTAGGATTAAAGATTAATATAATATAATTTAAAGTATATCTGTAACTTTTATTAGCTTAGAAGGACGAATTTCAGTTGGATTTTTTATTAACAATTTATTAATAGAAATGGAGGTCATTCCATCCGAGTATTGCGAAAAACTTATATTTCAAGGGGCAGAAGCTGTAAGTTAATAAAAAATATTGATTTAAATTCATTGAATAACATTGGAAACTGCGTATTAGAGAATATATGAGACGACTTTATTAAATAAAAAAGTTGTGATTAAACACAGATTTGAAAAGAAGTATAGGCATCCCCAATTAGATAAAAGTCTAAGAACCAGTCGTATTTTGAGAGAATCTAGAAATCTAGTAAGGTGTAACCAAAAGGGTATAAACTGCCCAAATGTTCATTTTGTTGATGTTGACAATGGAATAATCATTATGGATTACATACAAGGAACAACATTGAATGATTACTTGAGTGATATAATGTTGAATTCTAGTAATTATGATTTAAAATTATCAGGTATTTGAATAATTCAATATCCATAATTTCATGTATTTTTAACTATAATTTTTTAAAAATTTACTATAAAAAACATTTATTTTACACATTGATAGATATTTCTACATTAATAGGAAATGCAATCTCAAAACTACACGGCCAAATAATTCATGGAGACCTGACTACTTCAAATATAATAATAAGCAATAACTTTAATCAAAGTGAAGTAATTTTTATTGATTTTGGGTTAAGTTACTCTGATTCTTTGACTATAGAAGATAAAGCCGTTGATTTATATGTACTGGAAAGGTCGCTTGAAGTTACACATCCAAATATTAAGATTGTGAGTTAAAATATGATAGCTTATTTGATTATCAATTGACTTTTTTTTTTTTTATTTCTATCAAATAGATGGACAATATTCTAAGCACATATTGTAAAGCACACCCAGACGGAAAGTCAATTCTAAACAAGTATAAACAAGGTAAGTGAAAGGAATAGACAAAACTTAAGTTATTTTTATTATTTTGAATATAGTTCAAGCAAGAGGAAGAAAAAAGGACTAATTTTTTTTTAATGTTCTTTTTGATAAATACATTCATTCATTTTTTAAATTATTTAGTATATATTACGTGTATATATTGTAATAATTGCATGCAATATATACAAAATAAATAAGAAAAATAATTTAATGCATGTAAGTACTATAAATTAATATCGAAAAAATGATTAAAGCAGAATTTATAAATATTAAACCACTTAATAAATATTTAGTTAAATTGACTTTAGTTAATCAGAATTTTTAGAATTAGCAAATTATCATTTTTTAAAATGATTATTATATGTTAATATGCTTTACTTAGTTTTTAATAATTTATTTTTGATTTTTATTTAATACCGGTGTTTGCATGTGTGGGGAGGTTCCACATTCTTTTTTTATTCTAAAGGTCAAAGTAGACGTTTACGGAATACCTGTGTGACAATTAAAAACAAATTAAAAAAAATAAAAATTTATTAAAATTTAGTGAGAAAAAAATAAAGAGAAAAGTTTTGGAGATTAGATTTTGATTGAAATGGAAACAATATAACTAAAATCTCAATAAGTTCATGATATTGAAATAGAAAATTTTCCAACTAAAAAGGGATTTTTTAAGAATTAAATCGCAAAGTTAAAATTAAGGAATTGAAGTTAAAAAATATTGCAATTTAATATTGATTCAGTAATGGAAGGAAATATAATCAAAAGAAAATGTTTTTGAAAGTATTATATTTCGTGGTTTTTTTCAGTTACTTGGTAAACTTGAGGTCAGATGCATTTTTAAGAAATGATTTAACTGACAGTTATATTCAAGAATACTTGGACAAGATATATTTGGAGAAAGACTTAATTTACTTCGAGGATAGTTTGAGTCCTACGGAGAAACCTGATACCTCAATTAAAAGTAGTTTAGCAAGTAATATGTTGAATGTACATAAAAATCAAATTTTGAATAGTCTGGGAGGAACAGAAAGACTTATTGAGTTAATAAAATTATTAGAAAGCGATGCACAGGAAGAAGAGGAGGAGTCCATAGATGAGGGTATTGAACTAAAAGATTACTTTGATAAAATAATATTGAGTTCAAATTTGGATAATAACTACTATCACTATTTAACTGAGATTGATGGGGGAAAATTCGGGAATTTTGATGGATTTGGAACCAATAGGTTAAAAATTAGCTTTTCAGAGGTTAACAAAAATAAGTTTTCAAACAGAATGAATAAAGGAGTAAAGGAATACAAATTTAAATCCAAGTTGGATCCAGTTATTGACAAAGAACATAAATTGGGAGAATTTGATCATAAAGAAAAAAATAGGTACATAAAAGAAGGTTTCTTAGCATATTCTTCAGGATATTATTTGGTAAAAAGGAAGAATCTCAAAGAAAATGAAGTTGACAAATATAATTATTCTATTAAAATTGAGTCTCCAATGGAACTTATTGATTTTAACGAACTAGTTTTATTGGATGAGATAAAGCTTTTATATAAAAAGAAAGTTCATTTTAAGCATAATAATGGCGACCAAAATACTTTTAAAGAAGATTCTAATCACAAGAAAGTCAATCAAAAGACTCAGAATGGATTTGGGGTATTTTATAGTGGTGATGAGAATTATGGAGAAGAGGATGATTACGAAGAATTGGAGGATTATGAACTTGAGGAAGAGTATCAAAGAGTAAAAATAGCAAAGAACTTTTTAACAAGGGGATATCCTGTTTGTGAATTAAAATGTGTTGTCAGGGATTTACAAAACAAGGTACAGTGGACTGAAAAAATTGGAAAATTTATAGTTGAGAATAAAGTGAATAATAAAGAACAATCAGAGATAAATATTATAAATGGTAACAATTGGTGTGACAGATTGATCTTTCACAATTGTATAGGGTTTGAGTTGGAGTCAGTGAAGATAAGCATTATGAATGAAAAATTGCTGGAAAAAGTACACTTTGTTGAAAATGTATTAGGCCCTCAAATAAACAATCAAATTGAAAAATATTTTAATAATTTATTTAAAGATTTACCAAGTAAAGTTCTTAAACCCAAACAAATTGGTAAAATGATAATACTAAATGAGTTTTTGGAGTCTAATGGATTTATTATATCCAGAAATAAACAAAAAAAGAATGAATTATTGATGAGATACGAAAAGATTTCAAAGTTCTCTTGGAATTTAATAAGCTTAAATCAAATTCTCAGAAATGTAAAACATAAGCTCAAGATTAATCATTTGAACAAAGGTTTTACAGTACTGAATTCATCATCTGGATTGTTAATAAAAAAAGATGATCCATTAGTTAATGTAATAAAACCAATTATCAAGCAAAAGTTTGTACTCGATATTGAACAAGTCTTGATATTTATACAGAATATATTATTTCTACTAAAATATGAAAATTCCAATAATAAAATTTTTCTTCCATGGTATAATAAATTAACTAAAAATGTTTTTACTAAGCAAAATAATTTCATTAATTCCTTATTTTCTGAGTATAATACTCTAGTCAAACTTTTTGGCCAACAAAAGTTCTATAGCAAAGACAGATTCTACAGGTTTCATACTTTTAATATTTATTCTTTAATTTCACATTATAAATCATACGAAAATAATAACCATAAGAATAAATTTGGAAAAACTATTTATTCATCTGAAATTCGAGTTTTTGTGATTAATACAACTCTTACATACTATGACCAAATAAAGATTAATAACATCTTTAGAAAAAAAAGTACTCATTCAATGAATAATTCAGACATCCCCATAAATATCAATGATATTGATATTGAAAACTTCAAATACTTAAAAGAGTATTTCTCTCCATTAAAAAATGAGATTGAACAAGATGAATGGGAAGGAGGAGAATTTGACGAGGATTATGACGTGTATGAAAACTACTTTAGAAATATTCAATCAAGAAAAACTAATACTGGTGATTATGTAATAGAAACCCCAAAACTAATTAAAAAATCAGTGGGAATTAAGGGAAATATAGAATTCAACCCAAATCATTTAGTTTTCCAAAATAACTTGAGTAATTTTGGTTTCAATATTGCATTTATTAATTACATTTATCAAAATTCTTTGAATTTGGATGATTCTGTAATCACAAGTCCTCCTTGGTGGATGGTTTGGCAGTCCCAGTTCTATCCAAGAATATCTATTATAGACAGTAATAAAGAGCAAGATCTTAATCTTATGGAGAATCCTGACGAGTTCTCAAGAGAAATGAATTCAACTTGGTTGGAACTTCCAGTAAATTCTGAGAACCCAAACTCTTTTCTTGATCTGGGGTCTTTTATACCTAAAGAAATTATATCAAAAGAAATTCTAGAATCTGTTATTTTAGAAAAGATTGAGCTTGTAAACCCTGCCGGTATAAAGAAAGGAGATTTAAATTATAGTAAAAATAAGGATAATATGTGGGAAATAATTAAAGAAAAACAACAATTTTATATAAGTAAATGGAAGAAATTTGATTTAATTAATGATCCAAGTAATTTGTTCTTTTATAACCTCTTTAGTAAGAAACAGACCCTTTCAGCAAACTCAAATTTTAATTCCACCAAATTTTATTTTAATCCATGCATTATTAATATATTTAGTGAAAGCAATAATTCTGAATGGCTTACAAATTGTAATGCCAAGTGGAAAATATACTCATTCTTGTTTGAAGAATTTATTTCTACAATTAATCACTACTTAAACATTTCAACATTTTTTGATTTACTCAATGAAATAAAAATTCTACTTGTAGTTCAAAGTCAAATTGGGTAAACCAGAAAAAATTGGAAAAATACTAAGAGATAGAGGCTCAGGAAAAAAAAGGGAGAGGAAATTTTAAATGGGACTTCTTCATTTTGAATTATGGCCTTAAAACACAATGCAAAAAACATAATAAAGAAAATCATCTTTTCACCCTTCTACCACTGTTCCCACCACTTTTCATATTCATATTCATACTCCTACTCTTATTCTTCTCCCTCCTCTATTTCCTCTTTTTCTATGCGTTAAATACATCTACATGTACTCACTTTTCCTTTTTTGGTATACAATTAATTACAAAAATTTGGGCGGGAAACAGAGAAAACTTATTTAATAATATATGTAATATATTAATATATATTAAATTAGTATACAATATATATTAATAAACAATATAATATACATAAAGTATTTAATGAAAACCAAGTGAATAATAAAAGGTAAAAGTTGACTGTTTTCAAAACCAAAAAAGAAACAAAAGATTTTTCAAAGAAAATCTATAAATAATATTAAAATCATCTATTTATATGTATATATTGATAGATAGAAAGATAGAAAGGTAACCTGGCACAATATATATATATATATATATATATATAAATATATATATGTAATATATATAATATTACATAGTAAAAATACGTTAATAAACAATCATTCATATAAAGAATTGGGAATAAAGAGAACCAAAGTATTTATAGCGAAATAAGAATGGCAAAATCTAGTTCTGGTAAAGTTAAAGGATCAAATAAAAGTATGATAATAAAAAGGGAGAGTCAGGTAAATGAAGAAACAAAAAGAAGGTTGATTATTAAGGGATCGAAATGCAAGGAAAACATACAAAGTTTGTTGAAAGATTTATTTAAGATTTTCCCAAGGGCTTATACCAAAATTGTTAGAGGCATTACAAAGGGAGAGCTGATAACTTCTCCATGGGTAGATTTTCACAAGATGGAACAACTATCCTATAAGCATGGTTCAAGTATAAGTATATTTGCAAATAGCTCTAAGAAACACCCATTTAGATTAATCTTCACAAGATATTATGATAGCCATATTTTGGATATGTATGAATTCAATGTACTAAATTATAAGGGAATTTCCCCAATTGTGGAATTACCAAAGTATGGATCAAAACCAATAGTAATTTGCCAAGGAGCTCCTTTTGAATCTGACGATGTTTATAAAAGCATGAGAGCAATGTTTTTTGACACTTTTTCAGGTCCAATAGTTAGAGGATCAAAACTGTTTCTCAAAGGATTTGATCATTTAATCCTCATTACAGCTTATGAATCTAAGACAGAGAAAAATACTGATCATTCTTCAATTATTGGATTACAGGATTCTAAGATTTATATTGATATTAGAAGTTATTTAATCCACTTAAATAAACCAACAGAACATATACCAAATGAGTCACTAATTAAATCAGATCAAAGCCTTATTTTAAATGGATCACCGAGAGCAATTTTATCAGAGATTGGCTTACAAATAAAGATGGAATTAGTTAAGCATCAGATACCAGATAAGAGCTTACTGAAGTCAGCAATGATGATTCCAAGAGAAATTAAACCTAAAAAGGTTAAGAATATAACAACAAATGTTTTAGGAGAGTCAATTGGAAGAATCCATGTTGGTAAACAGGATTTAAGTACATTAAATACTCCTCATGCAAACATTTTATCAAAGATTAACCGTAATACAGAGTAAAGATTTGATTGTTATAACAATTTAATAATATAAATCTAGTTTTTTACTTTATATATGTATATATATATATATATATATATATATATATATATATATATATATATATTAGTATTATACATTTAATTAGCTTGAAAACTAAGCTTTTTATAGTATTTAACCCCAATCAATATCATTTAACATACTATATCCAACAATATTTATCTCTCTGTTTTTTAGCTCTAATATCCAAGATGTCTTCTCTTGATAAGCTTGAATTCACTGACTTAACTACAGTCTTATACTTAAACATTCCATCCTTTTCTCTATAGGAATATGTATTACTTTTGCTTATTACAGACAAGTCATTATCTATATCATTAGTACTAATATAGTAATATTCACTAGTTGAAACCAAATCACAAGAAAATTCCCTCTCAATTATTAATGTTCTTTCACTTATAATATTTATCACTTTTCTACTTTCTTTAATTAATGTATTCGGATGTTCAATTTCTATATAATCACCAACTTTAAGTTCTTGTTGAAATTTTGTATGAAAACCCTGTACTGTGGTGTTTGATGTTATAATTCTTCCTTCCCCTTTCTTTTTCTTCTCTTTACCTTGAAAATTAAATGGTTCAGAATTTTCTGATTTATTATCAAGTTTTTCTTTTAAATTAATATTTCTAGTATTATTACTTTTGTTATTAGTTTCCAAGCCTACTCTCTTAAACTTGATTTTTCTTACTCGGCTGTAGATATCGTCACTAGATTCTTTCATATTTATTTATTTCTCAATTGCATCAGAAGGAAAACACCCATTTAATTTCCTAACTTTGCCTCCATTTCAAGGTTAAGCTCAATTACTTGACAAACTTTATTGACAAAAGTGGCTCAATCTAAAAAAAACAAACCAAAAAAAATTTGTTTGTTACCTCCTTTTATTTCCTTATTTTAATTAATTAAATAATTTTTACTTACAAAGTTTTCTTTCTTTCTTTTTTATTGCATCAAATTCTCTTTCCATTAATTAATCTACATACTTTTGGCGCCATATGTGGCCCGATACCGGGATGAAAAAATATTAAAAAATTGCATGCATGCAAAAAAATTTATTAAAAATCGATGTGGAAAAAGTAATATTGGAAAGGAAAAGTATGTAATTAAAGGTTTTATTAGATTAAAGTTCAAGTCAGAATAAAGTTAGAAAATAGGAGACGAGTATTAAGTAATTAATAAATACAAGAAAAGCAAAGGAAATAAATTATTTATTTGTATATATAGAGAAAAATAACATTTAGAAGCAGAAAACAGATAAATTTTTCAATTATAATAAAACAATTACTAAATTTATTAATATATTATAAGTTATAAATTGTATTTGTATATTATAATAGTATTAATACTACTATTATTATTTATTATTGTTATTACTATAAATACTACTATTACTAGTAACATTACCAGCAGTGTTGAAACTATAAATAATAGCATTACTGTTGTTTTTGCTTTAAATAATACAATAAATACTACTAATAATACTAAAATCATAATATTAATACTTCTACCAATACCACTAATAATACACAATCAATATTTTATTAAGTATAAGTTGGTTAAAAGGCAAAATTCCCTCAACTTTAAGATACAAAAGGAAACAAAGAAAATTTATTATTAACTAATATTTGAGAAATATGAGTTTAAATTACACGACAAAATTACAATACTTATTTGGAATCATATTATTACTTGGTATTGTCCATTCATTAGTATTTGACCAAGCTAAAGTTGATTGGATATTTAGTAGACAAGCTGATGCTTGGTTAACAAACTTAAGATCTTATTCTACTATTTATGAATATTCTCAAATAGAAGGTACTCCAGACAAATCCAAGTTATTTTCAAATTACAAAACAGCTTCCAATGAATCAATGGTTTTATTTGAAGAAAATGTTGATCATCTCTTTGACTATTTCTTTTATGGATTTGGAGTGGAAATTGTTGAGTTTGCTACACAAAGTAATACTACTGTTGACGAAAATGACTTCAAATTCAAAAGGATTAATAGGAAAAAAATAATGGACAAGCTTAGACAAAAAACCCAGTTTAAAAACAATATCAGAAGCTTAAAAGAAGAGAATCCTGATGAAAATAACAATAGGTTAAATATCCTACAAACTTCCTTTTATTGGCCAAACGAGACAGAGAAGTGGGCTAAGATTAGTTTCTTAGAGTCTGGTTCGATTACAGAAACTAATTTTACTATGAGTACCTATAGAAATGAAACGGGACTTTTGACAAATCCAAAAGAATTAGTCCTTGTATTTGAGGTTTTGGAAGATAATGCTTTTAGATGGGGAGGTAATTATGTTTGCCAGGAATTAGTACAAGAACAACTTTCTACTGAATCAAATCCTCCTTCTTACATCCCAAGTGAAACTCAAAAAGCTAATGTTCTTGCAAAAAAAGGTCAAACATTATGGTATGGATTTTTAGTTACCTATCCTGAAGGCCAAATGACCAATATTGGAAGTTTTGCTAGCCCAGGACCAGAAACCACTGATGAAAAACTTCTTATGCACATCTTTTCCAGATACTTTGCATTTACAGAACCTTTCATCAAGCAAGGAAAGTATCCTGAAATTGGAAAATATGATGGTGTTATGTCTATCGTTAGTGATACTGGAGTCATTAGTACAGGAAGTACATTTTATTACCTTAAAACTGCCACAATCTCATCACCTTCAAATCCTGGGCTTGTTGTTCCTCCAAAGTTCACGGGAAGTGCAGACAAATACCCATCCAAGCATGATCCCTATGACTTCCAAGATCCACTAGGACCTTTATTTGTACCTGGAAAACACTGTAGTGAATTTTTGTTAAATCACTAGAATAGATTATTTTAATACTTACTTTTAAAGAAATACTACTTAAGTCTGTTAAATGGTTAAACTCTCTTAGAATAAATACTTATCTAATAAACACACACACACAAAAGTCAAATAATTAGTTTTTGTCATTTTTTGACATATTTCGGACATTTTCTTATTTTGAAAGTTTATCATTTTTACATGTTCAATTAATATTTGATATCCCAGACGTTTTGGCGGGCAATTTCATTAGTATTTTTGTGTATTAAGTTAAACTATAAAAAGAAAAATATATTTTAATTCATTAAAATATATTGTAAAGAAAAGATGGAAGTTGGAACACACTTTAATTTGAATTAGAGGAAATTTTTGGTACTAGCAGATTATTGAAAAGTTTCTTAGAGTGAAAACTGAAAAGCTTGAGTATATTTTGTGAATACCGTTTTTTTGGACGTGTGAGATCAAAGCAGATTGGGAATTTGAGCATCATTTAAGTTCAAAAAATGCCTCCAAATCTAAGAAAGAAGAGAAAGAGGCCATCTAAGTCACTAGTGGAAGATGAAAAAGAGAATCAGTCAAAGTTGGTTGGATTCAAGACTAGTATTGTCAGACCAATAGTAAATCCAAAGTCAGAAATACTGGATTTAAAAACATTAAGCGATTCTAAAAACGACGAGAATCTTATAAATACGTTGAATCAATTTGATTTAGACCACAACTTTGGTCCATGTAGTGAAATTTCCAGATCTCAAAGACTTGAAAGAGGCAAGAAATTTGGGATATCTATAGACTTGAATATAGAGAAGGCTATAAATGATCATTGCGGAGATCATAATAGTGAAATGTCAGTTTCAATAATAGATAAACTTATGAAGCACTACGTTGATTAGCATTTAGTTGCAATATAATTTTATTATTATTAATTATATTATAATTATTATTGTTAATTCTTTAATATTAAAAAAAAAAGAGAATTTGGCGCCATTTAAAAATATATTTAAATAATTGGCATTTCAAACTACTGTCAACAAAAGTAAGAGGAGATTTATTATTTTTAGTATACGTTAATTTGTGTAGAATATACTGAGTTTCTTTTTCATGATATCAAAAGTGTTAGAGAGAAGAACCACGGCTCCAGAAAATGTTCTACCTGCTTTTAATCAGGACTACTCTATACTAGAGGATTGCCTAGGCCACCAATCAGTGGTAAAGATTACAAGATTACATGACACAAAGAAAAGGAGCAAAGTATGCGGTATAGATTGGACATGTGATGGGGATAAGCTTGTTTATAGTGCTAGAGATAGTATACAATTAATGAACCCTCAAATGTATGTGGCAGAAACAAGCATTCCAGGGCAATGGTTTAAGGCAATTCCCAGTAGTTTGAATCCTTTACAGATGATTTGTATTGCTCTGAATAAACCTTGTATAGAATTTTATGATCTTAGATCAGGATTATCACATTTTGAGATTAATATTCCAAATGACTCTTTTCTAAACGTAGCTTGGTCAAAGGATGATAAGACAATAGTAACGGGAGATAGAACTGATAACTTATATGCAATTGATTTGAGGTTTCCAAAAAGCTCAAAACTTCCAATACCGATTTTGAAATCAAAAAATAGTGGTGAAAACGAAACTAAAGTAGACTTAGATGATACCAATGAAAGGCCAAAAAAAAGAGATCTTCCTTATTTTATTCAAAGTCACAAAAAATCTTCAGAAGAAATTAATGATATTACGTTTAGTTCAGACAGTAAGCATTTAATTATGGCTAGAAATGATGGAAAGCTGGAAATAATCTTTTTGGAGAATTCAAGAGATATTCTAAATCAAAATAAGTCAGAGCTTATTCAAACACATCTTTATAGCTCATTAATTGTGACCGAATTTTCAGATATAATCGCGAGTTTTGGACAAGATCAGACTATTTCTCTTTTGGATTTACCTTCCAAATCAATAGTTTCAACACTTGGAGGAATAGATGGCATTGCAACTAGTATAGAGTTCAATAATACAGGTGAGATAATATCAACAGCAATTTCTTCAGAAAAAAAAAAGCCAAGTGAGGATTCTAATGATACATTAATGCTAAACAATACTCAATTAAAGATTCTTAGTCGTTTTGATGTTCCTGGTAGAATAACATCGTCATCTTGGCACCCTTATAGACAAATTTTGGCTTTAGCTTGTAATTCCTTAGAATCTAATAATGCTAATAACACGAGCAGCTCAAATAGTGGAACTAACACCTCATCAATACATTATAATAAGATAATTTCAAGTGGACTAAATGGACCAAATATTCCATTTGTCGGATTTCTAACAGTAGAATAATTGACTTATAATAACTAAGAGGATAAAAGATAAAGAGAATATAAGAATTATATAACTACTAGCTTCTTTTCTCTTAAATTTTTAGACAACCTACAATTATATACCTAATTGCCTTCTATTGTAAGCCATTTCCCCTTTTTAATTAATATTATTACTAATTATTGTTGTCAGTCTGTGCCTACTCCAGTCAGCTCAGGCCATTTTGATAGCTTCCAGGAAATGTTCTTATTCTGACTGAATAAAGCATATTTCATGCATGCAAGCATTCCCGCCTTTTAGTTTGTTGCATGGGCGGCACAACTAACGTGTGAGGTTCTATTCACGTTTAGAGTGCTTTTTACTGGCATTCATCCATTCAGCAAAAGGAGTCCCTTTGGTGATGTATCTTTTGATGAAAAAGTCAAAAAATAGAGCGAAATAGGAGATGTACATAAGGCAGGCAAATATACCATTGGTTTTAACGAAATAGCAACCAACTTTGAGGGGCTGAGTTAGATGCTCTGTAGGGAAGACGTTCACAAAAGGATGCTTATAAGAGTAATAAATACCGGAGGTAGTAAGAATGGTACCAATAATCATTTGAATGATTTGGAGGACTGTGATAGCCATGCCCCATTTTGGTTTTTTCCCACAGGAGGAAAGATAGTAATAAAAGTACATAATGGAGTGGACGAAGTAGTTAATGGCACAAAAGAGGACTCCAATGGTTTGGCAGTGGGCGTATGCATCCCATGTATATAGAAGTACGGTAAGGTGGTGGAACCAATGTAAAAAGGAAAGTGATTTTTTTCTAGCTATAATAAAAAAAGTATCAATTAATTCAATGTACTTTGAGTATACGAATAAACTAAGCCATAAACCTGTTGGGCCTTTCGTTAATTGAGCTATTTGGGGGGAGCAGATAGAGAAGAGAAAGCCATACTTAAAAAGGTTGTTTAGAATATATGGCATCAGACGGAGAGTTCCAATCCATGAGAAAATCGCCAGAAAAAGATTCCAATATTTCAAATGCTTTTCTAATTTTAAAGGACTTCGTTTCTTCATGATTTTTGGTCCAAGATAAATGAAGAATGCATAGATTATACAGATTATATGCGCCAAATAATAGTTATCATTAGTCCAAAGGAACAGTTTTAACCCATCCCAATTTCTTTCAATTGGAAGAGTTATATACTTGAACCATGGAATTTCGTTTAAAATATTTATATGCTCGTTATTCATGGGAATTCCCCAAACTCCGTTAATGTTATCTATAACGTACCCATCATTACTATTTTTTATGATCATTTTTGTATACTTTACTAATTTTTTTTTAAATATAAGTTTCTTAATTAGTTAATATTTTATTGCATTACAATATGAAGTGAGTTTTAATTTAGTATAGAATGCTGTAAGAAATGGTTTAATGGATTCCTAATCTGATCATTAGTGTGAAGAGAAATACTAATGATTTAATTAATTATTGTATTTGAACTCCAAATAATGAAAAGTTGAAGTAAAATAACAATATTTCTGATTTTCTCAAAGTATTTAAAAAATACCTCCAAGCTTGTACAGACAAAGTTTATATATTCAAAATATTGGTTCCCCTTTTTTTTCTATATTATAAACATATATCTATTTTTTCTCCTCTTTAAATGGATTATCTAATTTAATACAAGTTTTACTTAAATATGACAAAAAAAATTGCCAATTAATTTCAAACTTGCCATTACTTGATCACCTAATTAATTTAAAGTGTTAAATTTTCATTTAATAATATATTTTATTTATTCACTCAGGCTAATACCTTGTTTTCCCCTCACTTATCCCCACAGTAATTACATAAATAACTTCAAGACTTGGTTGTATTGGCGCTAAAGAGTTTAGGCGGCATTTTCGAGAATTATTTTGAATTGAATTAATAGTCTAAAAAAAATTTATATTTATATTCTTAAACGAAGAAAACTAAAAAATAGTTGTAATTTGTCATTGAATTCTTTAAGTTGATTAATCATTATCACGTAATATTTATAATTGTACTCGGAAAATAGTAGAAAATACTGGCGTCAAAATTATTAAAAAACTGGTGTTAATAGTGTAGTGTTTTATTTTGAGTAGAATTGGGTGTTTTCTTTCTAGTCTAGAACTCCTGGCTTTATGTAGAGTAGGGATTCAGCTAAAAAAGAACGAAGTGAAAACCGAAATTACCAGAAAATTAAATTAAAAAAAGTCAATTGGGAAAAAAGTACACGTGTCAATCCCCCACATGTAAGTAAAAGAATGTATACCGGTGAAAATTAGTTAAATGGGTGTAAATTGCATGACATTGAAAACGTTAGAAAAACCAAATTTAAGTGAACTAAATAACTTTAAATAAAAAAAAATTTTAAAGTTAAAATAAAAAAAAAATATTAAAAAACCTAATTTTTTAAATTATTAATACATATATGTCTCAATAATAGATATTGGAAAGGGAGGGTAGGTGCAGACAGCCGCGTGATGGAATAGCAAGTAACTACACATATTATTGGACAGTCAATACGTATGTACGTCTGTATGTCTGCTATTTAAGTAGATAGTTTGCACAAAATATGAAAATGTTTAAAGAGAGTAATTAAAAAAGAAGAAAATAAGAGAAAGAGCTCAATCGCCTTTTTTTTTAATTTACTGAGGAAAGGAGGAGTCGAACCCAATAATTGGATGTCATATTATTATGAGTATATGATTGAGGGGTTCAACACATACAAGTTTGAGAGTATTTATTAAGGATCCAAGATAAAAACTACAAGGTACCAATAAAATAATACAAAATATAGGAAATCGATATCTTGGAAAGCTCATATTTCAAGTCTAAGTTAAGATTTATGCCAAATCTTGTAATTCGAAGCAAAGAAACCAAAATAGGATTTGAAACTGAAGATTTCTTTACAACATTGGACTGGAAAAAAAAAACTTTGTAAAAGGTAGCTGTATACATATATATACATATATATGTATATTTATATATATATGTATATGTATGTGTATGAATATATTTGATTACCTATTATTCTTATACTATACAAACATTCAAATACATTCAGATTATAAATAAAGTGTTTTAATAACAGTAATAACCTCGGGTTTAACAATTATGGCTAGACAGGGAAAAGGTTTGAGGCGTTATTGCGATATCTGCCGTGATGGTGATACAGATTTGAGATGTAATCAATGTGGAAAAGTATTCCACTTTGACTGTCTTCGTAACTGTAATCTTATAGGAAGCGATACTGAGATTGATGAAGAGTCATTTTGCTGCCCTGATTGTAAAAATAACGAGGACTTTTGCTATATATGCCAAGAAAACGAAACTGGCGATATTATGTTATATTGTGATGGCTGCCCTAAATCTGCTCACTTAGGATGCTTAGGTTTAGAGGAAGAGCCTGACTCACCAACTTGGTATTGCCCAAACTGTGATAATGATTCTGGACCAGGTAAGCATAAAAACAAACAAATTGGAGATGTTCGGACCTTAGGAGGTACTAAGAAGACTAATGACGAGACTGACATTAACAGCGATAGTTGTTATGTGTGCCAAAAAGGTGGGAAGTTACTAGGTTGTGATTTTTGCACCTATTCGTACCACCCAAAATGCATTGAAACTGAAGTTTTTGCTTTTGATGGTGACAAATGGAAATGCCCTGTTTGTAGAGGTGAGGATCCCTTAAAGAATATGAGACACAAAAGGATGACCAAATCGGAGCGATATAAACTCTCCCAACAATGGCAAAACTGTATCAAAAAGCAAATTAAGCAGTCCAGCATCAATAGAGATGTCTTTCTTTGGGAAAATAGACAGGCCATTTCCCCTTTTGTCTCAAGAAAAGTTCTTGAACGCCTTAAAAAGAATGCTGAAACATACCGGAAATCCAATCTTAACCAACAACAAAACCTATCTTCAAGTATTGCCTCTAATAAGAAGAGGAGAATCAGGAAGATACAGGATGATGATGCTGCTTCTGATTCCAATTCTGACTTTGAGGTAGACTTTTCCGAATCCAACCGATTGGACTCTTCTTCCGACTTGGAAAACCCCGCGCTTTCTCATCATGCAAAAGATGGCGCCAACTTCTCAGAATTTATGGACGCACCAAAGTACCGAGAGGCACATATAAAAGCAAAAGAAATGTCATTACAGATTTTGAGTGAGGGTATAGAATTGAAGGATTATCAAAGATATGGTGTTCACTGGTTGTTGTGTGCATTTTCAATTAAAGGAGGTGCTATTTTAGCTGACGAGATGGGCCTAGGTAAGACTATTCAGACTTTGACATTTTTGGCATGTTTAAAGGCTTTGGGAATAACCGGGCCTCACCTGATTGTAGTTCCCTTATCTACTGTAGGTAACTGGGCTAGGGAGGCTCGAAGATTTACTCCAGGACTAACTTTGACAAAGATTTGTGGAAGTAGGTGGGAAAGGGAGCATGCAATGATGGATCCTGTAGCTTCTGATGGCCTGTATGATCTATATATCACAACTTATGAGACTGTCGTTACTGAAGAGTCTTTTTTTGTTGACAATTTTAGATGGCAATGTATTGTCTTGGATGAGGCACATCGAATTAAGAATGAGGGGGGCCGAATAAGGCACTCAATGGATAGAGTAAGTGGGTCAATGAGAGTTCTGCTAACTGGAACTCCACTTCAGAACTCACTTAAGGAACTCTTTACTTTGTTAAACTTTTTATACCCTGATATTTTACAAGATTCTGAGATATTTGAGAAGATATTCCAGATGAAAGATATAACAAAGAGTGCTAATAATAGTGTATCTTCTGGTGGAAATGGTAATCGTGGATCTGATGATGATGAGAACATTGATGATTTGGATGCCTTGGGCATTAAAGTTGACTCTAAAAGAGTGAAATTGTTTCACTGCTTACTACAAAAGCTATTATTGAGACGCACCAAAGATTTGGTAATTAAGCTTCCAGATAAAATTATTCGTGATATTTGGCTTCCTCTTTCCCCTTCTGGCTGGCAGTGGTATAAACGTCTCTTGGATGTAGGTAATGTTCACGGTGACGTTTCTTTCAGAAAGTTACTTGGTTTGGTTATCAAGATGAGAATTTGCTGTTCTCATCCCAGAGGATTAGTTGCAAGATCATCTCAGCTTGATAAACTCTTTAATGTATTTGCTGAGGCTTCACCAGATCTATTATCGGAGGTAACTGATGATGCCTACAAACTAAAGAGCTCTTTTGGATGGGAACATGTTAAGGGGTCTTCAAAACTCTTTTTCTTGGATAAGCTTTTAATGCAGCTTCATAGAGAAAACTGCAAGTATATTCCTAACTATAAGGAAAGCCACGACAAGTATACTAGGGAACAAATAAGGTCCATCAAATCTAGAATATTTGAGTTGAGAAACAAAGGAGGAACTGCTTCAGGTGTTGGGTCGGCTTCTGGTGGTTCCTCATCCTCTTCTTCAGCATCTGGAAGTTCAAGTTCAAATAATACTAAGGAAAAAGACTCCAAAACTAGCAAGGACAATACAATTAATGAGATATTGTCATTTGAAGATAGCTATCAGGTTACTGATGAGTTTGAAGAAAGCTTTAAAAACCCGAATTTTAAGGATATATATTCTCAATATATGTATGATAAATGGTCCAAGAAAGCTGAGGAAAAAGTCAAAATTGAAAGTTCAGAATCCACTTTAAATTCCGAAAAGAATGAAGGAGATGATAAGGAAATAGTAAAAATGGACGTTGATACTATTAATAATAATAGTAACAATATTAATAGTGAAGTTAAGGCTGAGAATAATATTAGTAATAGTGAGAGTAATATAATGGGGGATACCCAACAGGTACCCATCAATCCAAACTCAGACGGAGGATCTAGAAAGTGTAAGATGCATAAGATATTGATCTTTACTCAGTTCCAACTAATTCTGGACGAGTTGGAGAATTATTGCCTATGGAGAGGATGGCAATATATGAGATTGGATGGAAGCACAAACAAGTTGATAAGAGAATTAGACATAAGAGAGTTTGGCCTTCCAGATAACTATGTACTGGTTTATTTAATATGTACTAGAGCTGGAGGACTGGGAATAAACCTGGTTAGTGCAAATCATGTTGTGATGTATGACGAGGATTGGAACCCTTTTGTTGATCTCCAGGCTGTGGACAGAGCCCATAGGATTGGACAAACCAGAGATGTTTGTATTTGGAAGCTGGTTACCGAATGGAGTGTAGAGGAGAGAATGGTTTTCGGGCGTGAGCAAAAGCTTAAGCTTGACAAAATGATTATTAAAGGTTCTGCAAGGGACGACAATCAAACAGAATCTGTTGATGTACATTCCAAAGTTTTTGATAATGACCATTTTGTTGCTGAGGAAAAGCTTTCAGCTGAGGAGGTTACAAAGCTTATTAGATATGGTAGAAGAGCTTTGCTGCACTTGGGAGATACCTCTAAATTGTTTGGATTAAATTTGGAAGCTTTAATGGATAGGAAGAGGGTTCCAATTCCTGATGAAGATGTACTTATGCAGAAGGAAGAAGAGGAGAAGGGAGATGATGTTCAGAACGTGATATCTGGAGAAGACGGACAACAGGTAACCCTTAAAGCTGATGAAGAGGTAGACATCACTGATATTCTTTGTGATGAGATGGATGATAATCCCGGAGCCACAACTGGTGGTGGTTTAGGTAACTGTGGTGGTGAGAATTCGAATGCTATTAATGGATCTAGCTTAACAAAAACTATGTCTAATGTGAACGTCTCTCCTTCAGACGAAGTCTTGGATTCAGCAGGGAATAATATTACCTCACAGACAGTCGGTAATACATCTATTAACATTTCTCCTACGACTAGTGGTGGTGATGATGACAGTTTATGGAGATCAAAAAGGACCAGAAAACCCCCTCCCCCAGTATACAATCCTCTTCATTGGGAGATGAAATCCAGAAGTAATGAGGACAAGAAGCCCACACTTAAACATGAAAGAAGTTGTTTCCGTTGTGGACAAGCTAAGTTAGAATGTTCCAATTCTGGAAACAAGGATAAGGCAAACTCTAATTTAAATGGTAACATTAATAGTAGTAATTCAGGGTCAACAGCTGGAGCAGTAGCTGGTGCTGGATGTTGTGGTTCACCACCAAATTATGGTGATGTTTCTAATAATGGAAATGGTAGTAGTAATAGCAATAATTCTACTACTGGAAAGGATACTAATTCAAAAGATTCCTCTGCAAACTCATCATCATCTTCTTCACAGGCAGGAGGTAGTAGCAAATCCAGTGGATCAATAGCTCAAGTTGATGAATATATGAAGAAGATGGGGTTGATTAACTGCAACAGATGTCCAAAGTCATATCATTGGTCTCAATGTTTGGGATTAGACAAGGTACCGCCTAGGACATGGATTTGCCCTTGGCATGAATGCTGTCTTTGCTTCAGAAGAGCCACTCAGGCAGGAGGACTCCTGATTCACTGTAGTGAGTGCCCTACAACGTTTTGTATAGATTGCTTCCCTCCAGAGTATGCCAGACATCAAGTTTTAGACAGTTTTTTTGAGAACTTAAACAAAAGAGGATGGAATGTTTCGCGAGACTCAATGATTCTTTTCCTATGCTCCAAATGTAAGGCACTTCAACAACAAGAAATTAGGAAGAAGCTTTCTAGACAACAACTTTTAGAGGAGCAACAACGAAGGAGAAAGATGAATGAACAGCTTAAGTCGGATGTACTAAAATCTGGTCAGAAGAATCTAGACCAATTTGCTTATCTAGGTCCTAACTCAGGGAATAGAACTAGTCCATATTTATCAGGGAGAAAAAGAAATATAGAAGCTGCATGGAAACTAACAGAGTCTCTTATAAGGAAAGGATTTGAAAGGCTTTTTCCGCCTTTGTTATATAAACTCCAACAGGAATATATTCAAGAGAATGCAAAACATGAAGCTGCCATATTAGCTGCAGCTACGAATGGAGCCAATGGGGAGACTGATCCTGATCTTGAGAAGCAAATTGGAGGATTACGAAAGAGCCCTTGGATGAGGCCTCCTGGAGAATGGCTTCGTCTATGTGATAATTGCCTTCTTCCATTCCACGATGTCTCAGGATGTCCTTATCCCTTAGAAGTTGTGAAAGTGTCAGTACCTTCTGGAGTAACTCAAATTGATGTACAAACAGGGCAGCCTTTACAACTAGCAGATGGAACTAAGATAGCCTCAATGGAGGAGTTTATTCTACTTTCCAAGAACGGAGGAGTAGACTCAAAGTTTCAAACACGTTCATACTGTTCTCTTTGTGGGTTGTCTGGAAGAATGCATACTAGAAGAAGCTGTCCTCTTCTTCCAGATGAAGCAGAGCAAGAATATGAGAAGAGGCAAGCTGTTTTGGATAACTTTATACAGACTTTGAATACTTTCCATGTAGAATTTCCATTAGAGTTAACTGATCCTGAAAAGATTACAGGAGGCTGGGAAAGTTATAGGAAAGCTACCCAGAAAATTGCAGAGGAATTCTTAAGAGACTGCTTCCTTTCTTGCAATCTTCACAAAATTATAACACCTTCCGGTACTGCCTATATTGGCCGTCAAAATGTTGCAAGAAGTGTAGTTTATGGAACCCCAGGGACTGGAATGGGCCAGGTTCAAGGATCTTCCAATATATTGGGAGTTGGTAATATACATCTCCAAGCTGGAATTGGAGGGATGAATAATGTTGGTTCAGGACTTTTGATTCATGAAGGCCATAATGGTGGAATTCCTTCGAGTGCCATGGCTTATCTCGGGATTGGAGGTGGCTCATCTTCTAATTCAAGAAATTCTAAACAAACATCAGGCAGAGGAGACCAGTCAGGTATTGGAGGTTTTACTGGATGTTCTATCCCAACCTCTTCCACTATGAGTGCAGCTGCGGCTGCCATTCAACAAAGGATGAATGACGCTGCGGTGTCTTTGGCCAGAGCCAGGTATGCAGCGGCAGCTGCAGCTGCAGCAGTTTCTGTGGCTGGGTTCAGGCACCCTCAACCGATTCTTCCTTTCCCAATGGTCCAAACTACAGCTCCACCCCATCCATACAGTATCTTTAGTTCTGGTAATCCTGTTTCAGCTGCAGCTGCAGCTGTTGCGGCTGCATCAACTCCGCTTTTCTTTGGAGTATCCAATCCTAACATGGCTGCTGCTGCCGTCGCTGCAGCTAGAGCCAATATGCTTGTAGGAGCCAATATGGCAGCTTCGGTAGCTGCTGCTGCTTCAGCTACAAATGCCAATACTAGCTTCAGTACTTCCAATTCATCCTCTCAGTCTTTGGGAAGCAAGAAAAGAGCAATAGATGCTTTAAAAACTGAAAACAGTAACGGAAACATGATTAATCAAGGAACAAGTTCTACCAACATAAGCAATAGTAGTAATGGAGGGTTTACAGAAACAGTTAAAAACACATCAATAAGTGTCGACTCTCCTCCAAACAAGATTAAAGTTATAGACAATAGTAGCAATGATAATAATGGGAATTCTGAATTCATTATGGACCTACCAGTCTCATCATCACCTAATCAGAATTCATAACAATTATTCTTTTGTTTCTAAGAAATTTCATTATTATAACCAAAGCTTACAAAATAACATTTGATTAGACTCTAAAATTCAAACTAAACTTGCTATATCAAAAGTTGAACTACAATAATCATCACTATTATAATCACTATTTCTACTTTATTCTATTTATTATTTTTTAACACGTCATTTTTTACATGAGCGCCCACATACACATGCATTTATGTGGATGGGGATGATTATTTACTTTATTCAAAACATTATAAAATTGATTTGATACAGATAATAAAGACGGAAATTTGGATGAAATGAAAAAGAGAAAATTTTTAAGAAAGTTAATTATTAATATTTTAATGATAGTAATATAATAATTATTATTGTTATTTTTTAGTTGGTGGTTTAGTTATCAGATTTACCTGATTGAAATTTTTTTTAAAGATTTGAATATTCTAAAAAATATCTACTTTTTTTGTGAACTTCAATGTTAAAATACTTCTTTATGGAGATTATAATGGTTATGTGTTGTTGGTATTGCGTGAAACAATGAAATAATGTAGAGGGGAATTCAAATGGGAAAGATGTTTTATGTTTGGTAGTTTTGTTTAAAGAGTAATAGTGCCTTAGAGCATATACCTTTACTGTGAGATTGAACGAGCTGAGAAGCTTTTACTAAGTCTTTTTCAAACAAAAAACTTTCGTGCTCTTTAGACAATTTCAAATGGAAATTTGTGGTATTAAAACAGTTGTTTAGTGTGTAAAGTATTGATATGAAGTATTTAGCAATTTTTTGAAATGGTTTAAAATAACAATTTCTATCACTTTTATTTTGACATTGATTTTCAGTTATTTCTGTATTGGTAATGTCCAAGTAAAAAAATTTCCATTTTTTAGGTAAATCGAATTCTAGTGGCTTTAACATATGAAGCCGATTTCTAAAATCCATTCCAGTTTCTTCATATAATTCTCTAGCTGCTGCTACTTTAAAAGAATCTTCTTTAGGTAAAATATGTGTTTTAATATTATAATCATCATTGTTCATTTCCAGTTGATTGATTATCAAATCTTTTTCATCTAGTCTACCTCCTGGTAATTGAAAAATATCATGTTCACTTTTTTTAGATGATTTTAAAAGTAAACATCCATATTTTTGATGAATTACAATAATAAATGATCTGAACTTATTCACGGAGTTCTTATTCATTTTTTCTTTAAATTAGATTAAATTACTGATATTTTTTAGTTGGCAACATGTAACTTTTTCTCTTTCCTCTATGCCTCTTTCTATTCCTTCTATTCTTCTTATTGCCCATTAATTAATAAGGCTCTATGATTTAAATCTTAACTCAAATATACATGATTAATTATTTGCATTTTTTTTAAATTATAAATTCAGTTTTTCTTCATTATCAGTTCTTATGTATATGTATTATCTTCTTAACTGTTAATAATAAGAGATAAGAAGAAATTAGGAAAAGAAAAAAGAAGAAGAAAAAAAAATTTATTAATATAAATTGTATTAGTATGATAATGATTTTTCAAAAAAATTGATTTGTATCTCAGCTATTCCCTCCTTTTAATTATTTTAATTTTTATTAATTTTAAAAAAATATTAATTTTTTGTCCACAAGAAAATATATAAATATTCAAAATGCATGTATGCATGCAAACAAATTTGGTAACAATAAAAAGAAAATATAAGTGGAAAATTTATTTTTTAAAAATATTTAATAAAAGTTAGGGAACTTGATAATATAAATTAAATTCAATTGTGAATATCAATATTATAAAATGCTTCAGATAAAGGAATTAATTTTTGATTTTATTTTAAAATAATTCAATCTTATCTTATTTGCTAAAATTACTTTTATTAGCCATTAACATAAGTGGTGGTTTCTCATATGTAGCATTTTGATGAAAAACATTCAAAACTAGACAAAAATTAGCAAGTGCAAAGGAAAATAAGTTAAAACTCTGTAAAATAGATCTATTTACATAAAAATAAATATTAATTCTTAAAATCATCTTTATTTTCTTTTTAATTGTACTTTTACTGGGAGTTCCCCACATATTATTAAAAATTACTAATAAAGTCTGGCGCCAAAATAAAAATACAAATTAAATTTTAATGATATGTAATAATATTGATTTTGGTAATTTTTTTCTCATATTAATTTAACCAACTAATTTTAATTTGAAAAATGTACTTCAATTAGTTAAAAAAAGAAGAGGCAGAATTAATTACTCAAGGAAAATTACTATCAGAATATTCTTTCTTTACGTTATTTATAAATCTATGTATAGAAGGGAATCTAATTAATTAATCTTGAATTCCAGCTTTTAAATATTGGCATGAAATTAAAAGAAAATTGTTCAGAAAGTCCTTCTTTACTTTTTTATTCACTAATATATTTCCTAAATAAATGAACATTTTAATAAGTTTCTTGATCTTCAGAAATAATATTAATAGTATTTTATAACTAATGTGTGCATGTATTATACAATATATATGTATATCAATTTAAAAATAAACAAATAAATACATTTAAATAATGCATATAAGTTCTAAGTAAACTGAGAAATATTTCTATGGGGAACTACTCAAAATGAAAGGAAAATGTATAAAGAAAATTTTTAGAATAATCTCCCAGAATGAAATTGAATTTAAACTGGCAATTTCGGCAATATTATTGAACTTTGAGAATAAAGACGAATCCTTAAATAGTGTTTTAAAGTATAAGGAGAACAAAGATCATAATGAATCAAATTACATTTTAAAAATAATTATGACATCATTTAATCCAATAGAACTGACTACAAAACTCGGTGGGCCATGGGAAGGCTATTTTGTATGGGATGTTATAAAGGGAAATATATTGAATAGTTATGATAAGGGTGACCAAAAAAACTCATTATTGAATTTTTTGGAAATGATGGATGATGAATCTCCATCAGAAAACTTATTATCAATGAATTTAATGAAATACTTTGAATATATGGATAAAATTCCAAATCCCAGACCAATTGATAATACCTTTGAAGAACCTACAAAAGAAAAGGATTATATATTAATTATTAAATTTGAAGGAACAGATTCAGAAATAATACTACATTTGAGATCTACTTTCCATAATAACATTAAGGACTCCTCAACAATGGAGAATATTAATATTATTACGTGTCTTAAAGAAATGGTAGAACTAATTAAGCTTGAAAATTTTAATCTACATGAGAATTTACGTAATTTAACTGAATTAAGTAATAATAAGCAAGTAACCAATAATACAGAAAATGATGAATCTCAATATAATGGAAATAATAGTGAAGATATTAAAATGATTGATAATTATAATAATGTAATAAACCAATTGAGTTCACCAAATACACGTGGAACTTTAGAATTATCGGAACTAAGAATTCCATCATATTTAAATAATTCTCAAGGAAATAATAATTCAAAAATGCAGGATATAAATAACTCATACTTGATTGATAAGCAAAGTAATAAAGATACCAATAATTATGTCACTAATAATAGTTGTAATAATAATAATATCAACTCAAAGGTTTTAAACTCTGATCTATTACATAACCAGATTAAAACTTACAGGTTTATTAAAGATTCTTTCAAAAATGGAAATGATCAATATAATGGTTCTTATTCTACAAGTTCTCTTCCTGCATATTATTCCTCCTCTTTCTCTCCCTCTTCCTCTTCAAGAACAAATAGGAAGAACTCTGCCTTAAGATCTGCAATAGATTCTGTTCGTAGAACTCAAAATGATTTAATATCCAGACAAACCAGTGCCTTAAGTAATAGATTCAACTTTAATAATGATTATGATGATTTCTACAACATCCAAGACTACGCCCCAAAATATAATCACACAACCATTTCTTCTGAATTAGAATCTGACAATTATTCTTATTACAAGTACTTTCAAAAACTCAATAAAAGTAGACAAAGACAACATAATTATGAACAACCAAACATTAACAATTACCTAATAAATGACAGAAATAAGAATAATTATGAATTAAAAACACCAAATAATACAAGAAAGATAATTCCTTTATATACGAGAGAACAATTAATGAAAAAATTATCAAATACTAAAGATATAAGTGAAAGAATTAATATTCTTAAGAATATGATTAAAAGTACTAAGAAAGAATCTTACTACATTGATGAATTTGATTAATTTAGAACTTTATTAATATTATAGTTAAATTATATTTATGACTTTTAATAATTTTGATTGACTTCTTAATCCTTCAAATAGAATTCAAGTAGATTAAATTATTGATTTAAAGTTAATAGGTTATATTTATAGATGAAATTTGAATAGGAAAATACTAACTTTTCAAGATTTTCCCAAAGTAATTTAGTCTCGTAGTTGATTCTTTTAGACCTATTTTCCAAATCTCTTAGCTTTTTTTTAGTGTCATTAATACTTTGGATATCTATTTCTTGATTTAAAAACGGTAACAAACTCTCCAACTCAATTAATTGACTTTTCATTGTATTAAACTCGTCAAAATGTTCCATTATATATGCTTTCCTCAAATCTAAAGTTAAGACGGATGATTCAAAATCTGCTGAATCCATTTCTAAATATGCCTTTATTGTTTCGTAAGTAGATAACCAATTTTCCAAAGGGCTTAAAGTATATATTTTTTTAATTATTGCTTCTATATGATCTAACTTGTAATTTATTGAATAATTTTGATCATTTTTAATTTTATTGAGTTCTTGAATATCATTTTCTAAACTAGCCATCAAACTATTCTGACCAATTGCGAACCTATTTTGAATAGGGGTTAGTGAACTATTTGATGAAATATTTTCTGTTGATTTATTTGAAACTTCTTTGTATTTATTACCAAGATTTCCAAAGTCCTCTTTTTGCAAAGAAATGGTTTCCTCACATTTCTTAATTCTTCTCTCAATGCTATTCAAAAATTCTTCTATATCGATAATCTCCGTCATTTAGAATCAAAATCTCAAATTTTCAGCTATTTAATTTTTTTTTTTAAATAATAATAAATTTTATGAGGGCATGCAAAAATTTTAATCAGGTTGAAAACTTTAAACCATGGAAAAATATTTTTATTAGCCACAAAAAAAAAAAATATTAAATTAAATTCTAATTTAATCGTTTACCTAATAGTATTTATTTCTTTGAATAGAATTTCTTTGTATAATTTTTTTTTTCCCATTATTATCAACAGGGTATTTTATATATTTATCAATAATATCAGAAACTGAAACTACCTGCATTTCTTCATTATTGTTTTTCTCGATTGCATTATCTTTATCACAATCTTTAACACAAGTTTTATAATTTTCATTATTTAATATCTGATCTATTTGAACATTATCCTCTTCATTGTTGCTCACACTTTTATTTGTATTTACACTAGAAGAGATTCCTTCTTCTGTAATTACTAATAATTTTCTATTAATATATTCGTTAACATTTAATTGATTACTCATATTGTTTCGATTAATATTTGCAATCTTTTTAATTAATTCGTATTTTTCATTTTCTAAAATACTAATTTTCTCTTCAAGAACCTTGATTTTTGAATCTTCTTTTGAATTATTAATATTATCAAGAATATCCAATTTAACATTTTTATTCGAATTTTTTAATTCTTCAATAATTTCTGCCTTTCTAGTAATCTCAAATTTTAATTGTTCAATTTCATTTTTTGCATTTTCCAGTTCACTATTAATTTTCTGATAATCACTATTTAACTTTAAATCATTTTGATTTTCCATTACTGATTGGCAGGTTAAATCAATATCTTTATTAATATTTTCATTTGGATTTTCAATATTGTAGTTTTTACAATTAATTTTCTCCAGTATTTCTTCAATTTCTGTCTCAAAGTTTAATGTATTTATTTCCACCTCATCCACCAAATATTTAATTTTTGAAAAATTACTTTCAGAATTCAATAATTCTTTAATTTTCTGTATTATATCATTAATTGAACAATATAAAGTATCTGGTAATTGTTCTTTATATCTTCTTACTCTACTATTGCGTCCGAGATACTTTTTCACCAACTTTCTTATATCATTTATGTTCTGACTATGTTTTTGTAACTGATAAACTCTTTCATCATATTGTACAGTTAACTCATCCAAAAAATTCTGTATTGTTTCCTTCTCCTCTATCAAATTTTTACATCTTTTCTCTAAAGTAGTTATTTCTCTTCCTTTGTTTCTAGTCTGAGATATAGCTTTTTCTAATTCATTCTTCATCTCCAAAAATTGTGCTTTGTACCATTCATTGTCTTCTACTACTTGTTGTAATATCATTTCTGTTCCTTGTTGTATTCTATTTGTTTCGTCTATCTTATCTTGTTCTATCTTATTCATACTGTCAATTAGTTTCCCATTTTCCTCTAATAATTCCTCTATCATTCTATCCTTCATCATTAGTTGAACCTCTAATTCGTGGTAATTTGCATTTTTATTCTTTTTCTGACCAACTATATCTTTTTTACTTTCCGATTCAACTTTTTTGACCGGTTTCGCTATATCGCAAACTCTTTTTGTATTTTGGCCTTCTTTAACAATCTCCAAGTTATTTTCTAATTCTAAATGATCAATCACTGTATTAAAACTTCCAGTTCTAGCATATTGTGATACTCCTGGCAGCGTAAATAATGTGTTAGACCTTGTTAATGTTGACATTTTCTCCTTTAATGCAATTTTTTAACGCATTTACACAATATTCAAAAGAAAAAATCTTAAAATTGACTAATACTTGCTTTTTATCTCTGATGTATTTTGCCTAAAATAAGCTTATACGCATGCATTCATTCATACCAAAAGAAAATATTCATTACTTCACTATATTATTAAACCTATTTTTTTTTAAATGATTTTTTTTTTTTTCTAAATATATTAATTAATAATTATTTCCAAATAATCATTTATTAACATTTTGCAAAGACATTATACGCCACTAAAGATCATTTACACTATTTTTTTATATTAAAATAATGATAAAGTTACACCTGTAAAAAAGGAATTCGATGTAATTTGAATAAACATATATCAAATGAATTATTAAAATACTAAAATTATGAATTCAAGTTTTAAAATTCAGATCTACTTAATTAATTGTAAAAAATTCATCCAAATGCATATATGCACTTAATATGTTCGTCCTCATTTTCCATAAAATTCTGACTAATTATAAAGGGTAATCGTATTAAACATGGTTAAAAAAGTATAAACTAAGCAAAATAAATTAAAGTTTTCATTATCAACATTCTTTCTTACCATTTATTTCCCCACAATTTTTTTCCTAAATATATATATATAATTTATATATAACTACAAATTGTCCACAATAAAATGCATGCCGCGTTTTGGCGCCAATATATAAAAATGAAAAAGTTTCATAGGGTGTATAATAAAAAGTTCTTTAGCGGGAAATACCGAGGTGGTAAATGATTTAAGTGTGAGAATATAAAAAGATTGTTGTATCAATAGATAATTATTGAGAAATAATCAAGTAAATTAACAGTTAAAACTCGATTAAAATGCAGTTTTTTTTGTAGAATGAACAAGTTTTAAAGTGTTTCCAGAGTCATTGCTGAAATTTTAATTAGGTTTAAGTTGCTTTAAATTTCTAAAAAAAATATACTTAAGTGTACATTAGTCACCCTCGACAATACTGTATGTAATTAATAATATAAAGTACCAGAAAGTATATTATCTCAGAGTTTTGTTCTAGATGCATTTCTGTATTTGATATTACGCAATTTATTGATTAAGATCTTTTTTAAGTTATTTAATATAATAAAATAAATATTAGTGATATATAAATACGGCAACAATAGTAACTTGGATTATTAATATTTTTGTTGTTGTTCTATAAGTGGAGTTAAAAAGAGATACGAATTAATTATTTTGTTAAATTAGTAAGAATACAAAGTTTGTAGTTTATATAATAAAAGAAGATTGTAATCAACAAAAAATATCGTAATATAAAGTAAATTAACTTAAAAAAAAATGGCAAATAGTTCAGAAGGTGTTAAAAGAGGATGGAAACTAATCTTGCAGAGATTTGTTTGGGAATATAAAGTTAGTAGAGCTATAAATAGAATCACATTTTCTTTTGATGAATTTGAGCAGACAAATCACTTTAACTGTTCTTGGATTATTCCACAATGGTTTTTGATTTACCTGAGGCTAGTTGTTTTTTTATATCTACTTATTATGCTTGGATTGGATGTTTCTAATTATTATAACCTAGGGTATGCTATGTATTGGGGAGTGTATGTTACAAATTGGACATACGCAGTCACTATTATTTACTATTTTTTCGCAACAACTTCAACTATATATTCATATGCAAATAACTCTATTGGAAGAAAAAAATACATTAAGTCTTTGGAACTTACAAATAGTCCATCTATTGGCGGAAGGATTCATTTGAGACTTGATGGGAATGATATCAGCCACCAAATCAATAGGCCTCGTGGTTCAATAATGAATGTTTTGGATCGAAAATTTGATCATATTGACTATTCAAAACACAAGGAACAAGTTGTTGTGTCAGACCATACAACAAATGGATACTCAAGTAGCCCAAAAAATATACAAATTAGTGAAGTTCAAATGGTTGACTTGAATCTCGAAAACAGTAACAATAGCAATAGGAATAAGGAGGCTTCTTATGGCCATGCAAGCATTGTTTCAATTTCTACAAATTTTGAATCTCCAAATAACTTGAACAAGAATGCAATCAATGATAAAAGTGAACATAAAAATGAAGTAAATGAATATATTTTACCCAAAAAAACCAAAAACATTTTTAAAAGATATTTCAACCATTTACAGTCCCATATGTTTATTATCAAATATTGTAAAGAAACAGATAGACCCCATTTTGCCGATGAAATTAACCAAAGAATGGATAATACTACAACAAATATTAATTTACCGTTATTAATTAGACTTATGTGGGTATTCCATGCAATTGCATTTCCAGCATCTTTCATTGTTTCTATTGTTTACTGGTCAATGAGCATAATATCTCCAGTTGGAGTTGATGGATTCTCTTTCTTAACATTTAATAAGCATGGACTAACTGCAGTTTTGCTTTCACTAGATACATATTTCACCACAATTCCATTCTTTATTTCTCAAGCATTCTACTCATTCCTTTACTGTGTTATATACATGATTTTTACGATAGTGTATTATATACTAAAATTACCAAATCCACAATCTCAAGACGATCTAGGCTTCATTTACTCTGCAATCAATTTTGCAGACCCTGCAGTTTCTGTTCCATGTAGTATCGGAATTTTCCTTTTATTATTTGTTACCGCAAATATCTTATGGTTCTTTGTCGGATTTTCAAGAAATCATATCATAGATCCTCTTCCTAGCGATGACGTCAGTTCTAAAGAGTTCAGAGTCAATCATTACGTGTGATTTGCATGCATGGAAATTAGTTTATATTTTAAAGTGAAAATTGCACGAGAACATTAATTATTTAAATATCAGTAAGAAAAATATCATGGAAATTAGAATATTTAATAGTAATTTAGTAATCAAATTTTCTATTTTATATTTGAATATATTCGAAAATTTGAAAAATAATTTTCCGTAAATAAAAGATAATTTTGATAAATCGAATTACGTGTAAGAATAAGGTAGATTTAAGAGGGGAAAGAATAGTAGAGAAAAAAATTGGTAGACTAGTAATATTATATAGCTAGATTATTCTTTTTTATTATTGGAAACTTTTTCTCTTTTTTTATTAAAGTTCAAGTTAATATAGAATGCCAAATAAGCGAAAATTGGAAGATTAACAAAAGGAGCAATATTATTCTGGCCAAAAGTACTCGAGAGTCCCGAAGTAACCAACTGAATTAAAAAACAGCTAGATATTGTGATTATTATAACACCCTTTCTATCATACAGATTTGGTTTTGTTAGCATATACATGCAATAGAAACATGTGTATGTAGAAAGCGAAGCTGAGTATGATGATAATATTAATCTAATATAGTCTAATGAAAAATCTGAGCTCAAAGATGTATCTGTAACAACTGGAATAAAATATGTTAGGGCAGTATGTGCTATACACCATCCTAATATACCAACATTTATTCTTACATTCACTTCATGATTTTTTGCATTTTTACTCAGTAATATTAACCTAATGAAATACAAATAAATAACTTTTGTAATAATACTCAAATACTCCATAATATTTTGAGTTGGAATTGGAATTGACGCTAGAAGTAATGATTTTAAAAAACAAGCCAATACAGAGTAAGATATTGAACTAAATAATAATGGATTAGTTCCTGTAGTCTCAAAAATGCTCGACATATTGTATACTAAATAATATGGCCCCATCAAAAGTACCATTAGTGTTATTCCTGAAAATACTGGAAACGCCATTTTTTCTGAATTTTAACATAAAAAACAATGATATTATAAAAATGTTAAGAGAATTTCTTTCTGATCTTGCAATATATTAAAAAAAAGGAATATCAAAATAATTATTCCTCACTCTTTGAGTTCTATTGTGCTCGAGGATTAATTCAAGAGATCAATTTTTACAATTGATTATCTGTAATCAATTATTTATTTATTTGTAAAAAAAAAAAATCTGTGTTTTTTCTGTTATTAAGAAATGTTGACCATTAACAAGACATTGTTTTGGCGGGAAATAAACACTTCTTTTTAATTTTAATTGTTCATTTACAGTAAATAAATTTTGCATGCAATCCATATAAAAATTTTAATTAATACCGGTATAATAATTACTACGTAATATTTACGTAATATTGAATGTTATCTTGAAGAATATAAAATGGATAAACAAAAAATCGACAAAGTAATTCGCATTATTTTTTATATATTCAATTTTATACTATAAATTTCTATTGAAAAAAAATACCTTAATTAATTTACACCCTTCTTTTCCAGTGCATCACTGTAGTTTTGCATTCTTCTTGAAACTTCATTTTCATCCAAACTAAATGTGACAGCAAACCTGTGGTACATTTCCTTTTCAAATTCGGCACACTCAAAAGTAATCTAATAAATTGATTTGATTGATAAAGAAATTAATGTTTTCAGTGTTAATACTATCGTTTTATTCTTAATTAATTCATAACTTACCCTCTCTTTCAAATTTGTTATCATATCCTCGAATATTTCCCTTTCTTTAGTTAATTGCGCTTGTGTTGTCATTAATCCCTTTCTAAACTCTTCAATTCTTTTTTCTGCTTGCTTTAATATTGACTCCTCAAAGTCCTTCTTTTCCCTCTCAATAAATCTTTCCCTTTCATTCCATCTAATATTCATAGATTTCTCTTTCAAAATCATTTTTGAATATGCAGATTGAGTAGCTTCTTCGTATTTCTTTAAATCTTCTTGCATCTTATTACGAAGTTTTTCTTCAAAAGATTTGCAAGTCAATTCTGTTAATTCTTTTGTTTTTAGTTTTATTAATTCTGCCTTTTTCTGTTGCCTTTTTGCCTCTTCTGTTGCTAGCATTGCTAAATCTCTATACTTAACCAGGTAAATCTCAACGTCTTTTAAAATTTGTGTTTTTAATTTTTTACTTTCCTCCTCAAACTCTTTCTCCATCTCATAAATCTAAGTAATCAATTATTTTGTTATTAATGGGAATTCAAATAAGTGAAAAAGGAATAACAGAAAATAACTAATATTGTTACTTTAAAAGCCATATCTCTTACATATTTCCTGTTTCCTTAACTCCATATATATCCGATATACATATTAGAGCAATCATTACTTACCTTTCTTTCATATTCCCTCTTCAGATTATTCAGCTCAGCTCTATACTCAATATTAGCTGTATCATTTAATAGCTTTTCCAACTATAATTAATTTAAATTAATTAAATTATAAATATTTTAATTCCACATTTAACCATATAATTAGTAGTAGGTAGGAAAAAATAAGATAGTTTGTCTTTTAGTTCACTATTTTTCTTTTAAATATATTTTCTAAATCTTTAAATTTGATTAAACATTATTAACTATCCTATATTATCCTATCCCCACTCTCAAATATAAATTATTTTAAAAAGAAACTTACCACCTCATTTTTACTTCCATTCTTATCTTTAATTGCGCATCCTAGTGATTGTTCATAGTAATCCCTCTGTAAAATCAAAGAGTTATATGCTTCATCTCTTTCTTTTCTAGTTAGCTTTAACTCATTTTGTAATTGTTTGCTAATCGACATTAATTTACTGAATGCATTTGGTAATTGAAGAGATGAAGTTTCCCTTGATAAATCTAATACACAAAGATCCGTTAATTTATGTTTTGGTGATATTTCATGGTTATCCTCCTTCTTTGTTTTTCCACTAATTACCATTATTTGTGTGATTCCTATTCATTTAAGTTAAAATTAACCTTTATTTCAATTATTATTATTTTTTAAAAAAATTTTTATATTAAAAAGAGGGGAAATCCTTATAATTCAAGAATACCATTTCGTTTTTTTAACTTAAATTCTTTAATTTTTTGAAATATTATTTAACTCCAGATGAATTAATTTGTGTGCATTTTGTGTGCAAACAAATTATATTTTATTCAATATTATTATATTTTTTTTAATTTACTGCCCCAAATTACTATCCAGGTCAATTTTAATCAGTCAAATTCAGTTTTTTCATTCATCTAACTTAATTCTGACTTATTTTCCTTCTTCCTTTCTATTTTTATTTTACTAATTATTTTTCACTTTCATCTTCATTAGACTTAGACAATACTTAGTGGTCATTTTAAAAAAAAATTATTTATTTAATTTTATTTCAAAAGGCGGGAAAATTAGCGATTGACATTAAATTATTCTTCATGTATGAAATTCTAAGTCAAAACTTTAATATTTGGTTAATATAAATAATATTTTTAATATTTTTAATGAAAACAACAATCAGTTATTCCAGTAATTTAAGGCAAGTTTGAGTCGGTAATATTAATTGAATAAATATCCAACTGAAATTTAAAGGTTTAAAAAGTTTCGATATCCAATCATTTTGTTTGTTTCAACATTTTTAGATCCATAACTAGTTTAGTATTATGATTTGATTCTGACATAATCAGAGGGATCCATAATACTATATTCAAGCAAAGACTCAGAGTAAATGTTTGATATATAATAATTCTTAATAGTTAATTATATTATTATTTATTTACTCTAAAAACAAAGCTTTGAGTAATATTCCCTACGAGAAAAAATGGCCAAGAAACATGACTATAATCAGTCAAAAGAAAGTGGATTTGAAATAATAAACAGAGTGGAAATTCGCATCCAAGATGCATCTCTTCTCTCATTATCAAGATCCGCCTCAGTTAGTCCTGAATGTTGTGGGTGGCTGCATGTTTTGAATTTGAAAGGAAGTCAATATGGCCGTGATATTAGTATAGAGGAGGATAATTGGGAGCAATATTATTTTAACTTAAAGGGTGGAATGATGTTTGGCTCAAGTAAGAAAGATGGATCCACATTAGAAGTTGTATATGTATTATGTGACACAGTAATTAGTACAATAGATTCAATTACAGCACTGCAGAGAGAATACATCACGAGAGAAGAAGAGGCGAATCTTCGCCACAGTATTGGAAAAGATGTACATCTGATTATTCTTTTAAACTATAACAATTCTCTCGGAATAGAATCAAATCCCTTAATATTTGCAGCAAGCTCACCAACTGTTTCAGCTAGATGGTGTATTGCAATGAACCAATCAATACAATATGGGCAAATGAGATATGTTATGGATAATTCTGATCAGGAATTTGAGGAGGGGAACTTTAGAGTATCTCATACTATGAAGGGAGAACTGGCTAGTGTAACTGGAGGGTATTATAGAGGAAGGGACGTGAATCAATTAACACAACAATTAGAAAAATTAAAGCATCAGTTCAAACAGATGGAGAATGAGAATAAGAGCTTAAAGTTCAAAAATGAAAGTCTTCAGAGTCAAGTCAAAAAACTCCAAAGTACTTTAACAGTAACTGAAAAAGCAACCAGTGAAGCAGTTGAGCAAAAAGCAGCAGAGTTGACCCAAGTTAAAGAAGATTTGAGTAATGTTAGAAGCGAAAGAGAACTTCTTATAGAAGAAAAGAACAAATTATATGAGAAAATTTCACAGTTACAAAGAACCAATCAGCAAGTATTGATGGAGAAATTTGAAATAATGGACGAACTAACAGATTTGCAAGATAATATTTCAACATATAAGGTTGGTGATGCAGGATTAACCAAATTGATTACTAGACTTCAATATTTAAAAAACTCAAGCCAGGAATTATTGATTGAGAATAGAAAGTATAAAAATGAAATTAAGTCAATTTTAGACCATTATAGGGAAGAGCAAGAAAAATCAAATAAACAATTGAATACCATTAAGGAATTACTTTCACAGCAAGATGTATTCCAATTATTAATTAGGCAAATGGAGTTGGTTCAAGCAAAGCTTCAATATCAACAGGAAGCATGGAGAATGCCAGATAATCAAGCTGAAAACTTATTATTTTGGATACAACAGCTTCAAAATCAATGGAAAGTAGATGAGGCAGTAGCAAGAGCATCTTATCTTAAACATAGAAGTATAGTTCTTGGAGAACAAATGAAAGCTTACACTTTAGGCCATCCACTTCCAACACATTATGCAATAATACAAGAACTTCTTCATAAGCTTCAATATATTTTTAGAGAAGAGGAATTCTCTGTTGTGACTAGATCTGAATTTTTGTATGAAGATATTGGGAATGCAAACTTTGGTTTTGAGCCTTTAAGAATTCGTAATCAAATAAGCAAAAAATTGGAAAAAGAACCAATTTGGGATGGAGAAAATTTTAAGCAGCCACCATTATCAGTATTACCTTCAATATTTGGTAACTCAAAGACTAAAATGGCAGGAAAGATTGAAGAAGTTATTGAGAATTCAAAACAAAATGGTGAATCTGGATCCGGAATTGCTAATGCTATAGATGAATCTGCAAATAGTCCAAAAAAAGGAGCCAATAGTGGATTGATTGAATACTCTTCTTTAAAATCTTCGGTCATGGCAAATACCCAGTATATTCCAAAAATACAAGTTGATTTGCTTAGTCCACCAGAAAAGAATGTCCCTGAATCAGAGTATGAAAGAATCAAAAATAGCTTTCGAGAAATGCAAGAAAAATATCGTATTCTGGAAGGAGAGAATGAAATCATGTCTGAGAAGATTCAAAAGTTGACTAAAATGATTAAATCAATGAATAAAAAAACATATCGCCAAAATACCCGTGCTGGAAGCCTTGTAGACTTTTCTGCAGGAAACAACCTGGAAGAATCATCCAAATCAAATGTTAACATGGATAATGGTGATAATCAGCATGATTCTGTCTCTGGAGATTTAGAACATGATAAAGCAATTGAACCCAATGATAATAACCGTGGAATTAAAAGTGGTAGATCATTCCATAAACGCAACAGTTCAAAGTCCGTTTATAGTGAGCCAAATGAGACTTCAGTGAATGGTAGTGTAGCAAAAAGTTCCGCTGGTCAGAACTCAAATAATAATGAGAATGAAATTTCTGATGACATCAATTAATAACTCGACTAATGTATTTTAATTATTTTTTTTTAAGAATATTTACCAATAAAAATTGAACTTAGCTTAGGAACTTTTACATTAAAAATAGTATATATACATGTATATGTAATTTTTTTTTGCATGCATTCTACATTGACTTTTAAAAATTATATACCGGTAATTCATAATTAAAAAATTAATAATTACGTGGTTAAACAACAAAGTGGCGCCGGCGCCATTTGACATATTTTCAAAGTAAAAGTCAAAAAGGAGCAATGTAGAAAAAAAAATTAATAAGAAAATAATATTAAGTAGGTGATATAATTCAAGAGGAATTTCAAAATAATTCTAAACATAGAAAAGTATAGAACTAATAGCAGGTAAATAGCAAAAAAAGCACTTTTTTTTTGAGACGAAATAGTTTAATATAAATTAATGAAAATTGGATCATTTTAAGATAGAAGAATAATTATAGAGAAAAAAAATATGAAGGTCAAAGTATTACAAAGAGATGTAAGCAAATATCAGGACAAATCAAAAGGTTCTATACAAAGGATTTATCATAATCCAGATCCTAGTATTCACCCTTTTGAGAAAGCTAGAGAATATACCAGGGCATTAATGAGTGTAAAATTAAGAAAAATGTTTTCAAAGCCTCTAGTTTCAGTATTTGAGGGTCATTCAGATACTGTTCAATGTTTAGCTAGAGCTCATCATCATCTTTCTGATATATATAGTGGTGGATTTGATGGAACAGTAAGATATTGGAATTTAGCAGGGAGTAGAAGATGTGAATATATGATTAGGGCGCATGAAGGAGCAGTACGTGGATTATGTGTTACAAATAATGATAAGCACTTATTTTCATGCGGTGATGATAAGAAATTGCAAATGTGGAAAATATCTAAAAGAGAATCAGTTAATGAAGTGAATTTAATGGAATTAGAAGATGAAGGAAATGCTGAGGATGTTTTTAATGGATATGATAATATTTCCAGTTTTTCAAAGGCAATTGTTCCAGAAACTACATTTCTTGCGAATAATCAATTATACAGTTTAGATCATCATTGGAATAGTGGTGTATTAATAAGTAGTGGAGTTGGTGGTTTACATGTATGGGATCATCATAGAAGTACACCATTACAAGAATTTGAATGGGGAAACGAAACAGTTTATTCTGCAAGGATTAATCCAAGTGAACCTCATATTGTTGCAACAGTTTCTTCTGATAATTCTGTTGGACTTTTTGATATTAGATCATCAACAGCATTACGTAAAGTTGTTTTATCTAATAAATCAAATGCAATCTGTTGGAATCCTCAGCAACCACTTAATTTCACAATTGCTAATGATGATTCTATGCTTTATACATTTGATATGAGAAAACTTAACATTGCTAGATATATATATAAAGGATTTGTTCATGCTGTTTTAGATGTTGATTATAATCCAATGGGAAACAGCTTTGTTGCTGGTAGTAGAGACAATACTATTCGAATCTTTAATATTGACCAAGGATCTTCTAGAGATATTTATCATGCCAAAAGAATGCATAATGTTTGGGCTACCAAATTTACTGCTGATGGGAGATTTATTGTAAGCGGTTCATCTGATTTTTGTATTCGCTTATGGAAAAATGAAGCTAGTCAACCACTTGGGCCTAGATCTTATAGAGAAAGACAAACTTTGGCTTATAGAAATAAACTTATCGAAAGATACCAATATTTACCTGAAATTAAAAAGATTTCAAGGCATCATCATGTACCAAAGATGATAAAATCTATTCAAGAGAGAAAACTTGAACAAATTAATGCCAAGAAAAAGAGGGAGCAAAATCTTAAAGATCACACCAAAGATTCCTCAAAGCCAGTCCCAGAAAGACAAAAATCTATTGTTTCTGTTTTAGAGTAATTTCTATCAATAATCAGTAACATTCTTCAGATATATATGTATATATATATATATATGTATCCGATTCAATTTTATAGAGAAAATTTATACTTGTTTAATTGTTTTTTAATTTGCATGCAAATTTCACTTGATATTATATATATAAATGTATTTCCATTTTACTTAACAACTATCCTTCTTCAAACAATAAATCGAATTATCTATAATCATAGATATAAATATTTATTTATTCTTTCATTCAATCTATCCATAGCTTTATATATTATCCATTAAAATTCCAAAATATACATTTTTTTTATTTGCTTGGTACTACAACGATACCAGTATATAAATTTATTATTTAATTAATTCATTTGCGCGCGCAACCCCACGTCATTTATATAATATAAATTTTAATAATTAATTAATATTTAATATTTATATTTTGAAAAATATAAATATAAAAAACTGCTTTGATTTACAGTAATTTTCTTTTTCTTGAATAATTAAGAAACCAATTAATTAAAAAGCATACAGATGTATATGTGATTATTAAAATAACAGATCCATCTATAATCCATTCAGAATTATCCAAATTATTCCAATTCAATAAAATATTAGTATTATAAATATAAATAAATAATTATATATATTTAAAGAAAAGACCTTTTACTGCCTTTTAATTCAGAATTAGTCTTTTTCGCCTTTAAATAATAATTATTATTGATTATTTGTTTTCTTAATATTATAGTGGATATGGAATAATTACCAATTATTTGTTCAAAATTGAAGATTAAATATTAATAACCACAATTTGTATTTATTTTTTAAAGGCAATTAAGGAAAAATTCTCAAATTCTTATAATTATTATTTGACATAATTTCTGATGTTTGATAATATTATTCATGCCAGAAATGGAGATTTTTACCAAATAGGATCTGGAAACCAAATTAATACAAGAGGAAAAAATACCGAACGTTCCTCAAATTCAACGAATAAAGGAAATGATTTATTAGATCCTATTTCAAAATCAGATATTATTGGAATTTCTTTAAATTCTTGTATTAAACAAGATGAAGAATTTTCAGAGTTGAGTCATTTCTTAAAAGGAATATACTCAACAGATTATGAATATCGACCTGAAACATTTGAAGTTAAAGCTTTAAGTGGATATTTTCCAAAAAAAATTAAACAGGCCATATTAAATAATTTTAAAAGTATGAAATTAAATTTAAGAAATTTTGATGACAGAAAATATCTGATTAATAAACTTTCTTCAGAACCTTTGGCTTTAAAATCAAAAACTTTAAGCTACCATAGTATATTTTATATTTATAATGAAAATGAAATAATTTTTTGGAATTGGTCAAAAGATTATCCCATATATTCTGTTCAAACTGAAGAATTTTTTCAAGAAAATACCAAAAAAAAAGCAATAATTACCAGTGTTGGATCTTTTGAGGACGAACAATCTTCTTGTATCAAAATATTAGTTAGTACAAATTATTATCTTATTCTTTTAAACATTGTTAAAAATACGAATGGTAACTATGTTATCAACCGAGTAAAAGATAGTTATTTTTCTCTTTCTGGATATAAAGATATTTCTTTTACCAATATTATTTCACATCAAGCTTCTGGTAGATTCTTTCTTGGCTGTGGTAATACAGGTACCATTTATGAATATACAATGGAACAAGAAAGTTCTTGGATTAAAAGAAAAGTTAAGAAAATTTCTGAAATTGCTTATAATGATAGCCAAACTCATTCACTTGCTAGATTAATAAAGATTTCTGGAAATCAATTTGTCTCGTATTTACCCAAATTTATTCGTAATTATTTTTTTAATAAATCACAAAGTTTTATTAAATCAATGTTTATTGATGAATTTAGAGGATTGATATATGTACTTTATATGAATTCAGATATTGATGTTTTTCTAATACCAATTGGGAATTTTAGAATAAAAAAGATTTCTGATGATTTAACTTATATTGAAAAAGGAGATTCTTCTAGCTCCATAAGTACTTATTTAACAAAGTACTTGTCTTCAAATACTTTAAACTCGAATTCATTTTTTCCAAGCTATTTTATTTTCAGACTAAATATTAATACCATAAAAAGTGAATTGAGCAAATTATTGAATTCAAATAATGGCAGTAAAAAACAATTATCTATTATGCAACAAAAAAAGAACTCTAGCTTTATTTCATGCCTTAATATCCACTCAATTCACCCCACAAGTCCTCAAGAAAGTGACTCTATTTATGCCATTCTAGTCACCAACAATGGAGATCGTATTTATCTGGAATCTATTTTTGAATTTGGAAATAAACCTTATTCATTTTCTAATTCACAATATAATAATCAATTCTCCCAAAATTTAGTTTATTCAATTCCAATTAATATGAGAGTTAAAGAGTTTAAAAGAACAGCAATAAGCTCTGATGATTCTGAAGAAAAGCTGATTAATTCAAGTCTTTACTCAAATGGAGTTTCTATTTTAACCACTTTAAACATTGGAGATGGTATAGATTTACCAGAATCTATTTTTTCACAAAAATCTGAAACAAACTTGAATAGAATTCCTGAAAATTTAAATGATGATAATGAAACCATATTTTCATTAATTACATCGAATATATTTGCTTCTTGTATTGACCAAACATTTATTGCGAAAAACTTATCAAACAGAAATTTGGGTTCTTCCAATATGCAAAATATACCCACCAGTTTAAATGAATGGCAATACTCTTTTTCAGATCCAAACTTGGGACTAATTTTAAGCATAAAAGAAAGAAATGTTCCGACCAAATATCAGAGATTATTTGAGAATCTTTGGAATACCCCAAATCCTTTTTCTAATGAGAGAAATCCAAGAGAAATACTTTTTATTCGTCCAAATATTTCAGCTTCAAACCACGATCAATTGCTTTCCAATAGTAATTTATCAGGGTTTGGATGTAAAACTTCTGGCTCAAAATTCTTCCATCTTTGGAGATACTTCTTTAATAGATTGAGTTCCAAGTCAATTCATGCAACCGAAACAAAGGGAGAATACAAACCACACTGTTTGATTCAAAATCACTTGAGAGCATCAACATCATGTTCAGTTTTTGGTATCAATATTCCTCAATGTCCTCCAAATGGACTTAATGACTTGATTTTGGATCAAATAACTGAATGTAGATCTTGGACAATCGTTACTACAAAAGGAATATTCATTTTGGAGAAGAAGAGACTCTTGGATATTATCACAAAAATGACTCTTGAACCCCACAATTACTCTTTTATGATAGATGTTTTTGATGAACAAGAAAGCTTTAGCCCAATTAATGGATTAAGCTCTTTTGGAAGAAGACGTGGGGATATGAATTTGCAAAATAACAAATCAACCACCTTTATAATGAAACTTTTAGGGACTTTTGCTCAAACTATAACTTTTGAACAGTTTTTTGCTTTAATTTGGCAAGGTCTTGTGTGTATGAATACCAAAGAAATTCTTGATTCTGAACTTATACAGAGATTTTACTCAAGTGACATTAAGAATGATAGTCCTTTTGAAATTCATATCAGAAACAAGGATGTAGGAATGCTTGATAAAAATCTAACTCGAAATGACTTTCCTTCAATCACCTTGATAAAGATTTGGCTTACTCTACTTTCAGATAATAATATCCAATCCGGATCAAACTCAAATTGCTTTTTAAGTATTAGTTCTTTTAATCATATATTAGCAGTGACTCCTAGATTTAAAGGGTTGCTTCTTCTTATTGGAAGAATTATTCGAAGTATTTGGGGTATTCCCTTATTTCAACAAACTGACTTTGAGTTAATTAATAAAAATACTAGAGATTTTTCCAAATACATAGATGAAGAGGAGTATATAAAAAGCCAATTTAATCAGCACAATAATAGTAATGATGAATTTGATATTAGAGACTTTTCAGACAATAATAATAATTCCAAATTTGTTTCAGAGTTCATTAAATCTCAGATTGAGAGCACTGGCAAATTTTGTAATTCATACCAAGACAATTTTCTTTTATTTAAAGACTTAAAGGCTCCAAAATCTTTCAGCTGTAAAAATAAGAATATAATCTTGGAGATCCATTCTTGTATTCATGAGTTTTTTAAGTCTGAAGCTTCTGATTGGTTAACCCATAACCAAGTTGATAATTCAGTCTCATCAGGTACGATATATAATAATGATAAGATAGGCAATAAAAGTAACGGACTTATTCCAGAAAATAATACAGTAGACTTTGCCATGAATGACTCAATTTCGGTGACAATATCTTCATCTTTAAAAGAAGATCATATTTCTCATCTCAAAAATAACTTGATACCCATAAATAATCTCTTAAATTTATTATTACCTTGGTGGTTCCCAAATTTTAATGTGGAGATTAACCGTAAAAATGATGAAAATGCCATCTTTTTGGCAAACAATTACTCTACAAACTCAAGTTTTAACTCCAGTTCTAGTTCTAATTCAAACACATATTCTTCAGTAAACATTTCTGAGCTCCATTTATTCATAGAAACTAAGAACTTTATCTCGAGAACCATTGAAATTTTGGAAATGATGAGTCTTTTCTGCAAAACTTATCCCTTTGGACTTAAATATAATGCTAAAATAACAAATGAAGCCATTTTATGCTCCTCTTATATGGATATTTTAAAAAAATCATTAAACAAATTTACATTATTTGAATTATCAAATAATAAAGGACTCCAATTTGTTCTTCGACTTTTATTTAGATACAATATACTTTCAGCATCCCAATATATGTCTTCTATTTCATCAAGCTCAAAGTACTCTTTAATCTCGTGCCAACAAGTTGCAATTGAACACTGCATATCATCCTTAAATAAGGATGTAATTCTTAACAAAAGAAAGAAAAATCATGCAGAGGATTTGCTGGGCCGAAAAAAATTAGTTCGTGCATCTAAGGTAAATACCAAAGATAATGAACAACTTGGAAACTTATCAAGTTCACAGATTATGCCCATTCTGTTTGAAAATATTTATGAAGTACCTTTAAATATTGTTTTGAGTCTTTTATACTACAATAAGGAAATTCCATCTATCATCACTCTAATTAACTCCCAATCCGAATATATTCACCACACTGGTCTTCTACCTCCCTGGCTTTCTAACGGGGAAAAAGTCGAAATAAGTATTCCAACTTCCATCTCTGAATTTTCTAGTCATATCTCAAACTCAAATTCCTTTGTAAAATACTTCCTTTCTATCCTACTCTTTGAAATCAACCAATTTGAACCTCAATATAACAACAGGTTAATGAGTTTCCAAGATATAATTGTGAATTTCGAAGAGAGTGGCTGCAAAACCTTGCTTGAATTTTGTAAAACTTCGTCCTTAACCCACGCGGTCAGGTCCATATATACTTATGAGTTTCATTGCTCTCTCTGGATTTACCAAAACCTACAACATACATTGGATATCACTTATAATGAATATATTATTGAAATTGGAAAGTTTCTCTCAAAAATTGATCTTGTTGATGACCCAGCATTTGATTACCTTAAAGATTTAGATGTTTCATTTAATCACTTAAAAAACTCAAGTACACCTTCTGAACAGAAAATTCTTGAAAATAAGCTCATTATGTTCAAAAACCTTAGAGAAAATATTCTTAAAATGAGATTTTCAATTATTGAATTCATTCTTTGCTGCCTTAAACAAGAATCTGATTACAAACAAAAATTTAATAAACAAAACTCAAAATCGTTTTCGTCCACATGCAGAGAATGGCTCCACTATTACATGTTTTCTTACGTGTCTTATATTGATTCTTGCATGCAAAAAACGGTACACGAAGAAATAATTAACATAAAAGGTGGTAATCGGTTGGAAAATTGGTTAATAAAGAATTTATCTATATCAGTGTTCCAGTTTAGCGAACATTCTGTGTATTTGAAGAATTGGTTAGAACATTTTCATTTGAGTGAGAGTCACAGCTATAGTGTTATTTCTAATGAAGATAAAAAATTAAATAGGGGTTTCATGACAAACAATAGATTCTCAGATGGGTTTGAGAATAAAATAGCTGGCTCAGTAAAGCAAGGATATGACATTAATTCGGTAAAAAAATCAGAAAATGATCAACCAAGTGAGAATAATGGTGTGGGATTGGTTCCAAATAACTATAAAAATGAAAATAGTCTCAAGAATGATCAAGGTTATTTGCTTTACAATGCCAAGCAATACTTTTCTGCTGGGCAGTATTACTACACAAAATCTAAAGCTATATGGAAAATTCCTTCAGGTGTGAATTCTATGATTGCACAAACTCAAGGGGAAATTTATAAATCAGCTTCTAGAAAAAATTTTAACTCTGCTAAGTTAAAAGAAGTGAATAGTGATGAAATTACAAAAATGCAAGATTTCATGAGGAGGAGTCTTGATAAATACAGGAGGAGAATTTCTAGCTCAAGTTTCATCCAGGGTGGGAAAAGACTCGATGCTATTTTCGAATTACTATCGGACATTCATTTACAGGTATTGAAAATGCAACAGGACCCAACATTGATTCAAAGAAGATCATTGTTACTGCAATCCCAGACTTGCATTGAAAGAGATATGAATGATGATAAGAATAAAGAGTTCATTAAAAGCATAAGAAATGATATCTTTAATATAGATACACAGATAGAGATACTGTTACAAATTGCCGAGTTTATTAACTACTATATTCTAACAGCTCTGGAGCAAAATGTTAATATTAATCCACTTGTGAAACAAATTTTTGATCTTTTTGGCACTTCTGTTAGTAACAGTAATGAAATATTGCATTTTAATGAAAATTTTGAGATTTCCCAGGAAGGAATTAACATTTTTAAAAGCTTAGTTATGGGAATTTACCATATTCAAAGTATGGTACATAGTAATGATACTCTATTAGAGTTTATTACAGAATTTTACAATTTGACAGGTTTTTCATCTATTACTGAAATCAAATGGTTAATGGAAAACTCAAAAAATGAGCCGAAAATAATAGACCATATTATTGTCAAAATTCCATCATTATGTGAATACAGAACTAAGCAATCCTTTTTCTTTGAATCTCCTATATTATTTGAAGTAGATATAGCTGATCTACTACTATTATGTGAAAATTCCATGCCTTATGATCTAAATCAAAATAATCAAAGTATTAGAAATGGAATGAATTCCAGAATATCTCTGCAACAATTTGATTCAATTTTGGAAACAATTACTTTAGAGCTATATAAGTTCTCTATATTATATTATAATAGATTTAGACAAAGTGATCTTGTCGATATTTACAGCTTTGAAGATGTAACTCGAGTTAAATCTAGAGTACTTTGGTGGGTTTGGCCAATTAGATTTTTACTATTCCATTTAAATAACAGATCTATTGTTTCAAGGCTTTTACCATTATTTTCTGGTAATTCAAATAATTCCAATCTTCTTTCAAATATGATCAATAATCATGAAAGAATGGAAATTTCTGAAATGATCAAAGCTAGTATTGTTTAATTTTTATATCATCTTTTGTTATTAAACTTGTGTAATTTTATCAGAAAATTTTTGAAACATATTTTGCATTTTTTTTAATTTAAGAGAACTTTCCATATTTTGACTCTTTAATGATTCCAACTTTTTAATTGAATCACCATATCTTTGTAAAGATCTTACACAGGATGCCTCGAGATTTACTCTTGAATTCTCTAACTCGTCATATAATGAATTGAGGAATTCTAAAATACAAGTTTATAATTTTAAGTTAATTTTTGTTTTTTAATTAGGAATTGAATCCAGTTGACGAGAATGAGGAAAAGAATATTTTTTAAAGTTTTAGGTATTACTTACTTGTCATTGATTCATGTAAAAGGTCTTTGTGTTCATCGAGTTTTTTCTGTATTTTAAAGTTATTTTAGTTCAGAAATGTTTCAATATTTATCTTATATATTACTGAATTATACATACCTTATAGCTTTCAATAACGTTAGCTTCAGTATCATTAAACTCTTTCTTAACACATTTTCTTTTACTATTTGGAGAATTGTTGTTAATATTTTCTAAAACACAAAGTTTATTAGCGTGAAATTAAGAATATAAAAAAGAAGGAATAAACAAAGTTTTTTATTCCAGCTAATTCATTGTTGTTCAATTAAACTTACCTCCTGAGCCTAAAACGGAACTACTAGTAGTCTCTATACTTGCTCTCAAGGAATTTCTTGCATCTTTTTTTGTCATTTTCTAACAAATTGTTTAAAATTTTTTTAATTAAAAATCTTTACAAAACAATTTCTCTAATGTGGCAAAATAATTACGTAAATACAAACACACACATTTATTTAACTACATGCAAACATGCAATCCTATACCGGTTTCAAAACAATATAATATATATAATTTTTTGGACAATACAAACAAAAAAAAATACCTCCTTAAAAAAAATAGTTATTTTAAAACTTATTTACTTTGATTTCAAACCTTTACACAAAAATTGCTCAAAAACACATTTTTTCCTGAATTTTCATTAAATTTCTTCACAAAATATTTTCTTGAGACGGCGGGAAAACATGCAATTTCTTTTTTTTAGTAAAAATTGCCAGTTTTGACAGTATTTAGGCGGGAATTGTGAAAAAAATAATGAAAATAAAAAAATTGGTCGAATTTAGGGAGGCCATTTTAAAAATGGTAGAAAAATGCTTAGAGGCGGTTGAATTGTAGACGTTATTATAATTTTAATATATTGGAAAAAGCCAAGTTTGACTAGAAATAGATATCTTAACTTATTAAAAAGGCAAATAAAAAGGTAGTTAAATTAATAAAAGCAAATAATTATATACTATATAACTTGGCTTATATATAATAATAGTAAGTGCTGAAAATAATAATAATAATATTATTATTATTATTATAAGACTGGAGAAAAATAAAGCGAGAGATTAAAGTATTGTGGGAAATAGGGAATTATATTTATTTATTTATTAAAAAAGAGATATATGTGATTTTTTTTTCCTATACTAAACAGAAGTACACAAGAAAGCAGAACAAGTAACTAAAGACTCTCCGTTTAATATAGGCACGGTCTCACTTTAAAGTTTTTAAAGTGAGAGTGAAGTCAAAAATTACTTGGAGCAGTTAAGAGCAGAAACAGACATTATTGGCAATTTTACTCAATCCAACTGTTTGTTTTTGCTTCCAAATAAATATCCAAACTTAATAATTAATTCTACTTTACATTATAACATAGCATTTTAAAATGTCAGCTCGAGCAAGGAATTTAAGAGCAAACAAAAATTCTACCGTTGCAGGAAATAACAAATCTAATTCTAAGGAGCCTAATCCTTCTATAAATGAGGATTACTATAGAAGAATTAATGTTCAACCAACTGTTGTTGATACTCCTATGTCTCCAAGAACTGCTAAATGGGTTAGGGAATTAACGCCTGTATTGGAACCATATAACTTTAATCTAAATGAGATTTCAGATCTAATTCATAGATGCCATTACGACGCCAATCAAATTGAACTGGCTGTAGGTAATGTTATTGAGGATTTTAGTGGTCATGAATCAGGTCAATGGACAAAAGTTGGTAAAAATAGATCAAACGGAGGTTCAAAACACAATAATGTAAATGTTACTAATAACAATAATAATGTTAATGTAAACAGAAACAAGAATCTCAACAATACTCACTCTATTAAACCTGGTAAACAAGCTAATTCACAAAACAACCAAAACCACGTTGAAGGTACTAATACCAACTACCATAGGTCTACCAACAAGCCAATTAAACACCATGGGCATGGCCATGGCCATGGACATGGTCATGGACATGGTAATGTTCAAACACAAAATCAGAACCAGTCTTATCAGGCAAGAGCCACTGGAGACCATAGTGTACAACAGGAATCAAGTAATGGTTCAAAGAACACGATAGCCAATGGCACTCAAACTCTAATTATCACTCATGTAAGCACTACAAAGGCAAGCATTTCCAATAACCCAGTGGATAACACTACTACATGGGCAAAACTAGCTCGCAAAAACAACACAAACAACTCCGCAACATTACAATCTACTAGTAGCTATACCAAGGACAATGGAAGTGGTTTCGAAGAATCACAAACCACCAACAATAGAGATCATAAAGACTTTTCAAACAACACTATAGTTAAAGAAAGATCATCGCAGGATCACTTAGATCCCAACATACAACAACAGCAACAGAATACCCAAAGCGTATCAAACACCATTTCAAAGCTTTCTGATAAGTCTAGGAAAGATCGAGAGTGCTCCTCTAACATTACAAACGACAATACTCAAAGCTCTTCACCGCAGACTTCAAACGTTTACTCATCAGTGTCAACAAATGGTTCTGGAATCACTGCAATTGATCTTGGAATAAAAGTTGGTGGAGTTTCTCCGCCACATGGAATCCAAATAGGTGGTGGAATTGATTACAAATCACATGGAATTGGAGTGTTTCTACCCGAGGGTAGAACTGTCGATCCTAATGCTAATGATGGGCTCCTATTTGGTAGTTTTGGAGCAGTAGATATTAGTAAGGTTTCAGAAAATCAAATCCAAATTAATGTTGCTTCCGAAAACAATTCCAATACTACACCTAATAATTCCCCCGGAGTTCCCGCCAACTCTTCAAATACAATTGGAGGACATTCTAGTAACTTTGGAACTTCAAATATTGGCGCCATGTCAATGATGACAGGCATTTCCGAAAATAATGGCGGGATGACTGGTGCCAGTGTATCTGGAAGTCATTTATTGAACGGTTGGAATACTAGCGGTTCATCCCCATCAAAAGAGAATTCTACGAATAGTATGATGGTAGATCAAGGACTATTGCACCAGAATGCTTCACAGAGAAGTGGCGGATCAGGGGTTTCTGGAGGATCTGGTGTATCAGGGTCTAATGTGCATGCTTCTATAAAATCTTCTGGTATTGGGAATGGTTATATTAGTCATTCAATTTCTGGGAATGCAGTTGGTAACTATAGTAACTTGCCAATAACAAGTCAAGGAATGGTAAGTGGTAGTGGTGTTTACTCATCGAATCCAGCCTTATTATCTGGTAATAATGGTATAAATTATAGTGAGACAGTTGTAGGAGGTGGAGCGGGGTCAAATGGTAGTGGTTCAGGGAGTGCATCAAGTGGAAACAGTTCCAATATGGCCTTAGCAGCAGCAGCAGCTGCTGCTGCCGCTGCAGTAAATCCATATAACTACGCATATTTGAACTATGCAGGATATACCGCAAACTTTCCTTACATGGTTGGAAACACTGCAGCTTTTGGTTTTCCTCATTATAATACGAAACCAAATGGTCACCATCATCCAACTCCAGTTTTTAACCAGTATTCACAAGGGCCGAGTCCAAGTCAGCATGGGCTAAACGGAGTTTACGGAATGGGAGGAACTGGAAGCTCAGGAAATACAGCAGTTAATAATAATACAACAGGAAATGTTATGGTATCTGATAGCATCGGTGTGAATTACCACTCATCCAATAACCAATCCCCTATGACAGTGGGTGGAAATTCTACACATAATCATCATATTAGCAACCAAAATCCGAGCTCCTACCAAAATATCCAGTCTATGCTCCCTCCCGGAATTTCACACCAACAAATTAGCCTTGGAAGTCAACAAACAAACGTAAGTGGTAATTCTTTACAGAATCAAATAAATTTACCAATGAGCTTCAACAATAACGGAGTATCAAATGAGTTTGGTGTGGACCAAGCAATTCCTCAGGCGGTTTTTTTAGGACAACCAGGTACTAATAATAGTAAATTGGATAATATTGGAGCTCACCCAGGAGATTTTATACATCACCAAGGCTATAACAACCACCATAGTCATATCCAAAATCCTACGTCTAATGCAAATATTAATTCTCAAGGAAACCCAAATACTGGAAACCCAAACAGCCATGCTAAAGGTAATGGACAAGTTGCTGCTGGTAACTTTCAAGGGAATATACAATATATAGGTAAACCAACGGTCTCTGGGTCAAACAATGCCGTTTCGGGTACTTCAAGTGGTACAAGTGGTAACTCCGCATCTAGCAACCCTTCAGGCGCTGTAAATGGGGCAACAGTGGGTACAGGAATGGAATTAGCTCATCAGAGTCAAGGAGTTGGAGGAAATACAAGTTCTGGAAATTCAAACATGTTTCTACCTGGAAGAGCACAGAATACTGCTGCTCAGGCTGGGCAAGTTGGGTCTGCCCAATCAAAACAGGCTTCTGTGAATTTCCCAGGCTTTCACTCATCTAGAACCAGCAATAATTCTGGATTCCTTCAACATAACAACAATATGTGGAATAATAATTAAATTTTCTAAATATTTATTTCATAATTAGTTTCATAGAAATATTTTGTATTTAGTAAATTAATGGTATTGCAGATTAATGATTTACTTTTTTATTTTATTTTGCAATTTCTTTTCCTATTATGCATTTCGCTGCCAAACGCAAAATTCTTCTAAATAACATTACGTGTAAAATTTTTTTGCATGCAATGCATGCATGCCACGTTATGTGGACTAAACAAAAAATAGTTAGAGGTTGAAATGAGTAGATAATCAAAATTGAATTAGAAATCATGAAAAAAAAAAATTAATAAATATATAAAGTTATATCTTAGATTCTATTAATAATAAACTAGGTTGCCTGTGTTGATGGTATTGAGGGAAAGAAAATAAAATAATTAAAGAATTCCATTTGTAATTCGTTGGAATGCATCATATTGAATGGACCTCCAATTATTTATAGAAGATTGAATTAATTCAGTGACTTTAATAACACATTGCTCTTCAGTAAGATGAAGGAAAAAGCGGTCTCTAATTTCTTGAACAAAGTATTCCTTGTTTGTGAACAAAGAGAAACAAGGAAGTTTGGATGCTGAAGTCATAGATTCGATAGTTAAAACAATTTGGTCGACGTGTTTTCTGGAAGCTAAAAATCCTTTAATAATTAGTTGTTGGAAATATTGAAAATCAGAAGAGTTTTCTCCCATCATAACATCAAGGAATTCTTGAGTTAATTTGAAAGGGCTTTGTTCAAAATTAACATTACCAGGAGAATTACTTAACATAAACCCATAATCAATTTGAATGATATGGCCATGCTTGTCAATTAAGAAATTTCCATTGTGCCTATCTTTGACTTGGAGGAAAAAACTAACAAGACTATAAGCAGCATGGCTTTCAACAAAGCATTTTCTTGCCTTAGATTTAAGCTCATCATCCTTGAATAACTGATCAAAGCAATTTAAAAGATTATCAGTCTGGAATTTTCGTTTAAGGCTATCAATTGAAAAAGTATCTTGAATGTATTCAATAAACCCACCATGAGAACCAATAACAAGTATTTCATATGGATGAAGCCATAAAGGTAACTTATTAATTTTGAAAATCCAATCAAATTGTTGAAGTAATTGAGATGCAAGATATTCTTGTCTAAGATCATCCGAAGATTTCAGTAAAAGAGTCTTAATTCCCCAACTCTTAAGTTTTGAGTAGGGAGAATCTTTTCTATATCTTTTTATCTTACTTGACCATGTTTCTTGCGGCCAGTTCTCATTAAAAACTTCATCATCACTTGATTCATTATTATTATTCTCATGAATATCATCACAATCTTCAATGTTTTCTGAATCTTTATTATCAATAAAAAATACTTGATTAAAGTCTTCCTGGGATAAGCCCATATCAATTGATTCAGAAATACCAATGGATAATATATTAAGAAAATTAAGCAATATATCTTGGGATGTATTTTTATTATCATCAAAATCATTCTCATTCCCACCAGTTTTAAGTTTAATGCCATGATTCTTGAGATAATTAAGAATATCTTTGGAAATCAACTCTTGAGATTTTTTACCAAGTTCATAATCTAGGTCATCAAGATCTGCAATTTCTATTGCTAGTAAAAAGTGGACTCTTTTTCTGGAATTATAAATCTTGCATTCATTTGGAATTATACGTAAAAATTGGCAATTATTTAATGAACATAAACCTTTATCCATGATATAATTGGAATGAGAAAATCCAATTATCCCTTTGGTATTATTATTTTTTTGATTTAAATTTGAATCATTTTCAGAAAACCTACTACAAAATTCATTATTAAATGATGCCATTGGTAAAGAAATACTATTTAACAAAAAAGTTGTTCTTGAAATTGAAATTGAAAATCTTGAATAAAAGAGCCAAAGATTTAATTCCTCTATAATAAATTCCAAAATCTCACATCTATGCTCCTTATTAATATTTGATTGTAAATAATTTGAAATCTCAAGAAACTGTGAAACAAGCTGATTCACTCTATTAAAATAATTATATCTATGTTGTTTAAGTAAATAATAAAGTGTTTCACTTTCTTTTTCAATCTCGGATATATAAACCTTGAAGATTTCTTCATTATTAAGAATATTATCATTTATTTGTATTGGAGAGCTAGAATTCTCATTAGATAAATTATCCAAAGATTTAACAATATTGGCTGAATTTGGTGTTAATATTGGTATAACTTTATTATCATTACTTTCATCATCACAAATAACATCGGGAATTAATTTAATCTCTTCGAAAGTAACACTATCATCACAATTATCTTTATCATCATCCAAATCACTGGATTCTGAAGGTGAAAAAGGATGGGTAATTCTTATCACGTCTTTTGGAGTCATTGGGCTTGAATTATTTTCAGAATTAAATTCTTTTGTATTAAAATTATAGCTCTTATTAATATGGTTTATTCTAGATTTTGATCTAAGTTGAATATCATTTATTATCTTATTAACATCAATTAAATCAAATGGAGAACCCAATTTTGAAAAGAAAAAGTAGGGTATCGAGATCTTACTAGAATTACCACTTGAACTAAATGTACCAAAAGATGATGATCCAGTTATTATATTAGTTGGTAAAAATCCTTGGTTTAATGATCCAAAAGTATTTGATGAAACTCCATTTATATAATAAGATGTTCCAGGATTTGGATTGTAATAAGCTGCACAAGTTGCATTCGAGTATAAATTCTTAAATTGACGATTTATTAAACTAAGTTTTGTTCGTATATATTCAATTTTCTCTTTATTTTCGCAGCTAAAATCATCATTAATAATTCTGTAAATCCAAATATCTGGTAAAACATCACAAGACGAAAGTCTAATAGTCTTTGAACTACTTTGAATTGTATTATACTCTAGTCCAAGTTGAATACTTGAATCAGTTTGTGAAGATATCATATTATCTTCTTTATTATAATCTTCATCTGCATTTAAATTAATAGTCTCACTACTTGGAAGGGTAGAATAAATTGCCAAAGATAACTGAGTTTTTGTATTTTCACGATTCATCATCTCAGAATCGCTATATTGAGATTCAATATCTTCTTGATTATTGTCCAATTTGATGTTTTGACTGCTTAGTGAATGAAAAAGACATGATTTAGATCTTCTCCAAAAATATAATCTTTTTTCTATATATCTAATATCAGGTTTAAGCTTACTATTTACCATTGCCATTTCAATTTCTTGAAGCATATTTTGAGCATATTCTGAAACAAGTGGTATATTATCTTCACTCATAGCTTGATACATCCAAGAAATAATCAAAGAAAAATTCATATTTTCACTTGATTTGTCAAGAAAGTATTTCCAAAGACTACTTTTCTCAAATCTATTTAAAGAAATTTCACATAGTTGTGGTAAGTACCACAAAATCTCATCAGATCTTTCATATAGTAAGTTTACAAGATATTCATGTACTCCAAATTCTTTATGGTGATATATATAATATAAGTGAAGATGTGCATCAAATACATCTGACTGAAACAGTCTTAGTAATGATCCTTTGCTTCTATCTAATTCTCCTTTTAATTCTTTTCTAGATTCTAAATAATTATCATTATTTGAAAAATCACCCAAATTGACTATATTGTTTTTCACATCATCATTATTCTCATTTAAATTAATACTTTCACCATTACCTTTTTGTTTTGAAATCAAGCTTTTACCAAACAAACCTGACATAGATTTCGAAGTGGTTAGCCATCCTTCTACCATTTTGTTTATTATATGTAATTATATAGTAAAACTCTCATTCAGAATGTTGAATTAATTAAAAAACAAAACTTTTTTATCTTTTTATTATTAAAATAATTTCTTATTTTTCTCAAATAATTATTATATTAGTATTTTTTATAGTAAATACTTGTAGATCTGGCAACTAATGCCAGCTTCAAGCCACCAATCTTAAAACACTTTAAATAAGCCAATCTTTCGGATCTAATTTATAATGTAAGTTCAATATAAATTATCTTCTCTCCCTTAGCTTTTCCCTCGTTTTTATATATATAATTTTTTTCAAATAAAAAAAAAGAAAGAGAAACAAGCCCTTTAGTTTATCTCAATTTTCTACCTATATGGCCTCTATATAATTAAATTATGTAGTTTTGGCGCCGCCAGTTTGGCGCCAGTTTGAATAATTAGTAATAAATGCATGTAAATAAAATTAAATTAAAATAAAACATAAAGATGGAGCTAAAAAGTAGTCAGATATTAATTTTTCATTATAATCTCTAGTTTTCTTTTTAGGAATTGCTTTACTTCCGCAATTATTTTTATTTAGTAGACTAAAATAATTGTATTTATAGGAAGGGTTATCTGTTTCTTCTTCTAGCAAGCTCTCTCATGCTTTTTATGGGGATTGATTTTGAGTTTTTTGAAAGTGAAGTCTCAGAATTGACACCTTTTAAGGGACTTGAAGAGGAGGAGCAAGTAGACTGGAGAATTGGGTTTATAGGAGAGGAAGAAGTAGATGGTAAATCAGAGGGGTGTAAGATAAAATCAGGTTTTTCGCCCTTGTTAAAATTCTTATGTGTTGAAAACCTGGATATTCCAATGGATTCTAGAAACCCAGATCGTTTAGTTATTCCATTACTTGCAGGGATAAGAGTATTTGTTAGTAATGGAGAATTTGAAGAGGGCATGTTTGTGTAAAATGGAGAGACTGTGGATGCTGCTGTCATTACAGCAGGGTCCCAGAATAGGTTTGCTCTGGGATCTTGCAATCCTGAGCCATGAATTGTCCAGCCTTCCATCTTTAATCTTAGTTTCTCTTGAATTTCTTTAAAAGTATCTTCTGTTAAAGTTCCAAATTTCGCATTGAATAGTTTTTTTGGATTCATTATGTTCTTACCATTATCCCTATATGATTCATCAGCTATTATGGGATTAATTACTTTTCCTACTGCATCTGAAAACCTAGCATACTCTGCTGCTGGGTTATACTCTGTTCCAGGTTGTTTATTGGAATTCCTATCTGAATTAGAATTTAAAAAGTTGTAATTGAAACCTGTATTCCTAGAAAGAGGTAACCAACTGCTAGTTGAATACATTGTATCCCTATAATTTGAAAGCTGCCTATTGCTAGTATTTGTGTATTGGCTAGGCATACCTAATCCTGTGCAGTCCAGCCTAAATCTGCTTCTTCCTGATTCTGTAGATGTCATTTTGTTTCCACTTTTCTTGTTTTTTCTATCTAGTTTTTCTTTATCCTCTTTTTTCTTTTCCCAGTCTTCAAATTCCTTTAATAACTCTATATCAGTTTCTTCTCTTTCTATTTCCCACTCACTATGGCTTTTGGAGTCTTTCTCAAATTTGTTTCTCAACTTTCTAACACTATTACTACTATCTTCATTATAAGAATCACATCTTTTATTTATATTTCCCTCGTTAAATTTGGTATATCTTTTGGAGTAAGTAGTTTCAGTTGTATTAGTATTTCCACTACTACAGTCATTTAAACAAGAATCACTCTCAGTTAGATTCTTATTCAAGCTAAACTTGTTACTTTTATTTGTTTTTCTGTCAATAAATACCTTACTATCTTTTTGGTTGTCTAATTCATGTTCATTCTCAGAATCTAAATCATTTAAATTCGACTTATATTTAGAACTTACTAACTTTTCTTCCTTATGATGTTCAATTAATCCCCATCCATCTATACTAAGCATAGGGTACTTACCATTGGTTCCCCTGATTCTTTTAGTGTCTATAATTAACCTGGTGGCTCCTCCAGAAAACTTCTCAGAAATAGTTGGTTCTGGCTCTGGTTCTGGTTCCGGTTCTGGTTCTGGTTTTGACTCCTCTTGATGTGTATTGATAAAAGTTTGTGCAACTTCTTTGGTTTCTCTTTCAAGATTACTATGGCAATGGCAATCCTTTACTATATAGTATTTATTTTCTGTAAGTCTATCTTTTGAACCAACTTTTAAATTTGAGTTCTTTCTGTTTCTTAATTTAATTCTTGCATTCCTTTCAGCTTCTTCTAGAATTCGATACCCTTGTTCATTTATATATTTGTCACAACTTTTGTATTCAGTAGCAGACTCCTTAATACTTCCTAAAGCTATCCCAGTCTTATCCACTGCTTCTCTACTAATGCTGTTATTTTCTTCATATTGAAAAGTAGTTTGTGGCCAAGCTAGCTCATTATAATTTAACTGTGTATATATTCCAGTCATATATGGATATTTAATTCTCAAAGGAGTTAAACCATAGTCTATATTATTAATTTCTTGTTTTTTCAGAGAAATCTGGTCCACTACATTTACTATCTTTGATAAACAGAACAACTTATTTTGAATTGAAGAAGAAATCTTGTCTACAATATCTAACAACATATTATTATCACCTACACTCTCTCCTATTCTCTCAATATTTCTTTTTTGTTCAGTTAATCTTTGTACTTGGCTATTTTGTACATCTATGGAATCTTTAATATTTATCTTAGTCTCCATACATACTGATATAATACTAGAAATCTCACTGATTATACTAAGTAACTCTTTAGTTTGAAAACCTTGGTTATCTTGATTTTTATATTTCAATAAAGTATATTTATTGTGAAGAAAATCATATAATTCCATAATACAAAGCTTAAGCTGTATTTCAGAATCACCATAGACTGACTCTTCAGATTCTGGGTAAGCTAAATAACTACAACATCTTAGATCAGGGTCTTTTTGAAATACTGATTCAATATCACCATTGTATTGGAGAGTTAAATAATCCATTTTAAATGTTCTTCATATATTATTAAATAGATTGAAATATTTTCCTAGATGCCTTTTTCTTTTGTAAAATTGAGAAATCTCGTTCAAATAATATTTAAATTGTAGTTATTGACCCTATTACTTTTTAAACCTTATTTACTCTAATCTCTATTACTCTAAACTTTGGAAAATATAATTTTTTTTGAAATTCGATTTGATTCCGTACTTTTAGTTAAAAATCAAATTTCTGTTCTGATATTTTGTTTATTATTTGTATGATCTCACATTATTACTGTCAGGACTGGACCCCAAATATTACATGCTTGGCGCCGGCGCCATAATTTTTCAAGACTTATTTTTGCATGAATCTTGAACAGAAATAATTAAATAGATAAAAAGGACGGAAAATAGAATGAGAAGTATTTAAATTAGATAATAGATTAAATTAAAGCTAAGATAAATTTAAAAACAGAGTAAACATTTTAAACAAATTTCACATTAGTATTTTTTTCATAAACGAGTTAGATTTGTAACTTAATTTAAAAAAAACGAATTCTGTCTACCATCGTATTATTCTGGTAAATATTAAAAGATTTCATGTAATTTAAAAAATAAATTAGCAACATTGTGTTAGCCTTAGTTATGGCCATTAAATTTTTCATCTATTTTAATTTTTGCTTGCAAATTAACCGAATTAACTTATTTTAGGAGGAGGCGCCTTCTTTGGTGGTGGTGGTGCTTTTTTAGAAGGAGGTGAGCCCTTGGGAAGCCCATCAGAGTTTGAGGGAGGAGCAGAAGGTTCCTTCGGTGGTGGGGGTCCCTTTGGTGGTGGAGGTCCCTTTGGAGGTGGAGATTCTTTTGGTGGTGGAAGTTCTTTTGGGGGTGGAGGTCCCTTTGGTGGTGGAGGTCCCTTTGGTGGTGGAGGTCCCTTTGGTGGTGGAGGTTCTTTTGGAAGTGGAAGTTCTTTTGGGGGTGGAGACTCCTTTGGTGGTGAAGGTTCTTTTGGTGGTGGAGGTCCCTTTGGTGGTGGAGGTCCCTTTGGTGGTGGAGGTCCCTTTGGTGGTGGAGGACCTTTTGATGTAGGAGGACCCTTTGGTGGCCCATCGGAGTCTGAAGGAGGAACTTCTGGAGGGCTATCAGAATTTGAGGGAGGAGCAGGAGGTCCTTTTGGTGGTGGAGGTCCTTTTGGTGGCGGAGGGCCTTTTGGTGTAGGAGGACCTTTTGGTGGAGGAGGACCCTTTGATGTAGGAGGACCCTTTGGTGCAGGAGGACCCTTTGGTGCAGGAGGACCCTTTGGTGCAGGAGGACCCTTTGTTGTAGGAGGTCCCTTTGATGCAGGAGACTCTTTTGGAAGACTGTCAGGGTCTGAAGGAGCTGTTGGGCCTTTTGGCGCTGGAGGTCCTTTTTTAGCAGGAGGTTGTGGTTCTTTCGGAGTTCCATCAGAACTCGAAGGCTGCGAAGCTGGAAGACCCTTTGAAGCAGCCAAAGAAGTGGTCTCTTTTTCCTCGACTTTACTATCAACAGCAAGCCCATCCTTAGCAGAAGGCTCAGCTTTATTTTTAGGAATATTATCATCCTTATTAGTAGGCTTAGAATTTGGATTTTGGATAGACTCAGAAGAAGTTTTTTGTGAGCCTTCAGTTCTATGAGTACTTTTTGATAAGTTTGTTCCATTTACTTTTTTCTCATTTTGACTCTCACTAGGCTTACTAGAAGATTGTTTATCTATGTTTTTCCAAGAGTTCTCAAGATACTTATTAATTTCTGTCTGCACTACAGGACATTTTGTCCATGATTCAATTTCTTCTGCAACACCACGAATATTATCTCTAACAAATGAGAATCTTTTTTGCTTCCTACTTCTCTTATCTTCACCAATAATACTTGGTAGGTCTCCATCAAGTAATGAAGAAGATATATTCCAAGCAGCAACAGCATCTCCAAGAGTATGAGGTGGCTCTTTCCTACTCTGAGATTCCAAATTATGTGCTGATTTATTACCCCTTCTTACATTATACCTTTTACTCTTTTCAATAATATCTAGCCAAGTTATTGGAATACCTCTCTCGTTCACTAACCTTGGAGGTTGTTTTTGCTTTACATATGGTATTGGTTTTGAAACATCTATTTCTGGCCATGGATCATTAAAGAAATAACGTGGGTATTTCTTGTAAACTGCTTCTGCTTGCTTTAAATCTCTTGGGTATTTCATATTTTTACCAAATCTATAACGTGATAAACGTGTATAAGGACGATATGGGACCCCAAAAAAAAACTCAAAGTCTTTTGCATATTGTTTTTCAAAAGCATCCTCACGAGATATATACTCTACTTCTTTTCCTTTTCTTCTACTTTTATATTCATACATTGTTTCCTCAATTATTCTTTTTGAACCAATTTGATTTTCTTCCTCCACTTCTGAATCATATTTCTTATATAATTCATTGTCATATATGCATTTCACTTTTGCTCCCATTCCCAAATCTTCTTCTTTATCTGAAGAATTTTCAGAATAGTCTGAAGACTCATCATCTGTTAATAAAGAAAATGGTTTTTTACCTCTAATACCAAATGGGTATAAATAAGGACCTTTTGGAGTTCCTTTAATCTCATGTTTTAAGGCTAATTCCATTAAATTCATTTTTGTTGCATTAATCACTACTTAATTCATATATTTTAATTTTTTCAATTTCACTCTTTCATTCTTAGATTTATTTTTCTTTTTTTTACTTTATAGTTTATTTATTGATAACAATATTAAAATACTTATCTCCAAAAAATTCGAATTTACTTATTAAAAATATATTTATTTTATTCAAACTTAGCAACACACTATCTTTTATATTCTTTTATTCCCCTCTATTACATGTATGCATGCAAGTCAAATTTTACACTAATTGGCGGGAATTTTTTTTTTTTCTTACGTGTTCTTTATGTAACAACATTACCATCATTTCAAAAAACATGCAACCAAAAATTATTGTTTTTAAAGATTTTCAAAAGTTAAAGGCAACCGTGTGAATTTAAACGATTTTATTTGCAGAAAAGAAATGAACAGATGAGAAGTTAACATCCAATTTTTTTTTGTAGATTGTCTAAAATGAGTGTGCAAGTAAAATGCATGCCACTAATCAAGGTTAGGGGAAGGAGGGAAATGGTAACAAAGTCTTTAAAAAAATAATAAAAGATAAAATACAACTCTAATGTCAATATAATACTTATAACACAAATACCAATACTAATTACCAGGATATCTTTGCAACATATTTGGATTAGACCTTGGAAGGATTTTATTCAAAAAGTCGTTGTAAGAAAGCATAAAGCCTTGTGTCTTATCTTCAATAAGTGAAAGGAAAAATTTGTTCTCTAAAGGATCACCTTGCCTAATGGTATGAAGTTTCATAAATGGTGGTTTTCTTTGTTCACGGATGTTATTGATTAGAATTGCAACTTTTACTCCGAGCTTGTCACCTGTTGATCCAATGACAGTTTCAGCATAATCTGGATGAAGTTGATCAAGAGTTGCAACACCAAATACCTGTTGGATGAAAGCAGTTGGAATTGCTCTTCCAAGCCAAAGATACATAGATTCTCCATCTTCTAAAAGATATGCATCAGCCTGTGTCATTTTTTCTGCTGTCAAATTTAAGGCAGGAGGAAGCACTAGTGATTGATCAGTTTCCTGCTGTTGAAGATTCCAAGAAGAAAGACAAAACATTCTTGGATAAAAGAGTATCATTTGAGACTCTAGTCTAAGACTAGATAGACGTATCCAGTGATAAATTCTGTGATCAGACTGAGCAACTTCTTTGTAATCTCTAAAAGCTGGACATTTAAGTACACCAAGTATATAAAGTGGAAGTTGTTTAGCAGCTTCAATTATTTGATTGGATTGAGGTAAAATTATTTGAGAACAAATTGTCTGAAGATAATTACGACCATCAAGTAATTTGCTTTTGAGACTTAATTCCATTGCATTCTGACAAATTATTGAAACTGTTGCCTGTACATCCATACTAGATACTAAATCTACATAATTCTGAGTTACTGGTAAAGCCATTGTATGAACTCTAATACGTCTTTCACCATCACTATTAGTATGTAAAAGAGCTGCTTGAATGTAAACAAAAGGATCTGGAGCTACTGTCACATTTTCATCCATATCAATAACAATACTAAAAGCTTGGTCTCTATGACAATTTGGAGCAAGAAGAAGATCAACTCCACTAAAATAGAAATTACCATACCAGTTTGATATTTTCCATCCACGACTAACTCTAAATCTGATGCAAGCTTCCCAGGCAGAATTTCTGGTTAGGGTTAAAAATATATCCTCTCTAAGTTTTTGTCCATGAAGATACGAGTTGAACCCAAAAATATATGTAAGATCACCACTAGTTTTTTTTACAATTGGAGAAATTGTGGGTAAATCTACGTTAGCTTGAGAAGTACACATGAATAAATCAACACTAATATATGCTCTAACAAGTGCATGAACAAAATTGCTATATCCATCATTTTCTGGTTTTAATAGTTCAACTTCTCTATCAACATCTTTGGATTCTTTTCCAGAACTTCTCATTTGTTCACGATTCAGTTTTACTGTTTGGTCTCCAACTGTTGGTGCTCCTGATGAAAATAAAAGGACTTTTCCACCAATATGTCTGATTGCCATATAAGCAGCTTTAATTGCTGATCCCATGCAATTCTCTGAAACTCTATTGTTTCTCCATAAATTTGGTAAATTATCTAACAAGTTCACAATTTGCTGTAATTATAAGTTAAATAATTCATTATCTAAGAAATTAATTTAACAACTTACCTCAGTAGAATCAGCAATATTGACCAAAACACCATCAGAAAGTGGTAAAAATAGATCATTCAAATCTGATACAACAAACATATGTGGTTGTGAAAGATTACTATTTAAATCATAAAAATGAATAAATGAATCAAATGTGATAATACCTATCATAGCTCTACCTCCACCTGGAATTTTATCAGATAATATAGCATTTTTTACTGCTGAACAAACTGTCTCAACAAGTCCTGAAGATACTGCTGGCATTGAAACATCCAAAACTATAAAATATACAGGAGGCTGAGGCGGTCTTACCATATATTCTCCAGATGCAATAAATTCAGTACTCCCAACAGAAAGTTCAGGACGTTCAAATCGGTCAGTTCTACGTCCTTGATCATCTAATCCACAATAATAAAATGAAAGAGTTTCGTTAGAATAACCACACATGTTGCATATCCAACGACGCCCTCCTGCTTCCCATCTAACAAATGGATTAATATAAGTTCTGCAGGGCTTACATCTAACTAATACACCACTAGATCCAAAAGAAACTGTTGGTACTTCAGGATATCCAGGAGGAGGACTTGCTAAAGGTTGGAAAACTAGACCAACAGGAATATGGGCTTTCTGTTTAAGACTTGCTGAGCTTGGGACTTTTGAGACAGATGGTCTCACAAAGTATGATGGAGCATTAAGTTGTTGTATTTCGCTCATTGATAGTCCGCCAGTTATTGTTGTATTATTATTTCCAATATCTTTTGAAACTGGATTCGAATTATAATAGCCAGTTTGAGCTTGGCTTTGGCCTTGAGTTTGCTGTCCCATTCCTACTGGAATCATCATACCAGGCCGAATTCTATTTTGACCTTGAATAGTATTATTATCATTGCTTGAGCCATAATATCCTCCGCTCTGTGGATAACCTTGATTTTGGCCAATACTTTGACTCTGATTCTGATGTTGACCTTGCACTCCAAAAGGAGTAGTTTTTGGTACTCCTTCAGACATTCCTTGAAAAGGAGATGACATTACTGTACCTGGGCGTTGTTGGGGAATCTGGCCCTGTGAGTATTGTATTGCCCCCCCGCCTACTGAATTTCCGTATGGATATCCCGACATCAAAATAAAGAGTGTACACCAATTCTATTCAAACCTTCCAACCAATAAGTGCAATAGTAGCGGCAATAAATTAGTGAATTCTTTACCTTTGGATTTTTTTTTTTTTTTTGACTCTTTTTCTTGATCTTTTTCTTTACAATATTATTCCCCCCTTAATGAAGCAATATTAAACATTCTCCCGCCATAAGGCGGGTGAATTCGGGCGCCTTATACAGTTAATAATTATAAAATAAACAGTAAAGATGAGTAATACAAAAAATTATTTGAATTAATTTTACTATGATTATCTGTTCTCTCTTAATAGCTCTGTTCGTGTATGTGTGTGAGTGTACTTGGAATAATGTGTTTTTGAGAAGTTTAAGTAGTTACTTGATAAATGATGTGAATCAAATGTTGTGTTAGGTTCTGATACTAGTATTTGGTGTCAATTCAAAGGGATATTGTTGAAAGAAAAAAACCATTTAAATGAAGAGAATATGGGAAGTGAGATATGAGTTTAGAATAAAAATTTTGGGTTTAGAATTAGGGAGTGGAATTCAAAAAAAAAAAGGTTAGTGCTATAAAAAATATAATAACTTTTGAAAAAAAAATAAAGTAAAAAAGTTCATAATAGTATTCTCTGAACTATAAACCTGTAATAGCTTATCAGCAAATATTTGTATAAAGTTGATGCAGCCATTTAGTAGTAACAGCATCATCATGGAAGATCATTTTAAAGCTTGGTGAAAGAATGATAGAAGGTATTGTTTGTTTTAATGCATCCCTGACTTTGGAATTTTCCGATAATCTAAGATAACAGCGAATAATGTGTTTTAATAGTCTCGGTGAGGGAGCCTCATTATGTTGAGTGATTACATTACCAAGAACTTGGCACACAGTAAAAAATCTCTCAGGAGTAGCACAAATATAAGTAAGGCCAAGATCATCAAGAAGGATTTTTTGTATTATGAATGTTGCAACAGTTTTGCTAAGTTCACTCCCAGTTTCCATTACTCTCAAGCAAAGAGGAATAATTTCAGTTTGTAAAAGAAAGCTCACAACTTCAGGATCGTCAACTTTTACAAGAGCACCAATTACACCGAGTGATGTTAGACGAAGATATTCAAATGGGCGTGATTTAGTTACAGTATTTAAAAAAGGATAAAGGTATAGTGGAATATGAGCTGCAAGAAAATGAGATCTAGTTTCTGAATGGCTTGCAACGCATTGTAATAAGGCCAAACAATTACATGTTCTGTTACTTGCTTGATTAGATAGGTTTGGAGGAGAAAGCAGTGGGTATATAAAAATAATTTCTTGTAAAAGAGCAGTAATACATCCAAAACTATGCCAAAGCAATGGTGCCAAATCCGGGAAGGTTTCACGGTATTTAGAAAGTTTTGATAATGCCATTTCTCTTTTTGAAGAGCAAGTCATATCAACCAAATATTGATAAACTTTTTCTCTTTCTTTTTGAACAATGTTCTCATTTCCCTTCGTTTCAATACCATTGTCTGACAATGATGATGGGATTCCTAGTTCTCCTGAAACAGGAATTTGGCTAGGAACTCCACTAATTCCAAGTTCACCCTGAGAGATTCTTTGTTGCACTTTTGCACCTCCAATAGAAGATGATATAGGTGCTGACAAAGGATTTGAGATAGAACCAGAAGCTGGTGCGGAGTTGGATAGTGCCGAATTAGAAGACGACGCCGAAATAGAAGATGAACCTGATGCTGGAACTGATGAAGAATGTAATGGTAATGAAGAAGAAGAAGAAGAAGAGGAAGAGGATGAAGTTGCTAATGGAACTGTAGATGCAGAGGAAGAACTCACTGTTCCACAACCTGAGCTATTTAGTCCTCCCTGTGGTAACATTTCTTATTAATTTCTAAAGATTGAAATTTTATCTTGGTTAAATTTCTATTAATATACCAGAAAAAAATAAAAGAAAAAATTTCACAATATACTTGTATTCTATGTGAAACTTATTCAACAACTTTTCATTTCTTCAATTAGAAAATCATTCATTTAAGACTTTTCTTTCTTCTATTTTATTAATCTTTTCCTGATTCTATTTCATTTAATTTTTATATGAAATTTGACGGTTTCAGCTGCCGCCAAAACTTTGCCGCCTGACATTTTGTTTGTCTACTTGTGAGTCCCCTCCCCACCAAAGAAATTTCAAAGGTCCAATAAAAAGTGCAAAAATCACTATCGTAGGATTTTTGGATTCTCTAAAGGTACACCTGAGGAAATTTTGAGATATTTTTGCTATTTACTTCAGGTATATTGTATTTATTTTGGCTGTTTTTTCCTTTCTTCTCTTTTCTTTCCTTTTATCTAGAAGTTTTCTTATAAGCTTAAAACCCTCCAAACTGAAGTTTCTTTCACATACCCAGCTCAGTTTGCAATCAATAGATTTAGATATCAGCAGGGCTATACAAACAAAAAATAACTTTTTATTTGATGAAAATGTGAACACATTGATATGCGAAGTTAAGTAAGGAAAGATTTGATAGAATATCTAAGAAAGTATGTAGTATCAATAATAAAAAAAACAATAAAGAAATCTAAATTATTCATTTCTATATATACTATGTAGTACCATCCATGTGTTACAAACATTATTCCCAAAAAGGAAAATAATATTATTTTCATTCTAAAAACCAAATCATAAATAATAATGTAATTACTCTCGGTTTGCTAACAGTTTAACATGTAATTAAAGTAAGATACATATTTATATGCTCTTCTCTCTCAATATCTACATTTTATTATTAAATTTACTACCCACTTCTTTAATTACTTCCCTCCCCACACGCCCTATACTCTCTATTTCAATCACTTTTAAAAGTATTATGGTGTAAACCAATAGCCCGCCAAGAGCCATCAATTTTTCTGCATGTTTTGCATAATACCGGGGTTCTCCCCACATTGTATGCAATAGGCGCCAATTGGTTTGCATTTTTGTTACCAGTTAGTGCGAAAAGAAGATATTTCAAAAATACTAAATTACTAAAATATGCATAATTTGGAACTTCTACAAATATTTTCTCTTTTTACATGAGAGAATTAAGATATATTCGTAACGAGAACAAGTTTTTATAGACTAATCATTTGGAAACTTGTTTTATTATTAATGAATTAATCATATTAATCATAATTTGTTAATATTATCATTATTTCCCCCTAGGTTCAGCCCTGAAACTACTCACTCATTCATCCATTCTTTGTTATTAAGTTTCAAATTAATATAAAGTAACAATAAAGGATTCAACAGATTTTTAAATTAAATAACTGAATATAATAAATAAATAGAATTTATCATATCAGAGATGGTCACTAATATGGCTTCATCATCCAATTATCGTTTATCAAGCTCTCTTTCTCCAATTAGAAACAAAATTACAGATGATTTTCAAGAATGTGATCCTATGATTAAAAGTACTAATTTTCAACCTATACCAAAATATAATCACAATTGTTTTGAAAATAGCAATACTGTTAATGTTAGTATTCAAGATGAAGCTCAAATTATTAAAATTAAATCATCGGAAAAACATGATTTCCTGATTTATGATAAAAACTTATTCAGATTCAAAGTTTTTGTGGTTATATTGTTATATATGTCAAGATCAATTATAGAAACAAGAAATATTCATAGGAATTTGGATGATAATAGTCAGAAATTTCTCAAGAGTTTATATGATATTATATTTTTTGCCTGTATCTTTACCTTTACATATATATCTGGGAAGTCGTTCACAATTTCCATTCTTACTTTAAAGAAAACTAAAGAGTCAAAAGATTCACAAGACATTTTTGACAAAGGATTTTCCAGATTTATTAATATTTTTACTCATCCAAGTTTTTTACCTATCAAAATAGTGGTTTACAAATCAATAACAAAGTATTTTTTACCTGGATTTGTTATGTTATACTTTATTCAGCCTTTTTCATACTATATTTCAGCAGTACATCCAATTTGGGTAGAAAGGATTACCTTATCTCCAATTAACTTTTTCTTAGACTCATTGGATAGAGTTATTTATAAAACTGCTTTGGATAATGTATCTAAAAAGATTTCATACTTTCCCCAAGTATTAATTTACCTATCATTCATACGTATAATATGTTTTCCTATTACTGAGCTCACCAAGTATATAATAGAGTGTTCTTTTGGAGAGATAAAGAATTCAACAAAACAAAATGACTCTGGAGAGCATTATAGTAATATTAACATAAGCTCAAAAACTTGTAGAAAGTATTCCTCTATTTTGGATATCTCTAACTCATATAGTATAGGGAAGTATCAGAAATACCTAAATAACCCATTAATAACAAATAAACTAAGGTATCAAGCAACTGAAATTAATGATGGTAAAAACCAAACAAAATATTACTTTTATGAAAGAGAATTTTCTTTAATTTCTTTAATTGGAAAAGCTACAATTTCTATTTTGGTTATTATAATGTTGTATTACTATAACCTTAGAGAATTTTCAATGCTTGTTTTCATCCCAGTAGCTCTTCCAATTATTACATTCTCCTTAGCTGGGCATTTGTCTTCAATTACAAAAGTCAAAATTTCCTTGGCTTTAACTTATATCCTCCTACTCTTCCTTTTAATTCCGTTAAAAGATTATTCAATAATTTGGAAACTTTGTTTAATATTCTTGCTTGGTGTTACAGACGTACAACTATCATTTATGAGAAGCCAATATAATAATTACTCTGGTGAAAGTAAATCAACAAGCATAAGCATTATCCATCCAATATTTAAACATATTTCTTTATTGGTATTTTCAGTAACTACAATATATTTATCATTTTTTATCTCGGAAAGCAAATACTTTGAAAATCTATCATTATATCTAAATTCATTAAAAGAGGTATCCTTACTATTTCTGATTATTACTATTACATCCCACCCTTTGTTCAGATCAGAATTATATGTTGTTGATAACTCATATGGAATAAAACAAATAAAAAGTGAGAATCAGAATCTTTTTGTTTTGATTTTCGTCCATTCAATTGTAATCCGCGTTGTCTCATTCTTTTTTGAATCCAAAACTAATATTAAGCTACCAATATACATAAACATATTAAGTATTACATTAATTTCATTATTTTTAACAGAATTACTATACTATACAATACTGCTGTTCAATCATTGTTGTTCGTATTTGAAATCGTATTTTATATCAGGAAGCAAAGTTAAAGACTCAAATTCTTACCAATTGTTAGTGTAAGGTACTCTAAGAGGTTAGCATGATTATATGGAAGAAGTCTAAAGTAAAAAGGGGAAGATCAAATTGGAATAAAGAAGACCGAAGAAGAAATGTGGGGAGGAGTGAAGGTTAAGAAGTTAAAGAGGAACTAGTTTGTTTTATATTTCGCGAGTTTGAAATTCTGACATCATTATTTAATATGGGTGGCAAAATTGTGCGCAAATTCTGTTTGCATATAATATTTACACACAATGAGGATGTTAGCGCTTGATGACAAATGTCTATCCATATAAAAAAGGCAATTAAAAGATGCAAAGTTCAAATAAATTATATTGGCAAAGGAGGAACTCTTATATTTATTTAAATATATTTTTGTAGCCTTTAATGTTTTTTTATTGAAATTTTGCAATGAGCTCAGACTTTACATGCATGTAAATTTATAAGTATTTTTTGAAATACCGGTGCCACGTAAGAGGGAAAAGAAAAAAATAGGAGGTTTGGCGCCTAAAGAATTTAGGTAGTATAATTTTTTAAGAGGAAAGAGTTCGTTCGTCAAATTTGACTTTTTGATGGAGAGTCGGGTAAATTCCCAAGAAAGAGTTGCCAATGAGATGAAGAAAACGAACCAAGCTCGCCTTCACTACTTGGATTGGCTAAAAACACTAGCAGTTTGGCTAGTAGTTTTTGTTCATGTAATTTATTACTTGAACCTGCTAAATATTGGAATAACAAGAAGTGAGAAGGAAATTGTCAGAAGAATGATCGTATTTTTTTCAGAGTTTGGAATGCCTATTTTCTTCTATGTATCAGGGAGAGCAAGTTTCCTTTCGAGCACACCCAATTTTCGAATATTATTGAGAAAAAAAATTCTACGCTTATTATTGCCTTTAACTTCTGGGTATTTCATTTTATTACCAATTACACATTACGTGGCAAATGGTAGAAGGCCATGTACTTACACCTTGGATGGAGCCCCTGCAAACTTCCACGTACATTATTTTATGTACATTAAGGATTTTACATGCCATGGATTTGAATGGCTTTGGTTTTTGGCTTTACTGATTGTCATTTCTGTGGTTATGTTTCCCTTTATAAAGGTTATGAAAGATCAGAACAAAGGCGAAAATATTTTATATATAATTTCTTGTGGATTAATTGCTGCAATTTTTGGTCCTCTTATAATATATAGTTATGATTTCCATCCATTAGCACTCTTTGGACTTTCGTTTCCACTAATGATTATGTTAGTTTCATCTCTGGTTATGAAATCAGTTAGAAGCAGAAAATCAGGTTTAAACATTGCTTTAATATATCTTACAGCTATATCATTCATACTGGGAAGTTTATTTTTAGCCTTTTATAGCAATGTTGATTATAAATCCAATACTTCAGGTTTCAATTCTAATGATTATAAGCCAGTTTTTCCTGAAAAAGGTTTTCTTAGAGTCATTGATGACAGGAGGATGATGTTGGCCATTATATTTTACATATCATTCTATGCTGTTGGATTCATTGATCAGTTACTAAGCTATTATTGTTCCTCTAATAAGCCAGTTATTCCTGAAAATCAAGCTTTAATTGGAAGTTGTGATATTCAGAATTCCGAAGAATGTCCTAACCTAAACATATCCATACCTAATTCTAGTCAGGAAAACCAGCCTGCTTTGCAGAGTTGTAAAGACTTCAGGCTTAATATCAATAAGGATCATCCAAATATAGAAAATATAAACAAACCGAATGATTATACCTATTCTTCCAACGATAAGATTCACAGTATTATTAATAACATGCCCGGAATGTTCAAGCCGACTCTTGTATTTGTTTCTTTGGTATTGTACTCAATTAGTTTTTCATTGGGAAATCATGGTATAGGATATATGTGGGCATTTCCAATGTATAGAATACCAAGTAGCTCACTATTTTATGTTGCAGGAGCCTGGATTATCGTTTTCGTATTGGACTCAATTTGCCATTCACTACTCAATCATATCTTTATTCCAAGCTTATACTTCCATTTTACAGCGTCATCAATTATAATATACATTATACATATGCTTTGGCTTGAACTAACTATGTCTTATGTAATCATTCCACTCCAAATACCATATATGCAATCAATTTTCCTTACTTTTACTATTACAACATTATTAAGCGCATTAACATACTTTTTAGCAATCAAGGTTAAATTTATCGGATTTATTGTTGGACTTACGACCACCTTTACTTCCAAATCCAATAGTAAAGTAAGCAAGAACCAGAGATCTGAAAAAAAGGCTCAGCAAATATGTGTTTAAGCTATATTGGATTTCAGTTTCTGTTATTCTACGTAGTGAAGTATTAAATCAAAGCATTCAAATTTCATCTCAAATGTTTTTAAATCAAACAATTTAAATAAAAAATAAATGGAAAAACAGTGAAATCATCGAATAGTGAATCGAAGGAGATGGGAGAAGATGATATATATGTATTATACTGGAACCATTCTTCGTTTCAATCTTTTGGTGTATTGTTCAGATATTTTTTAAATATATTGTGAATCTACATAATTAGTTACTTAAAACACTTATTATAATCGTCTAATTAGTAATTTATTTTAATTTATTGTCAAATTATGCAATCTTACTAAAACTAGGCACGTCCACATGCATGCAAAAGCGATTTGACTCGGTTTTTAAGAGAGGCGGGTAAAAAAGTGGAGAACACCGGCATCGATCCGATCACCTCTCGCATGCTAAGCGAGCGCTCTACCATCTGAGCTAGTTCCCCTCGTCTGTAGGTGGGTGTCATTTTAAAATGATATTATAATGGATAAGAAAAAGTATTTATGGGGACAACTTTAAATTTTTAAGAAAATGAATACGACTTACTCATGTAGCTGACTTAGGATAATAAAAATAGCATTAGTTATTACTCACGAGAGTTTTCGAATAGAATTTAAAAACTTTGCAAATTAATTAAAAATCGTTACTTTACTAATATACAAACATATACTATAGAGAATAAAATTTTTATTAATTAATAAATAACGTGTATACTGTTCGGAGGTAAATATATATATTAATTTAGATTGAATCAAATTTTTTTCATAGGTAACACAGGGAAATCTGTGAAGGAAATACTACTTAGGTTGGATTACTGTATTATATGCATACAATGGTTTCTTTAACAAACACAAGCTTATCTTTAAAGATTCAGGAAGAAATACTGATGAAAATTTACTATATAAATGATCTCAATGGATCATTTCCCATTTAATGATATAAAAATAACTTAGTTTTGGCGGGAAACACGGACTTATGTCTTAAATAATATATTAAACGAAAGAAAAGAATTATTAAAAGTTCAATAATCTAGCGAGTAGTTTAATTAGTTAAAGTGGAGAGAGAGTAGGAAAATGTCAGAGAAAGAATTAATTGAAGGAGTGCAGAAGATGGATATTGGTTATGATTTTGGTGAGAAGAAGAAGAAGAAGAAGAGCAAGGAACATAAGACGGGAGTTGCTGAAGTAGAAAGTAGTTATGTTGATGGATCAGGACAATTATTTGTCAAGGGTGCGATTTACCCATATGAAGAACTTCTGGAAAGAGTCAGAAGATTGATTCTTGAACATAACCCAGATTTGTGGGGAGCTAAAAGATATACATTAAAACCACCTCAAGTAGTTAGAGTCGGAAGCAAGAAGGTAGCTTGGATAAATTTCCAGGAAATTTGTAATATAATGCAAAGAAATGCAGACCATGTCTTTCAATTTGTATTGAGTGAGCTGGGAACTGAAGGATCAATTGCTGGTGATGGTCAACTAGTACTTAAGGGCAAATATGGGCCAAAGCATATCGAAGTTTTGCTCAGGAAATACATTATGGAATATGTTGCATGTTCTATGTGTAAATCTCCAAATACCAGACTTGAGAGAGATAATAGAACCCGTCTATATACTATTGTTTGTGCTGCTTGTGGTGCTAATAGAAGCGTTCAAAACATTAAAACTGGTTTCCATGCCGTTTCTAGAGCTGACAGAAAGAAAGCTAAAGCTGCATAATTAAACCAAATATATAGTAAATCGGATAGACTAGATTCATAACAACAGAGAATACTTAGAAAACAAGGTTGAGTTTTGGAAAGGAAAAAGAATAAAAGGAACAACTTTTTTGGAGAAGATCTAGAGGTATTCTTCCAAAACTTGTAACTTCTATTGGAGAATACAATAAATAACTGTCTCAAATTTTTTTCTTTGCAATATCACACTTTGTATATATCTCGAGATGAATATTTAAGTTATTCTATTGGGATTAACTAGTATAATGAAAATATGCTTATTATATAGATGAAAGTTTTTTTTATTCCTGTATTAATTTGGCTATAACTTAATACTCCATAATATAATTCTACTTATTTTTACACTTTAGTTGTTATTTATACTCCTCAGGTACGCATTTGCATTGGCACTCCACCATGGGGCATTTCGTTCTGTCCTCAAACCAGTTTCTAATATGCCTTATATGTCCCCCATGCTTGCATCTTAAACAGCGTGTATAAAGACCAAAAACTGGTTCTAAACAGACACAGCAGCCTTCTGATACTGGATTTGATATTCTAATTGACCCAGATCTTGAAGATAAAGCCAAATCTGAAGCAGAATCTGAAACGGAGGAAATAGAAACCGGCCCTATATTTGGTATTCTTCTTTCTCCTGGTATACCTGGTACTGGTCCTGATTCTGAAGCAAAATTGGGCCCAAATCCTTTTGTTCTTGGCCCCTCCATTATACCCGTCACTTCAGATTGTATTCTCAATCCTGGCCTTAATGAGTGTTTTGATTGACAGCCATTTTCTGTTCTCTTTAAATGATTTGAAAACTTATGAATTGCAACCACCAAGATCCTTGCATCATAGTTATTTTTAATCTCCAAATATAATTTCTTTAATAAATTAATGAGCTTTATTTGGTCAATCTGCTCAAAATCTGATAAACTTGAACAAACTGCATTGAATTTATATCTTAAAGTAGGGAAAAAATCATTTCCCTGGTCAAATTGTAATTGTGCTCTAGATGCATTTATGTAACTTTTTTTCTTAAAATATGAATGAACAACTGTTGGGCATAACATCATACTCAAATTCGAGTTTTTTATATTCTTAGTTGGATCTGTACAAAAATTCTGTAAATCCTTTACGCAATGTCTTCTACTTTGCTTATATAAAACCGTTGTTAGCCAATTTAATAGTATATATGTGTATTTAAAATAATCCCCATATAAAAATTTCTCTTCTGAAATGTATTCTACCTTTCTTAAAATTTCATTAATCTCAAGTAATATCTTTTCATATCTCGCAGCTTTATTTAAATTATGCTCATCATTCACTTTCATGAATATTAAATAACTTCCCTGAGATATAATCAACTTATCTAATGTATGAAATGTATATGAAACCTTTGTCTTTTTATTACGATTCTCACCTAAAATTGCTTGTTGTTCAAACCCTAACCCATACAAATGCTTTCTAGTTGAGGATATTAACTCTAATTGCTGTTCCTTCTTAAAACCATCATTCTGAGTCAATAATCCAAATAATGATTCTGGTAAATTTGAAATAATCCATACCCAATCCACTAATTGCTTTATTACTTGATTATTGTTCACTGTCAATAACTCACTAAATAGTGAAGTCAATAATTCTTTATCTAATTCTATGTCAAAAAATTTACATAATCTTTCTCTTTCTTTACAATTTAATATTATATTGTCCAGATAAACTCTTACCGGTATTATATTTTGCATGCAATTTTCTTCTTTTGCATGCGAATTATTCAATGACGTGTGCTCGTAATTATGTAAAATTTTAAATATTTGTCCACATGAATTAATATTGGTTTCAGATATTTTATTAATGAGATTTGAATAAATTTCTTTGATTCGGAGGATTGTATTATTAGTAATATAATAAGTAGCTTCAATAGTATTTTTCTCCTGTGACGATGTTAGAATTATTGTAAATTCAAAAGAATCTGAAACTAAATTAAAATTTGTATTATCTTCCATTACAAACTTTCCTCTTAATGTTGGATGTCTTGAAAGTTTTGCTATTATCCTATCATTTGACTCTATAGAAATTGAAATTAGATTATTTGCCATTTGTTGATTTTGTTTCACCTTTTCATGAATCATATTCAAGTCTCTGTAAAACCAATTAGTAAAAAACGTTTGAATAGTCAAATTTGATATTTTGGCCTCTTCATCTTTAGAGGTAGTGTTTTCATTGGTTATTGAAGCCAAGGAAGTCACATAGAAATTATAATGCATTAATTCATCTTCTTTTTCAAAATAACTACTTTTAGAATGATTGTGTCCTTTTAATCCACCAAATAGTGTTAATTCATTATTTTCACTTAAAAAAATTCTCTTAACTGGACCATTATATCTCATTTTAAGCCTTCTAAGACCAAAATCATCATTATCTTTGATCTCACTGTAGTAAAACCTTCCACTTTTATCATTAATAATTAAATTGTTTGTTCCTGGCAAAAAATCATAAGCATTTACTTTAATGCATGTTCCATTCTCCCAGCTCAAATCCTGGTTAATCTTTCCAATCTCGGCTTTGGCTTGCTCCTGAAACTTTAAAGTACTTACCTCATCCTCCCCTAAATCCTCATTTTCGTCAACTGAACTTGATGAAAAATTTAGTACTTCAAAATCTGGAGAAACATTTGAATTCTTTAATGATATATATTGCAATCCATTTCCAACTCTTAAATTACTATCACAGTCTAAAATTCCACCATTAAAAATTTTGGAACCTTCCATAACTTTTGGTACATTAATTACGCATAAGAGATCCATCTCGCAAATCAGAATTTTATCTGAAGATAATGGTAGCCATGAAAAATCAATAATACCTTTATCTCCTCTTTTCTCCTCTCTCCTGTTCGAAATATCACTTATCCAACTATTTCTAGGAATTATTCCAATCATCTTAGGCAGTCTAAGGTCATAAATACTTAAAAATTCTCCATTCTCGTGAAGAGCTCCCAATAAATAAGAGTTCAAAAGATTCCATTTAATACTCTTTGTGTTGTAAAATGACATAAGTGATAAGTCTTGATTCTTACTCCTTATATCTAGGACTCTTATTAATGCATCTTCACAGCTTGTTACAAAAGTACCAGTTGAAAAATGAGGACTCCAATCAAAAGAACTAATATTCATCATCTGACTTGAAATGCAATCCAATCCTATGCTTTCCAATGTACCATATAATATTGAATTTCCTTGAATATTTATGAAACTATTATATAACCTTGGATGGGTACCAAACTTAACAATTTCAGAATACATAGAACCAAAATTATCATATCCATCCATAAAAATTGAATTCAAGTTACTACTTGATTCTGATGATTTGTTCAACCCCAAAATCCTTCCTTTGTTCACCTTAATAAATTCGGATCCATCATCTATTCCCTGTGCCCACCTGTCTAAATTATATATGTATACATCTTTCCTACTATATATTCCAAATCTTCCTGACCTATCAACGTCCACTGAATTCAACATACGAACTCCAAGCTTTAAAACTCCTTTAGTTTCAACCTAATCAGTTCAAAATCCTCTCACACATAGATTTCTTCCTTCTTATACAATTTTATTACCACCTATCAAATTCTCTTATTATTTACCCACTTTCTGGTCATTAACTTAATTCCTTCCTTCTCCAACCTTTCACAATTTCTTCGAATACACCGTATAAAAACAATTAATCTCTATCAAAACCTATACTATCACCTTTTTAAACCTTCTATTTCAAAATTACTTGGTATTTTTATTATGACTTTCATTAAATTTTACATTCAATTCGCCTTTAATGGCCCCCCTTATTTTATATTCGCGCATTCTTTTTTAGTCTTCATTTGCCATCTTACGTGTGGCGGGCATTCTGGGCGGGAAATTCCATCTTATTTTTTTTTGCAAGTTTAGAGGATTTTTTTTGAAATGATTAATTGTTGATGACTTTAAGGAAAGAGATAATTCAGCAATTGTAATCATTGAAGAAATTTGAATAGAGCTGGGAAGCTACTCATTAAATAATATCTTGTGAATTTTCTGGCTCTATTTGAGAGCTTGTGAAAATTGCACTGGATAATATATTAATTGAGAAATATATATATTTATGCAGCCATGCAATAGGTCAATATATAGTTTATTGGGAATTTGAGCACTTTCCTTAAGGAAGCTGCAAACTTACCCTAGTTTATTGTTAAGATTATTGTGAATATGAGTGTAATTGATAAAGTCCGAGATTTTGTACTTCCTGGAACTTTTGGAAAAGGAAGAAGAGCCAAATTGACTGGAATTATTGCTTCAATATACCAAATATTAATATATACTTTCGTATTGGCAAATATATGCAATTCTTTCCTGCTATATTTCCGATTTGGTCGTATTAACAGTTTTGTTACAATTTATTCTGAATTAAATGGAATTGAAACACCTTCTTTGATTTATTGTAAAAAAAGGAGTAGATTTGGAAATGATATAAATGCATTTAATGGTACAGTTCTAATGAGAATTCTACATTATAATCGGTATTACTACAGCGACAATAAAAATATCCGAACATGTATTTATGAAGGATCGATGTGTTTATGTATTGATGCTTGGAAACAGTCGTATTACTCCATTAATGATTTAGAAGCAAACAAATCAACAGGAAATGTTAATAATTCTTTGGAACCATCTATTTTTCAAAATCCTAATTCTTACATGAAATTGAATTCTAATCAATTTTCCGTATTTCATCCAGGTGATTTTCCTGTCCCATTATTTATCAGAAATGAAATAGATTATCAAATTAGCACAAGAATGTCCATGAACGATAATGATGTTAAATATAAACCTCATCTAATTAATTGGTGTGGATTAAATATTAGAGAAGATAATAATAAACTGAATTATTCAAAAATTACTAATAATTTTGAGAATCATTCTTCACATAATAACAATATTTTAAATTCAGTTAAAAATCATACTTCTCATAATATTGAAGTGAGCCAAAACATTTTTTGTGAGCATAAGGATATGGTGGAATTATTATTCATTTCTGAAGATAAATTTGAAGGAGGTGTTGTTGGATTTTATACGTCTAAGAATCAATTTTCTTCAGAACCTATGTGGGTAAAAACCAGTTTTCCTGGAATAATATTTGCTTTTCTTCAACTTGAGAAAAACTGGATCATTGATTTTCTTCTTCTTAAACGTTTATTATATCACAGAATGAATCCATTTTATACTATTTATAAGTATTTTTCAAATTCGAATAAAAATGATTTATCCCCATCAGATATAGATGATGAAAATGATAATGAGCTCAATATTGATTATGGTTTTCAGAAAAAAGATAAGTCATACCTTATTACAGAATCCCAACAGATTATTGCTGATATTGCCCAATTTCATGGTAAAGTACTTCCAAATGATTGGTCACAATGGCTAAATGTACACCAACAAATTTCAAGAATTAATGGTACGAATGATGATAAAATGAATGGAGACAAAAATTTTGATGAATATATTTTTAATAACCAGACGTTAAAAATGATTGATGAATTATCAAATTTAACCAATGAATCTTCTGGACTTTTGAAATCAAATTATTCAACCCTTTGGGTTAGATCTGAATATCAAATATTTGTCACCCCTAATACGGTCAGAGTTGCAAATAAGCACTTCCTTCTTAAAACCTTTGGACTTATAATGTCAATCATTTTCTCTCTGAATTATCTCAACCTGTTCCACTCTGTATTCCCTTATTACCGAGGAGAAGTACCCAAATTAACCGTTTCACCTTTAACGAAGTTTCTATCATGCAATCTTTTAAATTCCTATCATGATAAGCAGTAGTCGATTAATAGAATTGATTCCTTATAGAAAAATTTGTAATTATATTTATTAATATAAAATATTATCATATTCCTTTTGTTTCTCTTTTTTTCCGGCATCTAATTCTTAATTATTATCTTAGTTTACGGCAAGATAAAGCCATTTTTATGGTATTCTTAAGTTGCAAATAATCATATATATTTAAATTACAAGAATAAATTAAAACTTCCAACGATTTCCACAATTCAAACAACGTACAAATGTTGTCATAGGTTCGTCGGCTGATCTTGTTTGCATCTGATAATATGTTGTTTTATTAGTCTTGCATTTTCCGCAGGTAAATTGTCCCTCCTTTTGTATCAAATTTCTTAAGTCCCAATCTGACTGGCAAGCTTCCAAACTCTCCTGTTTATGTTTTTCTCTTTCTTTCTGCTTTGCATCTGATGCCATTTCTCTGCTTTGCATTCTAGCAATTTCCTCTGGTGTAATCTTACCAACATATAACTTAGAATTTAATTCTGGATTTTTTAAATCACTCAAATTCCATTTGATCGTTTTAAGCTGTAAATTGTAATCACGAACCGAATTTTCACCTTTGACTATATATTCACGATGTAGTACAGATTCAATTTCTGCAGCAATTTCACAAACTTGTGATTCTTTCATTAATTTTGCTTGAGAATATGGTACCCCTGTAACCATTGCTTTCCATAGAAAATTCCTTGCTTTGTCTCTCATCACATCCCCTGTTAAAGGACCTATGTACTCTTTATGTAAACTACCTTCTTCCTCAATTCTCTCTTTGAATTCGCTCTTGACTTGAGACTGATTGTCTACATTTTCTTCAGTTGAATTTTCTTCGTCGGATTTTCTCAGCTTTTTAGTTGTAGATGATTTATCTTGATCATTTAATTTCTCATCCTTATTAGAAGTTTGCTGGGTGTTTGTTGCTAATGCTTCTTTCCATTTTCGAATCAATTCATCAGCCTTTGTGACTATTGCAATATTGTTTACTTCACAAAACCCTTTTTTAACTGCAGTCATCACTACTCCTATCTTGGTTTGTTTTAATATTTCCCGATTAATATTAACAGAATCAAGTTTTTCCAGAATTTTCATTACTTCACCATAAGTAGATTCTAACTCCTTCTTTAAAATTAACTTCTCTAAATTCTCCTTGATTAATTTAATGTTTAGAATAGTATCTTTCGAATCACTCATATTTACTAAAAATAACAATAATAAACCAATCAATAAAAATTTTAAATATATAGCAAAATATATACTTATTAATGTGTTTTTAGCTTCTTAATCAATTTCCTAGTAATATTTCTCTTTAAATCAGTTCAATCTCAGACTTCTTAATAAGCTTGAAACAACCAGATTTCATTAGTAAACTTCACTCTTACTCCCATCAAAGTTAAATTTTACTTTCATATAATGTAGGAGATTATTTCCTTTCTTTCTATTTCCAAGGGAATTTTTTCTATTTTTTCCTGATTATTAGCTTTGAATTAAATTATCAATTAGTTAATTGAAGTTACCGCCATGTCTGGCATCTTTATTATTTACATGAAAAATTAACCTTAGAAACATATGGTAATTAATTTATTCTTGAATAGAACTTAATTTACTTAAGTTCCATGTAACTAAACCAAGAATGTTTTCATGAAGATGCTTTTGTAACCCTTTCTTTCCATTCTTAACAATTTATTGTTTTTTGATTGTGATTTAATTCATACTATTTGTGTAATTGAGCATTAAAATTTAAATGATTTATGAATTTCATTGTAATTATACAAAAGATAATGAACTGTTCCGTCAAATCTAAGATATTTTTATCTTAATTTTTCTTGTATTCTTATGATCATTTCTGTTTCAAAGTTATTATTTACAACAAAGTAATCATAAATATTATTCCCATATTTCTTTTACCAGAAATTAATTTAGTTTATTACTTTAAAAATATTTTTTTCCCTAATATTTTCCCACACAAATCCACTTTTTTATCCATTAATTTTATAAAATTCTTCTATTATTATATTTTTTATTGTTTTTGTCACTATTGCATGTGTATGCATGTGGACAAAAATATTAATAATAAAAATCTGTGCATACCGGTATAGAAGAACTGTCAAAATTTGTGTATTAATGCAAATTTGCATGCATGTATGCAAATTGTCCACATAAAAAAATAATAATAATAAAAATTTGATTATTAAAATTGAATTGCAAGTAAAGCCACTGGCAATTGCATGCATGGGAAAATCAATAAAAACTGGATGACAGAAAGAAATTATTCAGTTAATAAACATTATTAAAAAATTAAATTTGTACGAGTGTACAGAATAATTGAATTAATTCCAGGCTGATAATATAGTTAATTAAGCTTCTAAAGGAAGACTATTACTAGTTACCAGAATCAAGAAATACAGTAATATATATATATATATACAATATATATATATTAAAAATATCTACTAGACAATATTAATAGTTTATATAATTTTAAAAAAAAATGTCTTACGCAGAAACTTTAAAGACCCAAAGTGAGTCTCTTTTATCTTCAGCCCAACAAGGAATCGACAAGGCTCGTGAGTATGCAGATTATGAAAAAGCTTCCGGATTTTTGTTTCCACATCCATTAGGAAAAGTTGGACCACTTCCTTTAAGAAGAGTGGTTACAATTATTTCATCAATTACTTTGGCTTTCTCAATTTTCCAGATCTTCACTGCAATGAGTTTCCCAGGGCTTGTTGTGGCAATTGCAAGATTCGGAGTTGGGGTTGTTGGTCTCATTGCAGCTTATCAGAAACAAGAATCAACATCTAAGATTTTTGCTTATGCTCAAGCTTTATTATTAACTATCAGTTCATTGTTGCTTGTTTCGGCAATATTCTTTGCAGTCATCAGAATCGGGTTCTCAGTATTTTCATTTGTAGTTTTAATTATTTCCATCGTTACTGTTGGATTCGACTACTTTGCTGCTTGGGTTGCAAGTTCTTACTATGAAGCTTTGAGAAGAGGTGTAAGTGTTGAATCACAAGCATAAGAAGAACATTAAAAGTTGTCCCTATACATACTTATATGATGTTAATTATTAACAACTTCAAATCACGTCTCATTTGAATATAAAAAAAAAATACTAACAATATAATTACATCATTACTATTAAAATATGCTTAACTAGGGTAATATCTTATTACATATATATATTATACTCAATTTAAAAAATATTAATAATCATCTATAAAAAATATCTTTAATGCGAACATATGACAAAAAGTAATTATTTTCCAATATGTTTGAAATAAATCATAATACATCATTTCTTTATCAAAATGGATTCCTTCAAATAATTACTTCTTTTTATCCTTTCTAACAGAATCTATTAATTTATCCAGACCAAAAGGATCATCATCCCTTTCAAACTCAACAGGTTTCGTTCTAAAGGCTGTATTGGAATTATCAGTACCTGAAAATGAAGGTACATGAACCCTTCCTCCGATACTTTCTTCAACTCTACTTTCTTCAAAAGTATATAATCCCCTAGACTTTAAACTATTTGTATTAAATAATGGTTTATCATAAACACTTATAGTATCATTGGAAAATCCTGAATCCAATCCTGATATCCTGTTGAATAATCTTGCATCAAATTGGACCTCAGAAGAAGACCCACCATCAACAGAACGAGCTTGGCCCAAAGCAATATGTTCAGAAATATCTCTATCACTATCACGTAATGTTTTTGATTTCTTTCCTGCTCTTTCTTGTCTGAATTCTCTCTCTATTTCTCTTCTTTTTTCCAATTCCAATCTTCGGATATGGTCAAATTCACTAGTCTCCTCTTCTGATCCCTCTTTTTTATCCTGATCGAATTCTGGAATTTTTGAAAGAAGATGATGGCTTCTTTCGGATCTTGAGGACTCTGCCAATTTTCTAAGTTTCTCTTCTCTTTCCATTTCCTCTCTAATCTTTTTCTGTTTCTGAAGCTCATTTCTAAGTTTAATCTGTTCTCTTGCATTTTTCTCTGCTAGTTTTAATGACTCACTTAACGATGCAAATCTATCATTAACTGAAATATCAATTAAATCTCGAGTATCAGCTTGCACTCTTTTATCTAAAGGTACAGTATATCCCATTGGGTTTTTCCAGTTTGAAATACTTGGAGGAATACTCCACTCTTTAATTTCTTCTTGGGTAAGTTTTTTTGATGGAGGTCTTAAAATAGGAACCATTTCTTCCCTTTTCGTACCTCCTAATATTCTATTTCTAAACTTCGGAAGTTCTAAAGGATCTTTAGGTCTTTCCACTACCTTTATTATTCTCTCCGCAAACTTTGGATCATATCCTATAGTATCAGAACTCGATCTATATTTTATAAATTCCGTCTTATTTTCCTTTTTACTTTCTTTAAATGGGTGAAGAGTATCCTGCTTTCTGTCAAGTACTAAATCCAGAGCTTTTTTTGTTTTCTCATAAATTTCTAGTTCTTGTGATTCTGTAGGTCTTTTTAAGTATTTTCCATGTATTGATTTTGTATCTTCTCCAAGCCTTGCTAACTTTCCTTCATTCTTTAGAACACATAAATCTGTTGTATTCACATTACTATTAACTTCTAACGCTAATTTGTTACTTTTCATGATTTGATTTTCATCAGATTTGTAATTAAGTGAGTCTTCTTTTTTTGTTCTTCTCGACATAACTTAGTCAAATTTCAAACAAATGTAGAATTATTGCCCAAATATTTAAATCAAACTATAAGTCATGGAATAATTTGGCAATTGCTTACTGTTTAGCTTAACGCGACTTTTTTGAAATTAATCAAATTATATTTTTATTTTATTATTACTATTAATAATCACTCTATTTAAAAACTTAAAGCTGATTGTTTTTTATATTTAATTAAAGAAATTAGCCATAAATTAATTCCTTTCTTATTTATAATATCAACTTTAAAAGCAATATAATTACCTAAAAGTATTATTAATTTTTGATTTTTCTTACATAATTATAACTAAACTTTTTTTATATTTTTGCATCATTTTTCTCTGAAAATTATTTATATTGGAAAAAAAAACGTATACCGGCAATAGTAATAGACACGTAATGTCCACTTTGATTATTAAAATAACTATTTCTATACCGGAGTAACAATAGTTGCAAAAAAAAATGCATGCATACAAAATTAAATTATTTAAGTTATTTTAAAAAATAAAACAATTGATACAGAAGATAATGAAGTTTTAAAATTAATATATAGATTGAAATATATAAATATAAATAAGTTAAAAAAGAAAAGAACAAGTATAAAATGAAAATATGTATATTATAAAGAAAATCAATGAACAAGACCGTTGGCAGTTTTATTACCAGCCATTTTTTGATTTTTCTTCTTATTTTGTTTATTGGCCCTATAAGATTGAATCGAAGTATCCATAGTTCCACCAGTAGTCTTCATCTTTTTATATTCAACTTGGTCATCTTCAAGCATTTTCATAAAGGAATTATATTTGGCATTTTGTTTTCTGGACTTATCCGCCTTCTTTTCATTCCATGCTTCTGCGATAACTTGTGAATCTTTTCTAAGTTGTCTATTGGCCTGCCTTCTAGCAGTGTTGACTTCCTTTCTCAATTTGGAAAGGTAAAGTCTTTTTTCATGTTCATATTGGGATTCTTTAGGACCATGTTTTGCTTTGAGCATAACTTTAGCAGCAAATGGAACTGACGGATCATCAATTTTCGGAATTAATGATCTAATAGTTGGAGTTTGCCTTGGGCAAAGATTAATGGGTTTTTGAGGTCTATTAATAATTTCAACTGAAACTGATTCAATTTCAGATATTAAATTTAACAATGTTTCACAATTGTTCATATTCACCAAAGATTCATTTACTTGTTGGATATTTTCACGAACAAGATGAAGCATAGGTGCATGGAATCCTTGTAAATTTTTCAAAGCAGAAATTACTCTAAGAAGAGACTTTAGAATTCCTATTGATAATAGAATTCTTTTTTCTTGAGTAATACTATTATTATTATTATTAAAAGTAGGTAATAATAACCATTTAAGGCAACTTAGTGATAAAGTAAAGTACCCAATACTAAATCTCTCAAGAAACTCAGTATTATCTTGTAATTTACTATTTACATAACCAATACTGGATATTTCCAATAAACTTATTACCCCAATCATGCAACTAATATTTGGATTATTACCTCCAGAAAGCCTTACTTGGTTGTACTTAAATTCCTCACTATATTTATTTGGTGTTATTGTGTTTAAAAATGACTTACCAACTTGACTCCATCTATGAGCCCATTGTTCTAGACACATAATAACCAGAGTTAAAATTGGGTGTTGAGCATCAGTAACTGGGAATAAAATAAACATAATCCTACAGATGACAATGTGTTCTAAAGTTAATTCATATATATCTTCAGAAAGTTGATACAAAGACGGGCATTCTTCTAATATCTCAGTATAATAGTTTTCATTTTCAACATCTAAAAGATTATCATTTAAAAACTTTTCAATCTTTTTGTACTTGTGGTATATACTTGGAAATGTTGAATGGCAAATTTCAAATGCAAAGTATGTGAAAATAATAAGGCATTCTTTTGGGTCAGTTTCTGCCATAAAAAGTAAATGGCCACTCATAAGTTTGAGATAATTTATAATAAATCGAAAAACATTGTTCTTTTCAGTATCAGATTCTGCTAGTTTTAGACACCTTAGTGGATATTTGACAAGGAAACCAAGAAGAAGCTTTAAATCGTTCATCATTGCAGTATCTCCTTTGTTAAAGCAAGATCTAAATCTATTAATAAGCTTCCATTGAGACTTTGGAGAAAATTTACTCATAAATTCCATAAGTTCTCCCAAATTATATTCCTTCAAAATGCTCTTCAAATTAATACTGAAAGGTAAATTCGATTCATTCTCATCATTTACTAACCAATCAATTTCTTCATTCTCCTTTATTTCGAATTCAAAAAATCCTTTAGGAGAAGGCTTTGGACATTTATTTTCATCCTCCACTTTAATGTCTCCTTCCTCATCTTCTTCTTCATCTTCCACATATCCATCCTCGTACTCTTCTTTTTCCTCTTCATTCTCTTCTTCATCTTCTTCCTCCTCTTCCTCCTCTTCATCTTCTTCCTCCTCTTCCTCCTCTTCCTCTTCTTCTTCCTCCTCAAATTCATCCTTAAGGTACTCAGTTTCCGAGTCACTGTTGAGGTCAACATCAATATTGGAATTAGTGAGTGACATTCTTTCCTTTCTTTCTTTTTCAAGTTTTTCAAGTTTTTCAGCATTAAGCTTTGCAATTTCCTCATCAGTTTTAATGCGATCAGAAACCCCAGTTCTTGTGTCAAATTTAAGAAGGTTTCTGAGTTGTTCATACTCATCCAATTCTTCGACAGCCTTATCAGATGATTGAACATTACTACTTTCAACATTAGAAATATTGGTGCCAGTATTGCTCATTAAAGAATTGATTCTCTCTTTTCTAGATTGCTTATAACTAAGCATTGATTGAACTTGAGAGAACGCATCATCCAAGTTTGCTAGTTCCTCCTCATGGCTTTCTCTGTGCCTTTTCATCTCCATCTTTGCAAGCTTGCTCTTTTGCATAATTTCTTTGAATATTTCCTGCCTTGATTTTGTAGAAGTACCATCTGGATCTCCTTGTCCAAAGAAAAAACCTGGCATATTCTTTTCATCTAAAATATTATCTTCCCCATGATTACCTTTATAACCATCATTTCCAAATTCATTATCTTCATCTATATCACCATCATATTTACGAATAACTTTATCATCTAAAGATGAAATAGATTTCCCTTGGTGAGTAAATTCCAGATCATTAGTAATATTATTATTCAAACTATCTCCAATATGTCCTCTATAATTGCCAGTAATGTTTTTTTTATCAGTATTATAATCCTCAAACTCCTCTTCTTCGTCCAAGTTAAAATTATTTTTTCTCTTTTTAGTCTTCTTCTTTAACTGTTTAGTAGCTATTAAAGTCTGGTACTTATCTCCAGTAGAATCTTTTCTTGCACTAAACTTTTCTCTTTCATCATTAAACTCACTTTTCCTTCCTTCACTATATAACTCTCTAAGCAAAGATTTTTTTCTCTCTAAAAAATCACGGTCATTAAACCCCAATCTATCTTTCCCTTTCTCTAATACATTTTCTACTGAGCCAGAATTTCTGCTCTTTATTACTTTTAAATGAGGGTCTTTCTTTTTATATTTCACAGTGTTAAAGTCCAAACTTAAATCTCTCTTTACATTGTGTTTGGCCATCTTTCATACCAATTTAAGGCTTATTTCATTTAAATCTGCGAAACTATTAAATATTTGCAATTATTAATTTTAAACTAGGTAGCTCAACTCAATTATTCTAACAACCTAATTTTAATACATATTCACCAATCAGATTGAATAACCTTAAAAACTAACAATCCCCAAAAATTCTCCTTTTCAGCTTCCTCTTCCACTAATCCTCTTGTAATTTTTGACTTATCTAAATTTTTTATATATTATTTTTTTTAAGGCGGGTTTTCTGATTTGTTTTTACCAAGTTACCTATTTTTAGATTAAAAAAATTTTTGCCCGTAAAATATTAAAAGGTGGTAACTGGGTTGGCGCCAAAAAGTGAGACCTAGGACGACGGCGTCTCTAATTAAATTGATTGTTAAATGTTTCTAAAAAAAATGCATATAGAAAATAAAATAATGTAAATAAATACAGATAACTGTTTAATATTCAAAGTAATATAAACCATTTATTGTATAATAAATGATTAAATTAATAAAAATTAATAATAGCGGTAAATGAAGTTACCATTAATAATATTAAATACGTATTAAATATTAATTAACTTAAAGCAAAAAAAAAGAAAATTCTTCTTCTGAAAGGCGTAATTTGACCTAATTAAATTTTAATTAGTCGTTTAAAATTTATAGATATTTATATATAAAAAAAGGAAAACTCCAGGTTACCACAAGATCTAGAATCTGCATTATATCTATATTAAAGAAGCAAATATACAAAGAAAATGGTTCGTGTTTCAGTTTTAAGTGATTGTTTAAAGGCTATTCTGAATGCTGAGAAGATGGGACGTCGTCAAGTTTTAATTCGTCCTTCTTCAAAGGTTATTGTCAAATTCCTGCTATGTATGCAAAGACGTGGTTATATTGGAGAATTCGAAGTAGTTGATGATCGCAGAGCTGGAAAAATTTGTATTGAATTACTCGGACGTCTCAATAAATGCGGAGTTATCTCCCCACGTTATGATGTTCCTTTATCCGATATTGAGCAAATTAGTACTGACTTACTCCCATCTAGACAGTTTGGTTACATTGTTTTGTCAACCTCTTATGGTATTATGGACCAAGAAGAGGCAAGAAGAAAACATACAGGTGGTAAAATCCTCGGATTCTTCTTTTAAAAATCAATAATTGCTGAATGGCTCTATCTTTTCCTTTATTTCTTTCATTAAATCCCTAATCTCTACTCTTAGTCTCTTTCGTCACTACTAAATAATTAATAGTTACTAAGGCTTTGGAAGAAATAACGTTCTAACAGGGAATTTGAAGAAAGATTGCTACTCAAAGAAAAGGATATCAGGAAAAATCTAGAGATTCTACCAATTCACATTTTTTACTTTAATTATATGATCTTTTGTTTATTATTATTATTATTTATGGTAATACTAATAATACATTAAAAAAACAGTACCTTTCTTGACGAAAAACTAAAACCACTTGATTATCTTATCATAGATTAGTTTTATTTTTTTATCAGATGAATAATACTTCAAGTCTCACTACATTCTACTATTTTCAACTTTCTAATCTTACCCTTCCCTTCTCTTCTTAACTTCTCCTCCCTTCTCCCTCTCCCCTTGTCCTCTATTCACGGCCTTCTCCTACTGCTCCTTCCACATTCACCTAAAAAACAATTACACCTAAAATTCTAAATTTTGTCCTTTTCTCATTCACACATTCCTTTTCAAGATCTACCTACATGCTCCTCAATCCTATTCTATTGTTATCACTCACTTATTGATCAGTCACTCTGCCGGAGACGAGACGCGCCCGTCTTCCCGCCCATTTGAGACGGAAATGATGCCAATATTATCAATCATTATTAAGAATTATAAAAAGTCAAAGTAATAATAAATAATGTTCAATTCTGAATAATTTTATTAATTACATAAGTATTCAAAATATTACTTTTAAAAGGTACTCATTTTAATATTATTATTCATTTATATTTTCAATTATTAATCAGCTAAATTCATCATTTTATTCCCAAATTATATTTATAACTGTCTTGTCTAATTCATAATTAATTTAAATAATAAAATTCCTGCAAAGTTGACTTTAATACTTGAATAAGGAAGAAGTTACCAAATTCAAGTTGTAAATCCCCATCAATTAAATATATCTAGTTTTTTTTTCTCCAACTGTTCTGGTAGATAAATTAAAAACATGTCAAGATTCGTAACAAAGAGAGTTCCTCCAAGTGAGTCAAAGAAACTAAAATTGGAGCGTAATCAAAAGATATTCTCCAACATTCAGTCTAAGATTAAGAATGATAGAGTTAAATTGAATGAATTACGTAAGAAGGCTAAGATTGAGGCATTTGATTTACAAAAGCAATACAAGAAACATGTCAAATCTATTGTTGACTTAAAAAGACAGGCTAAGCAAAATGGAGGTTTATATCGTCCAGCTGAACCAAAAGTTGCCTTTGTTATACGTCTTAAAGGTATCAATAAGTTATCTCCCAAGGTTAGAAAAATCTTCCAGTTATTTAGATTACGTCAGATTAATAATGGTGTATTCTTACCAATTAATAAAGCAACTACTGAAATGCTCAAGGTTATTGATCCATTTGTAGCTTATGGGTACCCATCTATTTCTATGATCCGTAAGTTACTTTATAAGAGAGGATACTTGAAGGTTGGAAAGAAAGGTAGTTATCAGAGAGTACGTATTCAAGATAATTCTATTATTCAAAAGAGACTTGCTTCTAAAGGTGTCTATGGTATTGAAGGTATGGTTCGTGAATTATTCTTTTGTGGAGAACAATTTAAGGCTGTTTCTTCTCTATTATGGCCATTCAAGCTTTCCTCTCCAAATGGTGGATTTGTTCGTAAGTCCACCAGATTTACTGAGCCCAGAGGTGGAGACTGTGGTAACAGAGAGCATTTGATCAATAAGCTTATTGATAGAATGTGTTAGATGAATTAGAACTAAAAGACCAAGACATCGACCTTATTTTCTTTCTTTTCTTAATTAACACAGGAAAGAAAAGAAAGTATGAGGGAGACGTGAACATCTCTTATCTACTTTTTCCTATTGACACATTACTAGAGATAAGTATAATTGTTACATTTATCTACACGTAATAGTACATATTTAGGGATTTATTTCTCTTGAAATTGATTAGATGATTTCATTTTAAGATTTTATTTCCAAATGAGGACTTTATATGATCTTTTTGTGTTATATTTCACTGTACTATATCTCGATACCTGATTAATGATTCATTAGAAAAGAAGAGTAGATATTGGAGTAAAACTTAGTGTGTACTAATCTTAACCATAATAATAATAATAATAATAAAAGTAATAATATAGAAAAATCATCATCTAATTCTAACAGTCTTCTTTTTATTTCTGTTCTTTAAGTTACCTTTATTCTTAGAAGCAATATCAAATAGCTCACTAGTACTTAAGGAATTCAAATCCTTTATATTACCTTTTTCTATATATATTGACTTTTTAACTTGGCACTTACTAGTATTCTTACCAGTACTTGTAGCACTCGCAGAAGCTAACATAGCTCGTCTTAATGGCTTTTTAACTTTACCTTTGTCATATTCCTTGTCATAGTCCGACCTAATGTTTGAGCGAGCCAAAAGAGACTTCTGAGCTTCCTCCAAGCTTTGAATGGCATCACTGGATAAATTAAGATCTTCCCAGGTCTCCACTTGGCTTTTGTTAATGTTACTAATTAAGCCACATTCCTTTGAAGAATCTCCAGCTTTTGACTTTTTAAAGTAGTCTACTGATAATCCAAGTTTTTTTAGTTTTTTCAAGTATAATATAGTAGCTAAGTTCCTTCTTGGTTTGGATCTGGTAATCCAGTTATCACATAATAATAAGGATCTAAGACTAAAAATACAAACCTTTGTATTTCTATGTTCTTTTGGTTCACTTTCAAGTTTTACAGAGCTTCTTGTTTCAAACTCCTGGCTATTAATACCGGTACTTGATGCTGGAGTCAAAACTAGTCTGATATCATTGGTATTCTGATGGTTCTGGGCAGTTTGCAATGTTAAGTTTTGGCCTTGGTTTTGACTTTGATCCTGATTTGAGCTTTTGTTTTTGGAACTGTTAGCTTTTAACTGGTCAAGAAACTCATTCATATTTTGCTCCAATTCTGAGGACTGAGGAGGATTCCTAATGTTGCTATTGTTTTTGATATTATGATCACTAGTGTTAATGAATACTTTAGAGCCAGTTTTAAGGTGGAAATTAATGAAAGAGATTTCAGGAGCTAGTGGAATCGAGGACTGGTTTTTTTCTAAAGACCCAATGGATGTACCAGAATGCCTAAATAAGTCATCCCTATTAAAGTCACTTTTATAGTAAAATAACAAATAAGCCTTGTAATTTTCATTTAATACGTTTTCAATTCTGATTGGTTTTACATAATCATCATTAAAACAATACCATTTGTTGTTAATACTTTTAGCATGAGTATAATAGTGACCACAAGATAAAGTATTTCCAGCATGGCATACTACAGCCCATAACTTGTAAATATGAGAGGATGAAGATCTAGAGGAGAATGTATTAGTATTAGAGCAAGATTTAGGAGCCATAAATGGTTCTAAGTCAAGAATCTCTGAAAAGTTGATAGCTTTGTTAGGCTTTCTACTTCCATGGCCAACATAACTAAACCTCTTTAACTGAATAGTCAAAAGAGGAGGAGACTTCTCAATTAGAAGCTGCTTAGAAGCATCGGATCTCTGATTACATTTTGGACACATATATCTATTTTCCCCCTTAAGGTACTCAATTTTAGTAAATAATTTGAGAGCATTTTCTAAATTAGATACCCCCATGATATCCAGAGGTAAATCCATAAATGGATCATAAGTATTAGAAGTATACCGGCAATTTGAACATATAATTCTGGAAAGGAAAAATCCACAGAATAGCTGTCCAATATAAGTAGTAGAAGCTGTAATTGGATGTATTTTCCTAAAAGCATGATCAGCTTGTAAACTCTTAGGCAAACAGGACTTGTGTAAAGCCTCCAAAAAATATCTCAAAAACTCCTGTGCATCATGCATCATACCAATTCTGAATCTTTTCCATATTAATTTTTGAGCACATTTGATAAAAGAGGAAATCACTGGTTGGTTTTCTGGAGTTGATTTAGATGAATTTTCTAACATAATATTAACATGGTCCTCAAACATGCACATTAGACATACTAGGTGTTGTTGCTTATGCTTACAGATGGTCTGGTGATTTCTTTTTAAGCAATCTATAGATAGATAAGGTGCATAAGTTAATGCCTGCAATATAGAGTTGAAGTAGCATATATTCCAGCCAGGATTGGCTAGTCCTCTCCCATATGGTCTAAAATGGGCCAGCTCTTTTGGTTGAAGGAAATCTCTGGCATCAGCAATTAATTCTGGAGGAAAGTAATAGTACTCTGGGTTTCCCAATGGAGCATTATTTACTATCTGTTCCTTTTCTTGGTCTTTTTTTGACTGATCTGAGTTTTGAGGCTTATCAAAGACACAAGATGAGTCACTCATTCCTGGCTTGTTAGCTAGAAGTCCTCCAGAAACAAAATTGACGACACGGGTTGATAATTGAATTGCCAGAGGATGAGAGTGTTGCCGCTTCTCGGTTTCTTGACTTAAAACAGAAGCCATAAATGCAGAAAAACAACCTGCTTCCTTTTTGTATTTGAAGGCAGATTAAAATATTAAAATCTTTAAATTATACCTCACTTTGTTGGCTCGACCTTAATTTTTTTTTTCCACCAGACTCTTCTCTTGACTTTTCTGCCTTTTGACAAGTAACTAATTCCTAGAGTTTCCCGCCTAAATTTTATCTTTAAATTCAAGTCCAGGAAAATGAGGAGGAAGATGAAAAGAAAGGAAGAAAGGAAAGAAGAGTTCAAGGAGAAGATTACCAGATGCTTTTGATTGTGATATTTGTACTAGAAATTTCAGTTTTTAAAATTTTTGAAAATTCAGGACTGAAAGGATTTTTTATATTATATTTACTAGTAAATAATGACATACTATTTGGCGCCAAATATTGAGATCAATGTAATACTAAAAAATGTGAATTGGATGAGAAAGGAAGGAAGGAGTAAAAGTAGCGGGGAGGAAGAGGAGAAGATAGAAGGAGTGAGGATAAAGTTTGAACTGGGATGTAAAAATTTTAAATAAATTAAATATGTACATTTTTCTCCCCTTAATAAATAATAATTAATATACTGGAGACAGCCACGTGCCGCCAAAACGGGATAAGTATATATATAGTCAAAAAGGGATGTGATAAAAGGAAATTGAAAAAGTCAGGAATTGACAAAGAAAACTCAAGGATAGAATAAAAGTGAGAAAAAAAAGGCAAGAGTAAAGAACAAATATGAGTTCCAGAGGTAGTCCATTTGGAGGGAGAGGCAGAGGTGGAGGAGGAAGGGGAGGAGGAAGAGGAGGTGGAGGTAGGAGTCCAGGTGGAGGCCGTGGAGGAAGAAGTCCAGGAGGAAGAAGTCCAGGAGGAGGAAGAGGAAGAGGTGGAGGAAAGGGAGGAGGAGGAATGAAAGGAGGGTCTAAGGTGCTGATAGTTCCTCACAGACATGAAGGTGTTTTTATGGCAAAAGGTAAAAGTGATGCATTAGTAACAAAGAATATGGTACCAGGAGTTTCAATTTATGGTGAAAAGAGAGTGGAAACAACTGACCCTGAGACTAATGAGAAGATTGAGTATCGCGTTTGGAATCCATTTAGATCAAAACTGGGGGCAACAATTATTGGAGGTGTTGCTAATATGCCAATTAAACCTGGAGCAAAGGTATTATACTTGGGAGCAGCAAATGGAACAACAGTTTCTCATGTATCAGATATGGTTGGCCCTGAAGGTAGTGTTTATGCTGTAGAGTTTAGTCACAGATCCGGAAGAGATTTGACTGATATGGCAAAAAGACGTCAAAATATTGTTCCTATTGTAGAGGATGCGAGAACTCCTCAAAAGTATAGAATGCTTGTACCAATGGTTGATGTAATCTTCTCTGATGTAGCTCAGCCTGATCAGGCTCGTATAGTAGCTTTGAATGCTCACCTTTTCCTCAAGAACAATGGGTACTTTATTATATCTATTAAGGCCAGTTGCGTAGATTCTACTGCAAAACCAGAAGCTGTTTTTGCATCTGAAATTGATAAACTTAGAGCAGAAAAGTGCAAACCAAAAGAACAGCTCACTCTTGAACCTTATCACAGAGATCATGCTGTGGTTATTGGAGTTTATAGACCTATTAAAAAGAAGGAGTAAATCCTGATTTAATTAATTCTAACTTCACCTATCTAGATATAGTCTATAAGTAATCATTATTCATAATTTTCTAATCTCCTGTTTATTCTAACATAATATATTTTAATATTTCTTATCAATCTAGTTTCCTTTTTTTACATCCAGTTAAATCACTACTTACATGCAATTTTAGCATTATTTTATGGCCTCAGATTTACAGAAAATGTCTTTAAAGACATTACATAACTTATTTTCCATATTTTGCGGTTTAATACGTCTAATTCTTCTCGAGAACCATCATCAAAACGTGTAATACCGGATTATACCTTTTTTTGTTTCGACAGGCTGTTGTCGACTGTACTCGAACGGGATCATTTCTATAGTGAATCCGATTGTATTGGGCTACAGCTCTTGACAACACCTCTGTCCGTGACGATGAGTTATCCATCCCGCCGGAAATGGGAAGCGTAGCCTGTTTCTGCTTTGCTCTTATTCAGTTCCTCTTGTCCACTAGTGGCCAAGTTGGTCTGGGTAATGCGCCTGTGCATGCTTACACGGCATTGATGACCCAGCGGAGTTTCGTGGGTTGAGACTCCGAGCGGTGTGGATGATTCTGAACGGCCAGTTTTAACATCTTCCCCCTTATCCCTTCCTGGTTCCACTAGGCCTGAGCCCCTGTGTAAAAGGCGGCCGGGCAGAGCCCGCCCTTTCAAAGGGCGGGCGCTTTTCATATCTGGGTGCCGCCATGATACTTCGCAGTTTCTTTACTTAACCTTTAGAACTTGAGGCCTGGCCGGACGCGTGGTTAGAGAAACGTGTACCAACAAGGTCCTGAACTGACTTCTTTAGATTTTGTTTTTTTTGGGTTTTGAATTGGATTGCTAGGGGAGTATAGGGTGAGAAACTGAGGATAAAACGGGAAATAACCGTGCTTACTGTAGAATAGAAAAGAAAAAAACCTTTGAAGTATAGAAAATTGAATTAGATGGATAATGATGTGAATAAAAATGAAGAACAATTTATGGCTTCAGAGGAAGAGAGCGTGAACTCTGAGTTTGAGGATGAGATTTCCAAAAAACTAATCCCGTTTGAAAGTAACTTGGAGTTGGATGAAACACAACTACCAGAGGAAACAAGAGAAATAATTAACCAAAATACTAGGGAATTACTAAGAAATATAAGCTTTAGTAACTCCGGTGGTTTAAGAGGAGCCATAGAGCGTTCTTATTTAATTAGACAGCGATCACTATCTCACACTAAAGAAGAAATAGTGGATGCTTATAAACAAAGAGCAAGATTAGCTGCAATGGTATCTAGAAGACGTGTAACATTACAACATGTAAAAGCTCAGTTTGAAGCAGTTGCAAAGTTTAAAAGAAAACTCATACATAAAGATAAGGGTGATTTTGATGAGAATACTATTCCTACCAAATCAAAAACTGAGCACTATGATGAGCCAAAAGAAGACTTCAATGCAAGCTTCGAGGCTTCTATTCCACTCCGGAGGGAATCATCCACATCTTTAGTACCAGTTAGATTTGGGAGTATGTCTATTTCTGATACACTCGCTCTGCAACAACTTGCAAACATGAAAATAGGTTCTTCTGGAGATGAATAGACTGTATTTACATTAGAATAGTAACTTTAATTATATACAGAAAATACTTATTAATTATATTAATCATATGATAATAATTTTTGACTGTGTAAAGGATAATTATAATTAATATACTAATGATTTTTTTATTGTTTGCAAATAACAAATCAATATTTGCCTTATTTATTTGAATTGGCACTTGTATTTACATAGTAACTATTCTTCTAGTTTTGTGTGATTTTTGGCTTTCCATCTTCTAATTCAACAGTGAATGTTTTTACTGAAGATCTTGTCAATCTTGTAGATTTGTTTTTCTTTTTATTTTCTTCTTGTTTCTTTCGGTTTTCTTCCTGTTTCTTTTTATCATTTGGATCATTTTCTTCAGTTTCTTCATCTTCATTTTCATTTTCATCATCTTTTTGTTCTTCTATAACAATTAACGTAAATATATGGGATTCGAAAGTAAAACTGTTTGTAGACTTACCTTTAGTGTCAGAAATAGAAGGCAAAGTTCCTGCCAAACCCAAATTTCTGCAAAACCAAGCTTCTGTGATTGCATTAATCCATGCGGATTGACTATCTTTCCCAGTAGCACAAATAATTTGATCTGTTCCATGATATTTAAAACCAATACACCCTGGAGCAGCATCAACATTATGAACTGGCAATTCAATGCTTTCTAATGAAAAGGATGCTTTAGGAACCTGTGAATTTAAAGAAACATTTTGAATTATATGAAAGAAATAGGAAAATAAACTTACCGAATTGTAATATATTGTCAGCATATTGCCATTCAAGAATCCAAGAGACCCATCCATAATGTCAGTAATTTCTTCGCTATTTGGAGCAAATGCAAGAGGCCCAATTTTGAGAATATCGCATTTAAAGCTTTCATTATTTCCACTTCTAGTTGAAGCCAACTGCATTCTTTTAGCTTCCTCTGTATTAATTAGAGAATTAAAATTTGTATAAATTAAGTTATTTTTTTTTTAATTTGAATTAAAGAGGATAGAATTAAAAATTGTATTCATAAAATAATGGTATTTCTATCGATCTTTATTATTTTTCCAAATTAAAAATCTTACCTTCTAAAATATAAGCCTGGGCAAGTAGTACTTTGGCACGTTTCATATTTGTAATGGCAGCAGCCTTTTCTGGATTTTTATCTGGATCTATTTCAGCATGTGTTAGCTCACTCTCAGTAATTCCGCTTTGATCCTGTAAGTATTTGGCAACTTTTCTCTTCTCAGCAGCCTCTGCAAACAGTGTATTGCTTTGTAATTTAAAAGCTTCTTGAGATAAAGGAGAATTCTTAAAATTGACTCCTGTAGTTGAACTAATACCCTGAATGGCTTCTTTTGCTACATTATCTCCGTCAACAGAAAATGACTTAATCTTTTCTTGCAGAAATCTCAAAGTCTTATGAGAAACTGGTAATTCTGAAGTTCTTTCGAGCTTAACATGGCTCAAACCTTGTAATAAATCAAATGGGTTAGTTAAATGAAAAACCGTTAAGGCATTACTCATTCCAATGCAACCCAAAATTAAAATAGTCTTCTTTAAATTGGATAATTTCACCATAATTACTTTTCTAAAAATTATTTACCTTTTTTTTTTGTAATAATTTTTCTTTATTAAATAACAAGAAGATTATTAAGAAAATACTCTTCTCTATATTTAACTCATATTATCACGAATTTATTCTTTTTGTAAAATAAATGTATTTTTTCCTACATGCATATTTGCATGAATTTTAAGTTTCTGACATTTATTTACATACCGGCCTTGCATAAATGCATAAAAGGTCATTTTGAAATACTTACTGTTTACTTCCCCTCACTAAAAATGCATGCAATGTCATGTGGACAAAAACAAATCTATGCAATATTATTTTGCATGCACAAAATTGTACTATTAATTACTAATTTTGCATGGATATAATACCGGTATATAATTATGTGGAACAAATTACGTAATCAAAGTAAATCAATAAATAATGACGTCATCAATTGCATGCACAAAAATTAAAAAAAAAATGTCAATAAATTACTGATAATCCAAAAAAGTAACATAACGCATTATCAAAAAAAAATTGGAGTCAATTTGTGATGGAATTATAAAATAATAATTTTAATAATATATTTTCAATAAAAAAAAAATACTTGAAACAAATTATTATTATTATTATTAAGAGGAAAGTACTTAATAGTTTAAACAGATAATAAAGCTATTAGATTAATTAATTTAGTTCAGAAAAAAATGAGGATTTTCTTTTTGGTACATTTAATATCAATAGCAGGTTTGAGTCAATATGTTCATGGAAGACTAACCCGTTCAACAACAGATTTTGGTTTATTGGAACCACAATTTTTACCTGGAACAATTACAACTTTAATACAAACTGCAAGAAAAATAATCGGTGCAAATGTAGAGCCAATGTCGGTAATTGGAGAAGGTAATTCGCAAACAAAAGAACAAGATTCTGAAAAGCTTTATAATGAAGCAGTTTCATCAGCTGTTTCAGTTTACCAAAAAGCAATGAATGATGCTACGAATAACAGATTAAAGCAGAGAGATGTTGTAAGTAGCATGCCAGTTGTTAATACACCAAGGGATCCGGCTTGTTCAGTAATGATTACAGGTGAATTAGCTTTGGCTTTGGATCCAAAAAATCTTTTTGATGTTGATTTACTTGGAGTCAAAATTACCAAAAACGATTTAATGTTTATGACAGATTTAAAGAATCCTGAGAGTCTTGTTAGAAGTTTCTCCCTTAATAAGATTGAGGTTCCTTTGGAATCTGTTCAAAACAGCAGAAAGTGTTTTAGAATGTACTTTGATGGATCACCAGTAGTAATGTGTGCAAAGTCTGATGAAGAAAGAAATGAAATGATGAATAAATTGACAGAAGCTGTAAGTTTTTTTAATAAGTTCAATTAATCCCGTATGAAAAAAAACCATTAATTATCTCACTTTCATATTCATTCAGATTTTCTGCAAAAATAGCGGAATTACATTCTCAAAAGTTGCTGGTAATATTGAAAATACTGGATTATCAGACTCTTCATTGGGAGTGCCTGCACTTACAACAAAAGATTTAAGGTAAGTATGATATTTTAAATTTATATATCTATCCATTTTCCAACCAATAATTATAATTTCTAGATGGATTGAACAAATTGCAAAGAGACAAATTCAAATGGCAGGAAATGTACAATCTAATGTTCTTAATTGGTTAAAAACTAAAGGAACACAACGTGTTGTAGTAAAAGATTCTCTTGGATTTAATCCTCAAATTACTGTAAATGGTGAAAAGGTTATATAAAAAATATAATCGTCGAGTATATATCATTTTTTCAACAAACTATAAAATATTAATTTAAGGAAAGCAAAATTGGTTGATTATATAATACAAATTAACCTAAAAATATTAAGAATGAGGGATATTATGATAAATAAGGTTATCAAAATTCCAGTCATTTTTAAGATTTAACCACATTAAATTAATAGTAAGATTCAAGACGATGCTTATTAATATGGGTTAGATTTGGAGAATTCTTATTATTTGAATAACTTCGTTTGAAATTACCCTTATTATGATGCCTTTTGTTCATCTTATTTGAAGATTTGTCTTCTTTTAAAGAACGTGCTGGTGGTGAATACTTTCTCTTTTTGTCAACTCTATAAGGAGCCAGCTTTTTCAGAGAGATATGTTGATTCAACTCTTTATCATCCATAGATAAAATATCTTCAATACTGAGTCCATAGTCATTTTTTTCAACTTTGGTGTATTTAAATCTAACTGGCATCTTACCATTATCAAGAACATCTTCAAAATGAAGTCCGTAATACTCGTCCAAAAGACTGTTAATTTTTTCATTATCTCCGTAACTGAGACTTAATCTATTTGGTTTTACCTTATTATCAATATCAACATCTTCATTGTAGCCATTTATTCCTCCTATGCCATTTGATTCTGGTACACGGCTCTTTTCAAGAGGATGCTCATGGTCAGTATTTCTACAACAAGATTTACAAAGAGTAAAGTTTTCACAAACTGTACAATCAAATTTTTTCTTATTTGGAAGAATCTCCTTCAAACAGCCATCACATTGCCACCATTCATAATTATCCTCATAACTAGATGGCATCGTTTCTGATTCATCATTTAATTGGTTTTTTTCAACTGAAGGTTTGTTTTTGTGTTTTTTGGAATCTCTTTTAATAGTTCCATCTTTATCATCATCCGATTCTTCATTATTCTTCAAAATCTCGTGTAATGAAAGACTCTCCTTCTCATCATTATAATCGTCATCAAAGAGTTCCTCCATATACCGATCATGTTTATCAGGGTCAAACTCTCCTTCCAAGTCCAGCTTTTTATCAGAAATACTCCTAATACCTGAGATTTCTTGAATCTTTTTAAGCTTTTCAATAATCTCCTTCCTCTTCATGCTCTTCAAGAGCTTCAACTCCTCTTCCATCCTAAGCTTTTCCTCAGCTTTTCTTTCTTTCTTTTCCTTTCTTTTCAATTTTCTACGATCATCTGTCTTTCTTAAAGATGATATATTTCTAGAGTATCCCAAAATCTGTTGATTAGCTCCTGGTTCTTCATACCTGAAATTGTATACACTTTCAAACTCATTTGACATCTCTAAATGTTTCTCATCTTCTTCATCTAGTTCTGTCTCAATTATATGATGTGACGAAACATCATCGTTGATTCTAGTCTGGTTGTTTGATTCCTTCCATTCTTGATTTAGTATATAATTCCTTAGAAACTTCTCATTTTCATCCAAATCCTCCTCTGGACCCCAATACCTATTTAAAGATTCAATAGGATCTCCTCCTTCCTCTATATTACGTGTAAGAAAGGACTTAAAGTTCCTTTCTTCCTCTTCTAATTCTTCTTTAGTCTTATCCTTTTTAATTAATGTTTCAGAAAATTCGTCTCCACTATCTTCCAATCCTTCTGCTGCTTTGAGAAACGCTTTCTTGAGTTCATCTTGTTCCTTGTCATACCCTAACTTTTTTGATATTCCTTTTTTAACTGTTTCATTATTATCCTCATCTTTTTGAGAGCCTAGTAAAATATTCCTCTCGTAATCCTTAAAAGTCATTCTTTTACTACATTTTAAAGTATTAGATTCATCAGATTTAGTCTCACATTCAGAAACAGACTCAGAGTCTGAAAATATTACATGTGAATTATCGTAAATGCTTGGATCTTTCTTTTTTATCTTATCCAAAGTTTCAAGTATCTTACTTTGTGTTTTAAAATCTAAAAGTTCTGCATCAGAATCCTCATCTTCATCTGATGAATCTGAGTCAGAATAAGACTCAACTCCATCTTCTCCTTCTTTATCATTCTTTAAAAGCTCCTTAGCTCTTGACAAAGCTTCTTTTCTTTTTCTTTCATCATAATTTCTTTTATATTCTTCGTTTATCTTCAATATATCGTCATCCTGAAAACTCCCTGACTCTCCATCTGAGTCTAATAAATCTTTCATCTCCCCAATATTAACTATACCTTATTTCTCCGTAGTTCACCAGTTTTTCAATAACCCAACTTTTCACTTATAACTCTCCGAAGAAAAAAATAATTCATACAGTAGAACTACCAATAAAAGTAGATTTAGTGTTAGTATTCGAATTTCCTGCTGTAAAAACTAAAAACCTGTTTTTTATTAGTATTTATTATATTCTTCGGTACACCTTAATAAATTTATTTAATATATAAAATAAATTCCTGATTTGACATTTGGCGCCAAAAAATTAAAGGTTTTAGATTGGGTGGTAATAAGAAGTTAATGCAATTTCCTTATTAAGGCTATTTGATCATTTAAACTTTGATTTTAGAGGATTTATAATTTGGAGAACCTTATAAACTTTCCTCCTTTTGCTCTACACTTTTAATAATTGATCATAAAGATCTTTTGAATGATATAAAATATAATACAAATATATATATTTATATTTGTATTATTTTATAGATACTTGGACAAAACCTAAATTACAGCAGACATCAGAAAAGAAACGAGGGAAAAAAAGGTTAAATCCAAGATCTTGAAATTAGAGTAAAAATGGAGAGTCAACCAATTAAAGATGAGAATCCAGATTTTTATGACAGTGAAGTAGGTAAGTTATTTTGTGATAGTGGGGAATGTGGACGGAAAAAATGATATAATAGATACCGTTACTAGTGGTACCGTTTAATTAGAACTGGACTAACTAAAGAAATGTTGTTATAGTTCGAAAATTTGAATTAACGGAGGATATAATAAACAAGGCTCAAGAAATAATTAATTCAGATAAAGACACGATTTCAGAATTTTGGAAAGGTAAGTAGATTTTTGGAACTTAGTATGTTTATGTTAAATGAACATAACCAAATATGTATATATTAATGTTGATTACTATGTTTTAGAAAAGTATGTTGAAGAATCTGTTAAGAATTGGGATAAGTTCTATAAAAGAAATAATATCAACTTTTTTTTAGATAGACATTGGATAGACAAGGAGTTTAAGGAGTTAATTACTGGTAATATTAATGTATCTAATAGTGGAAATCCTAAAGTATTAATAGAATTTGGATGTGGAGTAGGAAATTCTTTGATACCATTATTGCAAATTTCGACAAATTTGCATTGTATTGGATTTGACTGCTCTTCCAGAGCAATTTCTTTGTTTGAAGAGAGATGGAACGATATTTTCAACAAACTTGAAGGGGAAGAGAACTCGAAAGTAGGATGTTTATCTAAGGATGAAAATGGGTTAAATTTGTGTCCATTTCAATCTCTAATGGATTCAAATAAAGCTTGTAAAAGATTGAAGGGATTTGTATTTGATATTGTTCATTCTGATATACCCGAATATATTTGTCCTAAAGGTTTTGCAGACTTTGGACTTTTAATATTTGTACTATCTGCGATACATCCAAAACATCACCAGAACGTAATTACAAGATGTTCAAAATCGCTAAAGTCTGGAGCAATTCTACTTTTCAGAGACTATGGAAGGTACGATATGGCACAACTCAGGTTTGCTAAATCAAGTAAATCTAAAATTACAGACAATTTTTATGTAAGATATGATGGAACATTTGCTTATTATTTTACTATTCAAGAAATAGAAAGTCTATTTACAAATGCGGGATTTAAAGTCATATCAAACCACTATTGCCTTAGAGAAGTTGTTAACAGGAAAACCCAAGTCACAATGCAAAGAGTTTGGATCCAAGCCAAATTCACCAAAATTTAATTATAAACATAAAAAACTGGCAGAACATAGAGTCATGAAACATTAAGGCGAAAAGAAGGGGCTGGGGACCTCTTACTATTATTACCTTTTAATATTAAGGAATGAAAAACAGGAAGCAAGTCTCAAAGCACCCTCTCAAATTCTGATAGTGGAAGTAAACCTATATCTTTTCCATTTTTCCTCATCCTCACATCTTCTAGCTACAATATATTTTTTTTTTTTTTAAATTGTTGGCGCCTCCACGTGTTCGGCGGGTTTCGAGCTGGCGCCAAATGAAATAAGCCATAAAAATCCACCAAAGTAGTATTACAAGAATAATTTAAGAAAGATCAGGAGAAAAATAAGAATAATAACAACAAGGTGGAAAGAAGTTCCAAGAAGGTACAGAGGAAAGGAAATATGGATTCAGGATTAACAGATAATAACATAGGTGCAGGCGAGAGCAGTAATGACGGACAGCAAATTGAGCAGAAACCAGTAATAGACCAAGGATCGGGGGGAGCTTCTGATGAGAGTCAGTATGTGACAGTCAAGGTAAGAAGCCCAGATGGAGAACAAGTTCTGTATAGAATTAAGAAGAAGACTCGTCTACAAAAGTTGATGAATTCTTTCTGTCAAAGAACTGGCCAAAATGAGCAATCAATTCGCTTTTTGTTTGAAGGTGAGCGTTTAAGACCAGAGATGACAGCTGAGGATGCTGGTTTACAAGAAGGAGATCTGATTGATGCAATGATTTCTCAGGTTGGAGGAGGAATTTAAGTTAAGTTGATTAGAAGTTATAATAAAAGCTAACATGCAAGAATGAGGTAAAGCATTTCTTGTATAAATCTAGATAATTTAGTAGGAGATTTGGGTATATGTAGCTTATTTGTACACATATCTATACATATACGTCATATATTATTATTACTATTACTTTCACTTATGGTGATCTTTAAGTGTCTGTTTGTGAACTTCTTTTGTTTTACTTGCCCTCCAATAGTTATATGTCCATTCATAGAGGTACTCTGCTGAGAGAGCTGCATCATCATTTAGATTTGGAATGGTGAAGTGAGGTCCAACATAAATACCTAATTGATGTGAATAGGTGTAATATTAATAAAGCAAGAAAATAAGTATTATCTAAGCTAACTTACTTAGAAAATCAGCAAATCTGTCAATAAACCAAGACCCGTTTCCTGGTAACCAATAAGGACTCATATATAGAGTAGCCTGTTCTTTAGGGCATACTGAGGCAAAAATGGTAGTTTGTGATCCCTATATATTAAATATGAGTAACAATTAATAAGAAAATGATAAGAAAAAAGTATAATAGTTAATTAATATTTGAATCATAAAACTTACCATTTTGGTATCTAGCAAGAACCATTTAAGGTAGTATATAATATTATATGGAAATGTATTGGGAAATATTCTCGTATTAACAGATCCAGGGTTCACACAAGTTGACCAGGGAAAATTATCATAGCCTTCACCATCAACAGTATCTGTTTGAAAAGTCTGAGAGAATGTCAGACCCATTGCATCCCTTCTTAGTTTCAAAGTATAAAGGAGTATTGCTGCTTTAGATGCTCCATATGCATAATTACACTCAGAAATCTGTGAATATTCAAGTATCTTCCTTAAATTTGAACCAAAGAATCTATGTATTGGTGAGCATGTATTCACAATTCTTGAATCCTTAGTGTTCTAAGTTCAATTATAAAGTGATTATAGGTTTTCAAACCATCTGATGATATGTTGTATTTATTTCTAACTTACTTTTAGTACTGGCAATAAAAGTTCTGTCAAAATAAAAGTTCCTATATAGTTCACCTTAAATATTTTATTTATATGCCTTTCACAATCTTTTGGTTCCTCCCTTTTTCCTCCTGAACCAATTCCTGCATTGTTAACCAGAATATGCAACCTATCGTAATCACTAAAAATTAGTTAATAAATTAAACTTTTCATTTTCCTAACCCTTAATCTCCATCCTCATAGTTTGAATCACTGTTGTATTCTTGACTTGAGACAATTATGTGTATGATACAGAATAGAGAAAAGGATGATTATTATCATCTTTAAATTGTGATGATAATAATAAGCATATTTAGTGATAATTTTAAAACTTACTATGTAAACCTGTTAACAAAGTTTCTAATTGAATCTTCATCTGACAAATCAATATACATATACCTTGCAAATCCTGAAGAAGACGAGTTTGTATTAATCTTATAGGCAGCAACTCTGCCTCTATTTTCTTGTATATCTGCAATAATTACTGTTGCTCCACACTGAACTAAGTACTCTGAGACTTTTTTCCCAATACCACTCGCTCCGCCTGTAACTATACATATATTTCCTGTTAAATCCTTTTTATCCAAGACAACCGATTCCAAACCCAATATTCTGTATAATCTTTGAAACAGAATTTTTGAAAATGGGAATATCCTACGTAAAATCCAAATTCCGAATAACAGCTCGACCGATAACTTTATTCCATGAGCAACTAATGTCCATAATAATGAAAGAAATATTGTTAAATACATATTTAGAGTTAACTCAAAATAACTCATTAATGAAACTTGACTCTCCATTATTCTAAACATGATTTATGCTTCAAATAATTAAAAACTTGAATATTAAATATTGTTTTTTGAACAAGTGTTGCTTTACAAATACATTCGCAATAAATTAACTTGAGAGAGTCTTTTTTGTACGATTAATTGCCTTATTTCGATTTGTTTGCCCACTTTATATTTGGTTGTTCATTAAACACACATATAATTCCTTATCAGAGAATAAGCGAAAGACTAATTTGAAATATATACTTTTTCACATGTATTGATAAATTTGTTTTTTTACCTAGTATTTATTTCCTCTTCTTCAACTTGGTTGTTTCATTTATTAATTTTTATTAATTACTTCCCCCCATTGATTCTTTTTTAATTTTGGAGGTATCTCATTTCCGCTATGGTCATGATTTTTTGCATTACATGCATGCATACATATATTATAAATATATTACGTGTAGTTACCGTTATACACGTAATTTTTTCCACATAAAAAAAATGCATGGGCGGTAAATGGAATTATTGGAATAAAATTGCAGGTAAGCACAAATAAAGATAAGTTATTATAAAGAGAAATAAAGAATGCATATAAATATATAGAAAGCGATGAAAAAGTAGGTTTTAAATAATGAATCAAATAAATTAGAGAAGAAATAGATATTAAATAAAAATTAATTTGACTAAATATATATATGTGCTAATTAATTACAGGGATAGATAGATTATGAATCTGATGGAGTAGTCATGTTAATATTAGTATTAAAAGTAATATGAGTATGTATGAAGAATGAAAGTAATTCAGATTCAATTTAAAATAGCCTAGTTTTATAATCATCAAGCTTCTTGTAAATTTCCTCAACAGTAACATCCAACTTGGAAGCGATTTCGGATTGAATTTGATTATCCAAAGTAGTGAAAGTCTGACAAAAATCACCATCAATTACATTATGTACTGGAGAATAATATGACCTAAACATAAGATGATCTCTTGACAATAGAGATGTTTTCTGTTTACGTAATAGAATCTCAAGCTTTGATAGGAGTTCTAAGTCCTCGTTATTTAATATTGGAGATAACGATCCAATGCTACCAAGTACAGTACCATATATAATTGTTTCTGTAGATGTTGATGTTAATTGTGACTTTTGCAAACATGTAATAATGTCTCCCACATGAAATTGAGCTACTGTGTTAATTTGATGTGTTCTTAGTAATGTTGATGATGGATTATTAGTACTATCAGTAAATGAGGTAATGAATGAATAATCATCGGAAGCTTCAACTGGCACCCTCGATACAATAACATTGTCAAACTTATCACTAACTGCAATTGTATGATAATCCAATATTTCACATGCTGAAGTTAACCATCTTGGCATTGAATCTTTTGCTACAAGTAGAAATTGATTTGATGCATTGTTAAATTTGAAAACTAAAATACCATTTGAAATATCACCAGCAAAAATACGATCATTAACTACCTTAATCCAAGTTAATCCTTGTGGAATATTTCTATATTCTGACTTTCTAAGAAGCCTTTTTTTTCCAAGTGAATAAACCCTCAAGGTCTTATTTATACCTACTAATAATCTTCCTCTCCAACCAGTTATTGCTGTTGCTGCATTTTCAATAGGAGTTACATGTACTAACTCAAAATTATAATTTGAATCATACTTGAATATCTTTATGGCTGCTCCAAAAGATTCATGAATTTCTTTATCATTACTCTTTTTCAAATCCATATTTATGGAATTGTTATATCCTTTATTAAGTTTCATTCCATAAACTGTTGCAAGAACTATACATGGTAATTCTAATTCATCAAATTTACAAACACAAGCCGAAATACATCCCTCGTTTGTATCAAGTGGTATTAACTGTATTGTTTCCATTGACTTCAAATTAATTATTCTCACGCAACCACCCCATTTCCCTTCTCCTGCAACAAATCCTCCTACTTCACTTTCTGCAAGCAATACCCCATTTTCTCCTGGTATACCAATTTCCGACAACATTTTTTGTATTTTTGACTTCTCAGAATCTTGGGCCTCATCCTGAGCAATATCCATTAACAAATTATCATTATCTTGCTTAACTTTTATATGGCCAGTATTTTTTCCTTGATCTTTTTCTTTTCCTTCGTCTTCCTCCTCCTCCTCTTCCTCCATCTTAATATCCATATCATTTTCCAAAGATTTACCATCATAAAGTTCTTGTAGTGCTGAAATAATTTCCTTCTTAGTCCCAAAATCAAATGAATTGTGATCTGTTTCAACTATTGCAATCATTTGATTCTTTGGGATATCTAAAGTACCTGATGACATTAAACTCTCCAAACCAGTAAACAATTGTGGTGATGGTAGAGTTAATAATTTACGTGGAGTATAACTTAAGTTTATTGAATTTTGAGAAAATGATTCACCATAACCTTGAGTGACTTGAAATATTAATAAAGTAGATCCTGAAACTGCAACATAGCCATTATTAACTTGATGTGTATTTAATGGAGCTATAGAATCAATGCACCTATATTGTAATGGGGTAAAACTCACCCCAGATGTTTGAGAATTAACCAACCAAGGTTTGCTTGACATACATACCAAACTCATCTCACCCCCGAAATCTTCCCTCATTACTCTACATATATTTACTCCCCTGTTACCCAAATATTTACTTCTAGGGGCACTAATCGAACCGTTACTTGCATCCACCTTACAACTTAATATTACACCAGTTGTGAGGCCCACAAATAAAAATAAATGGCCATATTTATTAGAATGATACAATTGCACATTTTCTGGTATACTATTTGAATTTGGTAAAATCTGAGTACATGTTTGCTTTAACCTCTTTTCTGTTGAATCAATTTTATAAAGCCTTATAATATTTTCTGTGGATGTACCAATGACAACATAATCACTTCTTAATTGCCCCGAATATGATAACTGTTGTATACCAATACAAATGATTTCACAAGTAATTTCTCTTCTACAAACCTCCACTAGCCCTCCCATTCCTGTATTAGTTATTCCTGAAGCACCATTAACACTTAACTCCAATATTACTATTAACCCTCCTTCTAATGCCAAAGAAACCTGTCGGCCATTAGAATCTGCTGCTATAATTTTCCTTGAATCTGGAGTCCTCCAATCATAAATTCTATCTTGAATAATTAACTTTACATGGGTTTCCAAAACTTGAAGAAATGAATTATAAAAGATCATAGAAGCGGCATATATTGTAGTCTCATTTAAAGTGAATAAAGTATCATTAGTCTCTTCTACATGTTCCCCAATCGTAAGTACAAGAGAACGGTCAATAAATGAAATTATTATATAATGATGTATATTATCAAGAGCAGCAGCTTCAGCTTGTGAGCCTGATAAGGAGGGGTCAATACCACTTTTTAAAGTCCATATACATCTTGGTCTACCTGGTAATGGATTTTCTGCAATTTCTTCAACATTTTTTCCATAGGAGCAAATACGTAATGTAGATCTTGGGCCTCTACCGCATGTAACCACAATTTGTGGTGTGCCATCATTGTTGGTATCGATAACTTTAATATCGGTAATTGGACTTAAAGATGGTATTTCCTCGGATTTACGTATGCATTGGCAATTTCTTGGCCTAAAATAAACTTTCTTTAGATGATTTGAATCAGGCAAAGATGAGGTATAGGGATCGATTTTATCATCTCCAAGTGAAATAATTTGATAATTAGAATGATTTCCAAATTCGTGTGATGCAAAAAGAAATCCTGACCTTAATACAAGCAATGAGTTACATACAGGTATGGTATCGTAATAATAAATCCTCACTTCCTTGACAATCCCTTCATTATGTATTAAATTGACTCTATAGATATCTCCTAATTCCGTTTGAACTAGTATGAAAAAGAAACCTTTTAGTTTATGTAAAGATGAAGCCACAATAATTGTCCCATACTCTGAAGAATCTCCAAATCTGAATGGATATGGACAAAATATACTCGAATGGCCCATTTTGCAATATGTAATACCTTTATAATCGCAAACCAAAACTCCACTTGGTCCATCATTTCCTCCAGGTACTGAAATTAAAGTATGAGAACTTTCTGTAATCATTTGAGATGATTTTCTTGAGACATAATTTAAACCTAGATCAACTTCCCAAAAAATTAAATGCTTTTTTGTTTGGTGTAATTCCTTATTTTCTTCTTCATTTTCCGTTGAATATGATTGTTCTATTGTTGCAAACATTGGGTTATCAAATCCAACATCCATTGCTACCAAAGCAAAACAAACCATATGGCTTTTGTGAGCCTCCATAGGAGATGAAATATCTAAAACATCTGCATCCTTGTTTTTACGTGTTAAAGTATAAACCAACTTTTGGCGTTCTATTGCAGCTATCATTATACTTCTCCCCATTGGGTCAACAGCAAGGTAATGACCTGGAACAATTCTTCTACAACCTGATTTACCATATGGTTCAGAATGAATTCTCTCAAATTGGTTTTTATCTTTATTAAAATCCAATATTACAATATTTCCACTATCACTTGTCGCAACAACAAGATCCTTGCCAGATCCAATTAATCTTAAATTACTTATACTTCTAACCAGAGAAAAAGTATCCATCAAGCAAATACTCTGAGTTTGGGCTGCATCCACATCTAATCTTAATAACTCTAGACTTCTGCCTCTGTTCACAACTATTTCGTGGGCCTTTGCTGCACTATAACTCCCCTGGATTGCCGACAGGATAGACCCCTGAGACTCCAGAGTTAACGAGTAAAAGTGAGGCATCTTGATTTTTCATAAGACCTTTGATATACACTTTTAGTCTTGTTGCCCAAATACTTGATGATGCAATTTACTTTGTCAATTTTGCCCTAGTTACTTTATTTAAGACTTTTTATTGAGACAGTGTTTACCGCCAGAATGGCGGCGGGTTGTGCTCTCTACAGTGGGGCACATAGGGTAATTTAACATGATAGTAAAATTGACATTATGGTTATTTCCATTATATAACTTTATTATCATTAATAATTAATTATTTATATTAGTTTTTGGTAAAATTAATCTTTTCCTGCATTCAATCCGATAATTTGTAATTTTGTAAAAATTTCCTAAACTTGAATAATTCTGAATTAACCCATAATTATATTAAGCTGAAATTAAACCAATTAATGTAATTCTCGTGCATGCACAAAAATTTTCCACATGAAAATAGAAAAATTAAATTTGCAAATTTGCATGTGCATGCAATAATTACGTGTCAATTGCATTACATAAATTAAAAGCTGAGGGGGAGAAGAATAGTCAGTAAAGAAATTAAGTGAATATAATGGAAAAAAAAGAAATAAAATAAGACAATAGGTAAGATATATTTTAGCAAATATATTTATATATGGAAATAAATAAATATGGTTTTTCCTGACGTATTCTTAATAAAAAGAGTGATTTGGGTGGTCATTTTTGCAGTCATTTTCAAGTCAAGAAATACATTTAGTATTGAAAATTACTATAAAAATGAAATACCAAATGGTATGAAATTTGATTATATAATTGTTGGTGCGAGTGCAAATGGATTAATAGCAGTAAGAAGTTTACTCGAAAAATATTCTAGAAAAGGAGAGGAAATTAATATTTTGGTTGTAGATAAAGGAAAAGAGTATAAAGAAAGTGAATTAACTGATGAAAAACAAACTAAAGATAATATTAATGAGAATAGCAAAAGATGGAGTTCAAGTTATAGCCCAATCATAGATAAAAATGATATTAATATATATACTTCAGAAGATGGGTATAAAATATTAAGCTCAAATTTGGAAGGAGGAAAAACAAGTTATGGAAACACCCCATTTATTCCAGAGGATGTATACAGTGGAGATTATTACAAATCATTAGGTTTGAACTTTGATTTACAAAGATTACAGGAATCTTTTGAATATGTAAAAAGTGTTGGCGATATTGTGCAGCCTAATGTAAGAACATCATGGGTAGTAGCTTTAGAGAGAGCATTCAATGAAACTGGAACATTTTATGTTGGAGATACAAATGGAGAAGATTTAGCACCAGAAGATTCATTATTTGAAAATGAAATGACGGAAAGTGGATACGTAAGTTCTTTTGAAATCCAAAATAGCAATATGGGATGGAAAATAGACTATGAGGACGATTATCAAGATCACATGACTAATTGGGGAAATAGATTGGAGCCCTACAATAATAATGGTGTTTCAGAATATTTCACATCTCCTCACTATGTCCCATACACGTTCTTAACTTATGGATTTAGGAGAAATCTTGAAAGAAGAAGTAGTATAAGACTATTAAAAGTTAATCCAAAATTAGTAAATGGTAAAAAAGTTTTTAAGATACTAAATTTTCATGTGGACAAGGTAATATTTTCAAACTTAAATAAAGATAATAGAGAGAATGACAAGTTTGCAGAATGTATTCAAGGAAGAAAGTTAATTGAAGATTATAATTCTGAAGAAGTGAAGAAAAAAATTTACTCAAGAATTGAGAAATACTGCCTAAAATCGGGAAAAGGAAAGATCATATTATCAGCTGGTGCTCTGAATACCCCAATGATACTTCAGAGAAGTGGAGTTGGTAGTATGAAAGATATTAAGATATCAAGCCCTGAGATAGAAAATCCAATAATAGAGAACGAATATATTGGCAAAGGACTGAGAGACCATCCAAGTTTGAGCATATTTGGTTTTTTCAGGGGATTAAATATGGATCATATACGCATTCCTAGCTCTGAAGCACTGTTTTCAAAGCGTAAGTTTGGGACTAAATGCAAAAAACAGGAAGAGAAGGATGACATAATACAAGGTTGTGAGTCTGTGAGTATTTCAGAATTTGAGGGATTTACTAGTAATATGAATGAAATTTGGGAGGAGCAAAACATAATAAGTAAGGAATGTTTACCACTAATACGTGGGGTAACTATTCGAGTACCAAATCCATATAGTGAAGGTGAAGTGATATGGGATGATAAGAATAAGAGACCAAAAATAAGGTTAGGTTTGTTAGAAGATATAAATGATATATTAATATTGGAGGCAGGGTTTAGAAGACTCATTAGGTTGTTTAGGTCTACCAATATATACTCTTTGTTAATACCAAATATTGGTGTTCAGAAAAGGCTGAATTTGTTTGGTGACCATACAGATCGGAAATTACAACTATATTTTACAGACTTTGGTGGTACCCATAACTATACAAATAATTTGAAAGCTCAGGGACCAGAAATGATTTATCAGAGGTGTAATTTGGACAATTTGTCGCTTCAATATTCCAATTATAACCAAAATTATGGGTATACAAGCGACAAAGAGGTTGATCTAAATCGCAGTTTTTATAATATGGAAATTGAAGATGAAGAAGATGAAGAGGACGAAAAAGAAGAAGAGGAAGAAGAGGAAGAAGAAAAAGTTGCTAATGTACGAAAAAGTCTGGAAATATTTGATAGAAAAGAAGGAAATTTGCCCAATTATCAGATGGCAAGTAATACGGGTAGATTTAGTTATTTGAAAGAAATTCATGATAGATTAAGAATCCAAGGGGAAGGACTACAATCTTCATATTATGGTATAATGCATAAATTTGATAAGTCACGAAAAGATGAAGAAGATGATGAATTTATCACGAAATATGATAAATTAGTTTCAGTAAACAGCAAGATGGATTCAAAGTACAGTTTATTTGGCCTTAGAAAAGGAGAAACTATCATTAACGAGAGGGATAATAAAGCTAAGAACGAGGAACCGAGTTTATGGAAATCTTTGCCATTTATTCTTCCAAAACTTCCAAGTTATCCTGACCAAATAAGGGAATATATTAAGAAGAATGTTAAGCCAGGAAATGAATTTGTTGGTACAACGGCTATTGGACAAGTTGTAGAAACTGATTGTTTTAGATTGATTGGCGCTGAAAATCTATATATATTGGATGAAGGAATACTTAGCAAGCATACAAGTTCAAGTCCAATAGGAACAAGTATGATATTATCTAGATATGCAATTACAAAGATAATGGATGGTATGTGTTAGTTCTTAACTATAGGTCAAAAAAGGAATGTAATTATACTAGAAATTAACAGAAAATAACGTATTTAAGATTATAATAATTATCAAATATATGGAGATTTGACAAAAATCTATATATGGAATAAAATCGATTATAAATAAATATATTTCGGAATAAAAATGGCTTCAGTATAATTATTTCCAAATTATGTTAAAAAATATAAAAGTAACAACTTTGGAAAATTATGAATAAAACTCCCTTTGGTTTGGAATTCCAGAAAGTTGCTGTATAGAACTTGGTGGAGGAGTTCCTGAAGAAGCTTGTGGATGGCCTGGTGATCCAGAAGTCGTACGATAAGCAGCCATATCTACAAGATATTTTTGTTTAACATCCTGAGCTTTTCTTTCCCAAGGTGATCTTTCAAGCTCAGGAAGATTTTTCCACATTTCCGCAAGATCTTTAATATGTAATGATCTGGTTGGGTCTTTTTCACGAACTTTTTGCCGTATATGTTCACACCATAGTGTATAAGCATTATGAGGTCTTTTTGGTTTATTTGGATCCTCTAATGGTTGTCTAGTTATTGGTCTTTTCAAGTGTTTATTATGATTAAGTACTTTAGGTCTCCATTGGTTGCCGGTTCTTTGAGAAAGTCTTAAAGCTAAATCAACACTAAAATCTGCTATTTCACATAATATATCCACCAATAAATTGGATGATGTATTGCTTTCAAAATGAGCTTGTGGCATTAATATGCTAGAACTGGATTGCTGGCTAATGGTATGACTTTGAGAAACTGTTGGAGATTGACCTCCTGGACCAGGATGGCCAGGGGTCCTATGAGTAACTAATCCAGGACTTGCATTATTCGCATTTGCCTGCATAACTGCTCCTAATTGAAGAGCTGATCCCAATTGAGGAGGTAGTACTGACATACTACCTCCAGAGACGGAGCAGTGCTGCAAATGCGAGAGCTCATGCCCTTGTACGGGCGCTAAAGCGTTTATTATGGGTTTGTGCTCCACTTTTACGACTTGAAGAATATAATAGTTTGCTTCCAAGACTTACCAAAGAAAGAAGCAAATCTATATTAAAAGTTACTACTGAAATTAGATAGTCTTCAGTAATTATTCACGTATTTATCTTTCCTTAATCTTTAGAAGCCAAATTTCATATCAAAAAAAGTGGTTAATCCTTTCCAATTATTTTTTATATTGGTACCTTTTTGACGCGTGGTTGATATGTCTATTAAGAGACGGTACTTGTAGATTACAATTTTTTACTTCATTATTGTGTCAAAATGGTACATAAATTGAACTTTTTTTAAGTTTTGGGCATAGAAAACATGTGTTTTAAAGGGATTAGAATAGGTGATGATAATAATTGGTATTTTAGGAGGAAAGGGAGCACTAGCAATAATAGTAGTAGGAGTAAATTGGTTTGGGGAAAGAATACTATTTAAATTTTTAGTGTTCTAATAATTGTGAATTAGGGGTGTTGCAAATACAAAATCAAAAATATTATTTCTATTTTATGCTCAAAAAATATTATTAACTTTGTAAATTAATTGTAAATCTCTTTAATTTTCTTTTAAATCAGATATTTTTCTCCAAAAAAATGAGTAATAGAGTACCGGGTACTTTAGGCGCCAAACTGTGGACAAACATTTAAGTAGGTATTGGCGGAGATGCATCTAAAAATATAAAAAGGATGAGGTAATATAGAGTAATTAAGAAGTGGGGGAATTTTTTAATGTTTCACTAGATGCAGGGATAATAGAAGTTTTATTGATTAGTATTGTTATTGCATTGAATTTAAGTTTTGTATTCAGTGTATACATATGTAGTAATTGGTAAAAATTGTAGTTTTAGCATGCATGAAAATGAAAGAAATAATAATTGAGAACGACCAGATGACGGAATATTTAAGTATAAGTCCTCGTACTGTCAGTGTATCTCCCAATTCATTAGAGTTTGGATTGGATCCAGAGATTTGTGAAGAAGAGGCAGTTACATGGATTTATAACTTTTCTAATAGATATGCTCAATTAAGGAGAACAATAGAGAATATGAATTTAGTACTGGAAGATCATGAAGTTAGGGAATCATTTAATGAGGTCATGATGAGGAAAGATTTGGACAAATTGGCTGAAAAATTGGAAATTTTGAAAGAACGGAGCAGGGAATTACTCATCAATCAAAAGAGAAAAACAAACAAAGAGAGAGTTATTTGGAATGAAGTAAGAAGTCTTTGCATAAAGTTGGAGGAGATAGAAAAAAATATTGTCTATTTAAGCCTGCAACTATTTGGCAAAAATTCTTGTATCAATGAGAAAAGAAAAGGGTTCAAAATTAATCAATCTGTTAGATTCAGGAATATGTTGCAGGAGCCAGGTACAAGTTCGGAGGTATGTATGGAATATAGCATGTCAAGAAGGGTTTGTGATAAACAAAAGTCATTGATGGAAGACTATGAACGGAAGATAAATGAGTTAAAGGAGAACTATAGAAAATGGGAAAAACAAAAAAAGGCTCAAAATTTTGAGGATGAAAATGACCAATTTCAAGAATCTAATAATACAAATTATAAAATGGAGGAAAGCTGCCAGGAAGATGTCGTAAAATTCCTATCAATGAATAAGGAAGGCTTTTTAGGTAAAAGTGAAAACTCGATTAAATTTTTAAAAATGGAAAGTGATTTCCAAAAGGACATTATTACCAATATTTCCACAATTATTGGAATTACTTTTTAATTTTTGTGCAATACGTGTTTTTATTTTTTTCTATACCGGCCATTAATCATATAAATAAACATGTTTTGGCGGGAACATTTTATTATTAAAAAAATATTGAGAAATATAAATGTATGCTTTATTGATCTTTTTTCTTGAATGAATTCAATTTCAGAGAGGAGGAAATTGAAAATAGTAAGAACAAGAAAAAGAGAGGGTGTGAGAGAGGTCTTTGATTACCAGAAATAATTAAGTTGTTTGTATAGCAATTAGTTCTCTAAAATACACTGACTTTTGGCTTATTAACAATAGTATAAAATTAGGCAAATAGGAAAGTATTGTGTATTATAGTGGGATTATTATTTCAAGAAGGTAGTTAATACAATATTGAAAAAGTATTTAAGGATTTGCAAAAGCTATATGGATGGCAGATAATTTATAGAAGGATATAATCAAGAAGTGAAAATGGTGGAAATAGGCCATAATAGAAGAGCAAAGAGATATGCCTTAGAAATATGTCAGTGGTTGGACGCAATACTAAAAGATGAAAGTGTGGATGAGAGCATTGAATATGAGATGAATAACACTGTGGAAGGATTAAGTAGGCAGTTGGTAGAGGTAAAGAAGAGCAACGACGAATATAAAAAGGAGTTGGAGGAATTGAATTCAAAATACTTGGAAATATCAGAGTATTTATCTGTTAAGAATAAGTTACAGGAAGTAATTCGAGAGTATGAGGAATATAAGTCAGATAATGAGAGGAAAATATACCAATTAGAGAAGCTAAATGATGAGTTACAGGAGGAAAAGACTCGATTGGAGCTAAGAGGAAAAACCTTGGAGGAAAATAACAGGGAATTATTGAAGAAGAATGAGGAACTGATTAGAAATATGGAAGAGAAGATTAGAGAGATTGATCAGAAGGTTTATGAAAAGATAGAGATTGAACAGGAACATTTTAGAAAGGAAGAAGAATATAAGATCTTATTGGATAAGAATAAGAGCGAAAAGAATGAGTTACAGAATAGATGTAAAGGGCTGGAGGAGATGTTAAAATTACAGGAGAAGGAGTTAAAAGATGGTTTTTCAAAGGAAGTTAGTGAGAAAGAGTTAAAGATTCAAAGTTTAAGTGAAGAGTGTATGCATAATAAGTACAGAATAACAGAACTAGAAAAGCTATTAAAAATGGCAGAGAATGAGCAGTTAGTAAGTAAGAACTACAGATCTCTAATAGAACAATATAAGAATAGATTACTGGTATTGGAGAATTCCGAAAAGAGTTACCAAGAACTTCAGGAGAAATGGAGTAACCAAGAAAGGCTTCTGAAACAACAGGCACAGAAACTGGAACAGGCTGAGGGTTGGCTAAAGAGAATGGTGGAGCTAGAACAGGAGAATTCAACTTTGAATCAGCAAATAAAACAATGGGAAACTATGGCATTTAGGTACACTCATAATTTGAAAGTTTTGAATAGGGAAAGTACAGGTGGTCAAATAAAGGATGAGTCGGATGATTTTGAAATGGGATCACAAAGTGATACTACTAATCGTAATATAGAGTATGATGCTGATACTGGTACCGGTACCGGTACTAATATAAATTCAGATCATAAAAATAGTAATCAAAAATCAGAGGAAAGGAAAGTAATATCTCCAACCAGTGTTTTAAGTGCAATATTTGAGTTCCAAAGACGTTACCAGGATGTTTTAGTTTCTAAAACTGTAATAGAGACATCTAAAGTAGAATTGGAAAACAAGGTCGATATGCTGGAGAGTAAATTACAGGTTTGTCAGAGAGAGATTAAGTATTACGAAGATGAGTTAAGCTCAAAATCTGAGGAGATTCAGAGAATATCAGAGGAGAATAAACGTTTAGAATGTGAGACTAAGGTTTTGAAAGAATGTCTGAGTAAGGAAAGTAAATCATCATTTATATATGGAGTAGCAGATATTGGACTAGAGGGAGAAGAAAAGGGAGAAACAGGAGAAGGAGAAGGAGAAGGAGTGAAGGAAGTTAATAAAGAAATAGTTAAAGCTTATCTTACAAAATATACTCAGAGAGAAATGGAAGGAAGTAAAGGAAAAGATGATATAGGAGAAAGTACTGGTATACAAGAGGAGAAAGGAAGAATAATGAAAATAGAGGCTCAAAGAAAGGACTTGGAAGAGAAGATGAAAATAATAACACATTTGGAGAGTGAGTTGAAGTTGAGGAATGAGGAGATCAAGACATACTGGAGCATAAGGGTAGCATATGATACATTAACCCAAGAAAGGGATTCTTTATTAGAGTCATCAAACAGCCTTCAGGAATACAATAAAGAATTAAAATCTCAATTAGTTTCTTTAAATGAGAAGCTTAAGATGTATGAGCTATCATCTAAGGTATCCAGAGATTCAAGCCAAAATAACATTCATTTTGGATCAGTGGAAGTAACTGGTGAAGATGCAATCAAAGTGGATGAACTTGGTGGTGATGAGAGTTATTCAGTTTTTAAAGATAAATACTATGAGGAGCAAAGACGAAACCAGACACTTAGTGAATATTATATTAAGGAAAGAAGTAATTTGGTGGATGCAATATCCAATATTTTGGGATGGAGGATAGAAATCATATATGTAGAAGGTGGATTGACAGCTTATAAACTTTCAAACATATTTTCAAATCATGGAGGAGAGTTAATATTTGTTATAAGGCCAGCTCCTGCTATTGGTGAAGGAGGTGGAACAGGTGGAGGAACAGTAAACCCAACAAATGCAGTAACCACAACATTTTTGTTAACAAATGAAAATATGGTTTCAGAGACGGAAATGGAGGAGCAGTTAACACTGGACTTTATAGGTTATTATGCAAATAAGTTTGAAGAGGATTCGAATTGGGCTTTACAACTAACAGCTACACAATCTTACCCAGCATTTATGGCATATACATGCTTGGAGGAGTTTCATAATACTAATATAGAGAGTATTGTTAATAACAGTAATTCTCAACAAGATTCAGTACCAGAAAAATCACCAGGTACAGTAGAACAGGGTAACTCTAATCAAGGGACTTTAGTATTTGAAGCTCCTTCAATGGTACCTTCTAAAAAGATTCCAGAAGTAACAGAGCAAGGTTTAATTAAGACAAAAAGATTGAGAGAAGACACTAGTTGGATTCACCCAAAAGAATGAATAATTAGATCTAATAAATGTAATGCTCAAAAATAAATACTTAAGTATAAAAAAATACATATAATATGTTCCAAGATGAGAGGATAGCATTCCAAATAATCTATGATAAGAATGAGAGTACTGGAAAGCAGTTCCTCCTTTTCCCCTTTTTCGGAGAAGAAGTATAAATCTTGAAATGTAATAATTAATATAGCATTCTTGGGTATACGCCAATAAGTACTTGGAAAAGATTTAATATTGGATGAATAATAGCATAACTAGAACCCATACAATATTTGAACAAAAGACGTGACAAATAGAATGCTGATCTCTTAAATATAAATGAGTACGGTTAATATAGAATATAGGCTTTGAAATAATATTAAATTCAATGTAAACGTGCAATAGAAGCAACTTTTCATGAGAAAATGATATATCAAAGATACATCTTTAAACTAAAAGTTACCAACGACCACGTTCAATAAAGTAAATAATTCAATAATGAACTATTTCCTATTTATATTGCAGTACTTAATACGAAATAACTTGTTATAAACACACAAACCATTAAGACAATGATTTATATGTTATATTAAAGAAATCTCGACTCAAAGCATGCTTAACATCATTCGGTTATATATATTATATAATCTAATTAATGTAAATCCTTTCCTTTTTTTTCTCAATTTACTATTTCAATAATAATAATTATTAATATTGTTATTTTTATTAATACTTGTTTTAATACTATTGTATACATTTTATATTTAATATCCATTTGTTTTCCTGTCTAAAATATTTAGGGGGTACCGGGGGGAGTGGCGCGCGCGCCAAAATATAGGGTTATTAATATGTAATTTTAGATGAATGAAGAATAATTCAATTAAAACAAATTAATATAAGGTTATAAAGATAAATAAATACACACACATTTTGATTTTTATTGTTGCTAAGATTCTTAATAATTAGTAATAAAAAAATGATAAATAAGTTTGGAATAGATTGAATGGTTACGAATAGTAAATAATATTCTTAGTAATCAAGGTGTATTAAGTTGAGAGAAAAGAAAAAATGATAAAAAAAGAAGAAAAAATACGTAAAGATGTTTTAAATAAGACATTATTAAATAATAATACAAGTACAAATATAATATTAACACCAGCATCAAAAAACCATAGAACCAATAGTAGTGGTAATGAAAATGAGCTTGTAATATGTAAAAAAAGCATCACGCCATTAATGCAATTAAAGGAGAAATTGAAAGAATTAAAAAATAAACCAAAAGAAGAAGCTTTTACAAGTTTAAAGTTAATTGAGAGAGATTTTAAATTGATTCAAGAATTATTCGTGGAACATGTAAAAAAGTTTTCATGCATTTATAACCAGGGACTAGGAGTGGAAGTGAGAACAGCAATGGGAGGAGCAACAACAGGAGTAGTAGCAACAACGGGAGCGGCAACAACAGGAGTAGCAGCAACAACAGGAGTAGCAACAACAGGAGTAGCAACAACAACGGGAGCAGCAACAACAGGAGTAGCAACAGTAGCAGTAACGGGAAATGCAACAAATGGAGTGTTGGCAAAAGAGTTAAGTGGAATTTGTGCCGCCCAAAGGCCAATAATGGGGCAAGAATTGGTCAAATCAGGACATGAGGATCTTATCGAACCTGGAAATTCAAATTGTCAAATACCCCACCAATCTTTAAACAATCATCCCACTTTGATGACAAGTACCTTTAATGGAGCTTCTAAAGCAATGAGTTCTCAGATTCCCATGTCACAATTACAACAACAACAGATTCTGTTACATTTGCAACATCAGAAACATCAAAGGGAGCTTGAGCAACAACAACAAAATTATCTACAGCACTTAATTAGTCATCAAATACAGTTAAAGAATAATGTGGCTTCATCTATACCCACTGTTACCACAAATAAAAACAATTCTTCTCAGTTAGGTTCAAATATGAACTCAAATATCCCAATTAGAAATATTGTCTCACACCCATATTACTATCATCAACAATCAACTACTAATAATTTCTCTTCAGCAAAAATGACAGCAGGTCAAAATCCCGAAGCCAGTCAACAATTCCTTTTGAACCAAGGAGTTGGGGGAGTTGATGTTAGAATGTCTCCTTTATCTTCAGACCAGATGAGAACAGGAGGAATAGCTAATGGAATAGTAATGACTTCATCTGCAGAACAGATGAAAGCAGAAGGAGTAACAAGTGGAGTTAGAATAACCCCTCCAAACACTGGGATTGGAGTGGCTTCTTTAAGCACAGGAACTGTAGTGGCTCCTCCAAACACTGGTACTGTAGTGGCTTCTCCAAACACTGGTACTGGAATGGCTCCTACAAACACTGGGATTAGAGTAAATCCTCCAAATACTGGGATTGGAATGGCTCCTACAAACACTGGAGTCAGAATGTCTCCTCCATCTACAGGACAGATGGGAATGGGAATTATTACTGGAGTTAGAGCAACCTCTCCAAGCACTGGAATTGGAGTAGCTCCTTTAAACACCGGAATTAGAGTAACTCCTCCAAATACTGGAGCTGGAATGGCTCCTCCAAACACAGGAACTGTAGTGGCTCCCACAAACACTGGAATCAGAATGTCTTCTCCATCTACAGGACAGATAGGAATGGGAATTGCCAGTGGAGTTAGAGTAAATCCTCCAAATACCGGAGCTGGAGTAACTCTTTCAAATGTTGGAATTGGAGTAGCTCCTTTAAACACTGGAATTAGAGTAAATCCTCCAAATACTGGAGCTGGAGTAACTCCTCCAAATACTGGAATTGGAGTAGCTCCTTTAAACACTGGAATTAGAGTAACTCCTCCAAATACCGGAGCTGTAGTGGCTCCTACAAACACTGGAGTCAGAATGTCTTCTCCATCTACAGGACAGATAGGAATGGGAATTATCACTGGAGTTAGAGTAAATCCTCCAAACACCGGTACTGGAGTTGCTACTACAAACACTGGATTTGAAGCACTCACCACAAACATCACTAATGTAACCAATCCTAATCTCAAAAACACAACAATTAGAGATCCTTTTTTACCTCAAACTTATAAAAAATGATATATCTATTGTTATTTATATTTATAAAATAGAAATAGAAAGAAACATTATAATAAAACCCTCTAAAATATATAATTAACTTATAAAACTTAAATCTATTACTTTAAATACTCCTCCATTTCATCAGCATCTACATATGTTATTGTATTTAGTAATCCTTTCTTACCATTAGATGATTTTAATTTCTTCATATTAAACTTTTTCTCTCCCTTTATTTTACTTAATGTACTTAGCCTCCTCTTAATTCCAGATTTACTATTATCCATTAATAAATCTAAGTCATCTTCACCCTCTTCATCTTCCCCATCCTCCTCATCCTCCTCATCTTCCTCATCCTCCTTATCCTCTTGATCGTAATTATCATCCAAATCATCCAGATCATCACCTAATTCATCAAAGTCATCCATATTTACCCCATCAAGTAAATCAATATCGTCATTATCCTCATCATTAACATCAAAGTCTACTTCAAAAGCATCTTCATCCTCCTCATCCTCACCTCCAGAATCTCTTCTACAATCTTTTACAGCAGAAAACTCATCAACCAAAGAATCAACAATTAAGTCTTCCTGACGATATTTATTATATTTACTGTTAGATTTAATCATTTTACCAGAAGTCTCATCATAATCTATTTCAAAATTATCAAATTCATCCTCTTCATTACCTTCTATATTACTTGCACCTTTATTTCCAATAGAATCTGAATTATTTAAATTATAAGATTCTATAGCTTTAACCATAGGATCCTGGAAATAAATCTTGTAAAAATCTAAATAACTTGGAATATGTTTATTATTCCATTTATTAAAGTTACTTATACGTTTAAATACACCCTCATTATTATCCTCACTCCTTTTTTCAATACTCTTTAATAATATTAAATTCAAATCTACAGGATTATAACTTAATATCTGCATGAATAATGATAGAGAACAAATATCAAAAATTTTTAAAATAGTATTATCTTTCTCTCCATCAATATTCATACTCTTAGCTTTTATTTGATTACTCAATTTAAAGTTTTCTAAAAATCTTGTTATACTTGAAATTATACTCTGGTACTCTTTCTTTTTGTGATCTTTATCCATAAATTTACCATCATCTTCACATAAAACTATACTCTTGTATACTAACTCAACAATTAATGGATGATAATAAGTCTTAAGTAACTCAAACTCCCAGAAATGAATACTCTCACTATTTGCATATTTTGGATCTCTTTTTGTAAAATCATATTTATCTTGTTTTGACACGTCACTTTTTTGCATGTAATTCACTATTTGATCACTCTTAATGTTATTATTATTATTATCATTATTTTCAATCATTTCATTTTCTTCTACTTGAATATCAACAAAATTCTCCTCTTCATCCTCATTCATAATTGCATCGTTACTTTTTAATATTAATTCCTTAACGGTATTGGATAATGATCTAATATTACTTGTCTCAAGATCATTTATTAAAAAGTCATCTTGAATATTTTTATGTTTCTTTTTACTTTGATTTCCAGTAGAATTAGAGTTAAATAGATTATAATTAATGACATTAACTATAATAACTAAGAAACAAGCCAACATTGATATATCATTATTATGTATTGAAATTTGTATGGATCTTTTTAATATAGATAAAGATACCTTATAATTTGTATTTTGATCATTAATTATTTGCCATATTAAAAATACTAGTAATTTTTTATTTTTGGATGTATATATTGGTTTATACAATAATTGTGAGTATAATAACCTATAGTAACGATCTGATAATATATTTAGTATCTTTGATATACGATATAATACATTAAGTATAACAATACGTATAGATCCACATTGTATATTATGGCATAAATAATATAATTTTGGAATATAATTTGTCTCGAATTCTTGTAATAGTTGATTTGATAATTGATCATTAACAATCTTGATTTGAGCTTCTGCATATGGTAATGATCTATTAATACAGTTTAAAGTTACTCTTAATAATCTATATAGTGGTTCTTTAACAATAGATACCTGATTTTTATTTTTTGTCTGAAAATCCCATGTTTTTGATTCAACAATAACTTTAAGAGATGAAAGACATAATCTAAGTATCTTAATAGGTGGTGGATGATTTGTAATGTTATTAATTTGATTAATATCCAAAGAAAAGTAATTATAGTTTTTACTCAATTTAATTTCAGAGATAAATAATATTAGACGGTATATATGACGGAAAATGACTTGGTTAATTGTATTAATCTTTGGATTTAAATTAAGTGATTTATGAAAAGAATCTAGATTTTTAGAAATATGGTCAGATAATATATTCAAAACCAGTGATAAAACTTGAGAATTTCTATGATTTTTAATTAATTCCCCAAGTAAAAATGTAGAGTGAGAAGCTACCTTATCTTCTTTATCTCCAAACTTGTGTACTAAAAAATTGACTAAAGAATATCTTTGCTCCATAATTGACGATAAGTGGTATATAACTGTAATAATTTTCTTTCTTACAGTCCATAAAGTATCATTTAGCATCTTTAATAATACATTAGTAAATGATAAATACCACTCTTTAAGAAAATTCTCAAAGTATATCTGTACAAATTCAAAAGTAGTTATTGTTATTTCATTTTGATCTTTTATTAATGGTATTAATTTTTCATGATCTTGAAGGTAAGAAAGTTCTCTAGATTTTGGAAATAAAGAACCTTCAATGAGAAGGTTTAAAATAGTATCAATCATCTTCAAAAATCCAGTTTTATTAGTTGCATTATTTAATATTCCCTGTAATACTTTCATTTCATTAATGTAAAGTATAGGATTTTGTTGAATTAATATAGTACATGATTCCGTTCTATCTTTTAAAGTAGCTTTCACATCCTGAGACATATTTCTGAGCCAAACAGTATCCTTGTCGGGAGTTATCTTCTTAAAAGTTTCCTCTCTTATTCTAATCAACATTTCACTTCCTAATATCATTAAATCACTTATTATTTTTTCTCTTAACTCCAATTTTGAAGTTGACAAACTCTCTGGTTTCAAATTCACTATTAATTTATTGAATTTATTCAATTTCATTCCTCCTTCCTGCCAATTCACGCATTCTGAGAATTCTCTAATCCAGGGATTTTTTATTAATTTACTTACTTCCTTTGGGTTATCCAACGTTGAATTTACTTGTAATACTTGAAATTTCCCAGTATTAAATCCACCAAATTTGTTTGAATAAGATGAAACATTCCCTGAGGCTTTGTATCTCATATTCCCCTTGAAATTCATTTTATTCTTATTATTTCCACTTCTTGCATTCATTATTTCTATAGTATTTAACTTCTCAAACTCTTCCTTTTTTTTAAATCCTGATAAATATACTAAAACTCTAGCTTAAATATATACATGAATACATATAAATATGCATTCATATATCTTATTTATTTTTATGTACTCCTTTCTTCCTCCTACCAATAATGGTTACTCTTGACATTTTACATCTTTTAATATTATCCGATACCCCGTTAGGCGCCACAAAATTGGCGCCTACTGAATAATGTAAAATGATCATGTAATAATATAGGCTATGAGAATAAATTGAAAAATATTGTTAAGCCAGTTTAAAAGGAAGCAATCCAACTGTGAATATTAAAACCGTATGAGAATATAAAATGAAATTTAGTTGAACATTAGGTCCAAGATATTATTCTGAAGCATTCAGATTTTGTTTCTTTAGATTACATTTTTTTTTACTTTAAGCCTTTAAAAAAAAAAAAATCTAGAGAAAATTATGAAATGATTAATTTAGTGGTTTTATGCAAAAGTAATCAATTTTGAATGATCTGATATGATGAAAAAATTTATAAATTCAATTAAAGAAGTAATCATTGGCATTTACTCATCATTTAGAAACTTTGTAGTACCATGTAAGTTTTTAAAAATCAAGACATATTTAAATTTTGCGATCTTTCGAGAATAAAAGAATTGTCTTGTATTTTTGTAATATTTGGATTTTAATTAATTACTTTTGTCTTTTTAGATGGATCATTTGGTAAATCTAGTGAAGCAAGAAAAGCTGAAAATTTTGCATTCTTTATTAAAATTATTGTTTGGTTCCCATTATATTTTATATGTGGATTATTATTTATTATATTTGCTCAAACAGGATGGTTTGTCTCTATGTTGGCTTCAACAGGTATCCAACCATATTTTGAGGCACCATCTATATTAATTTGTCCCTTAACTGTACAAGATAGTACCGGTGATAATACAATTCAAGAACAAAATGATGAAATACCGTTTCTAAATAATAGCCATTTTTATCTAGTATTAAGGAGTCAAGGTATTTTAGGATATAAAAAAGCTCCAGTTAGAAGGTGTGGAACAAGCTGTTTATGCTTCGACACTAGCCAAGGAGACTTTAATACTATAGATAACCAAACTCTGAACAAGCATCCTATTGAAAATACTTTTATTATGAAAACTGGCAAAACTAGAAAAAAATCATTACCAGATTTAACAGAACTAAACTTATCAGGAAGATTGGATGTTGATTATTTAGAGCTGTGGATATTTCATAACTACTTAGATCCAAATAAAAGAATAGTCAAAGTTGGTCTTTACGGGAATAGTATTCCTTTATTACATGATGATTTTCCAAAAACTGCAACTTGGCATATAATGAAACTTGGAGATGTTACTTTATTTCTTTTACGCCTAATAAGATTCAGATCAGAAGAATTTAGCTTGTATCAAATTTTGGATTTACTTTTATTCTTTCTTTCAAATAGGGTAAATAAGCATAATTCAAGCTTTTACATGTATAACATACATTCTGGTCACTTTATAAACCCTTCTTTAAGTAATGAGAATTTTGTTAATGCCATTAAAAGAATTAAATTAGCTACTAAAGAAGATATTAATATTGAAAATTCTAGTGATTTATCTGTACTACATCTTGAAGCTTCCAGTAAATTTATTAAAGAAGTTTATAAGATTGGTCAATCTATGTCTATTGCTGCATTTATTGGTTGCTTAGTTATTCTTATTGTTTTAGTAAATAATGTTGGAGTTTTTAAACTTTGCTTTAAAAGGAGAATCATTAATGAAGAAGATTCTCAAGAAGAAATGAAACCAAAATTGTGTGTAGCCGCTCCTGTGAAGGCAATTTCCTGCTATCTTCTTTCTGAAAACCATCAAGATAACCAGGAATGTAGAACTTCTACTTCTGATTACCAAGATGAACTTAAAATACCAATCAATGTTAAAAATACTAACACCTTAGACGAGGACAAACTCCTAGATCGTTACTAATTACTTAAAGTTTACTAATAAATAATTCAAGAAAAGAATATATTTTAACTTTCATCTAATGCAGCAAATCTATTTCTTGTTTCTATATTTGCATTACTACTTCCTCCTTTCTGGGAAAGCGCTTTCCCTTTCGAACCTGATGATACTCTGCTCTCAGATACACATCCACCGCCACCAATGCCACTATTTCCTCCCCTACTACTGTGACTGTTGCTGCCCCCCTCTCCACTTCCCTGATACCCTCCTCTTCCTCTCTTTGAATCTGTCCCATCTCTACTTCCACCTCCACGAGAAACATTTCCTCCACTTACAAAGTCCTTATTCATACCTCCATTCCCTTTTCCACCACCTCCACTATTTCCTCCTCCCCCCTTAGTCCTAAATTGACCATTTTCATTTCCTGATTGCTTAAACCTTCCTTTTTCTTTAGAGGCGCCAAAATTCCAGCGGCGGTTCGCGCCGGCGCCATGGCCTCTTTCGGATTCATACGCGCCGATATTTTTGTTAATTGCATTATTAGAAGTCTCATTTTGTATGCCAGAAGATGAGTGGGGTTGGTCAGAGAGGTTGTTAGATCTTGATTTGGAGGCGGGTTTGGTTTTATCCGAAAAGTAGTCTTTTTGAGTGGAACTTGTTTGTTTGGATCCAGAGAATGAAGTATTACTTGAAGAGCTAAGGTTGTTAGCTGAGGATTGATTTTTTGAGTTGGATTCGTTGGTTTTTGTAGAGTTCATTCTTCTAACAATGGTGAAATCTGGTGATGAGTCTCTGTTTGACATGTTTTGAGCTTTATTTCCTCTGTTGCTTCCAGATGTAAAGTTGTTATTGTTTTGATTATTGTTATTCTGGGAACTTCCACCAGAGTAACTATTACTACTACTGCTATTGTTATTGTTACCTCCACTTCTGGAGATATTATTGTTCCCACGATGGTTCGTTTTGTTATCATCCATTTTGTTTTTTTGGGAAACCACATTAACACGGATATTTCTTGATCCAATACACAATCCATCCAAATTATTTACAGAATTGGAGAGATCCTCAAAGTTTTCAAACTCAACAATGGCTACACCCTCATTATTGCCATTTCTCATAGGAAGTTTAATTTTGACATCCTCTATTTTGTTATTTTTGAAGAAATCCTGAATGTCACGCAACTGTAATGAGTAGTCCAAATTTGTAACCTTGGCTATAAAAGGTGCCTCTCTAGGTAAATTGACTACTTTCTTATTTTGTCTGCTAGATGTACCAGTTCCAGAATTATTACCATTATTATTATTGTTATATGAGTTACCTTGGCTATTACTATTACTACTAAATTTCTTTTTTGAATCTCCCTTATCCTTATCATTAGTACCATCAGCATTCAGTGATGTCGTTGCATTAGATTGTGATATAGATGTAGTAGTTGTTTGACTTGTTCTTTCTACTGGCAAAGACATATCTAAATCATCCTCCTCAGCCTCCACATCTGCCCAACGTGTTGTACGTGATCTACATAATTCATTCTCCATATGATTTGTTTTATTTATATTAAAATATTGCAAATTCTACTGAAATTGGCTTGTTCGTTCCACACTATATTGAAACGATTAATTTAATTCCTATATAAATTTTTAAATAATGAAAGTAACTAAATTCAGATTACTCTCTTTTATAAAGTTCTTTTTTCCCTTTTCAGTGTTCTCACAATAATTTTATTATATCCAAATGCTTCAATACGAGGCTAAAAATTGCTTTTTCCTATACTTCTTTTAGCCAGAATAAATCAATTCTTTGTATTAACATAAAGTTGGACTTCAAATACTATAATTGGTTAAAAACCTCAAACTCAGTTATATTTCCTATTCTATTAATCGGAGCCTAGATATATTTAATTGTTTATTCAATTATTAAAAACCTTTCTAGTTTGATTTCCTTATTTCTTCTACAATTCCGTATTATTTTTAATTGTTTTTTTTAACTTGATTTTTCTTTTTTTGTTATTAATTTATATTATTATTTTTTTAGGCGCGTCTCAGCCGATACCTTTTTTGGCGCCAGCCAGATATTTAATACTTTAGAAACCCATTTTTCTATAACCTTGCTGTTAATCATTATTTAGATATTTATTTGATTATTACGGTAAATTAATTGATTTAAAATGTGAGGAACTTAAATGTTGTAGTAATTATAATAAATCTCACAGAATTATAGTTAGAAATACATTAATAAATATATAGAAAATAGTGTTAAATTGCATGTGAAAAAAAAGTTGGTAATATTAGCAGTAAATATATCTACGAATTATAAAATGTTCTATGAACAACTTGTTAAAATGGCAAATATTATACATAATCAATATAATAGTATTAATAAGTGTGTAGTTTATATATATTGTTTCTAAGTAGAAGATGATAAATCTAGGTATATCAGAATAAGTGAAAAGAGCTTCACTTAGAAGTTCTTGAACTACTTTTGTTACTAGTTTTGGCTTTTGATATTGCTTTCTGAGTTTTGACAGAGCTCTTTGGCTTGTTGCTCAATTCAGAAGTTGAGATTTTATTGAGTTGTGGTGACTCTTTTTCAGATCTAGCTGACTTATTGTTAACTGAGCTTTGAGCATTGCTTTTTGGTCCATGGTTCTGTTGACTATTGCTTTTAATTTTGGTAATATTACTGGAAGAAGACGGGATAGTTATATCTGGCGTTTTTGAGTCATTTTGTTTATTTTTAGGATCTTTTTCGGGAACTGACAGATCTGGTAATACTGCTTGGTATTCTGGGCCAATCCTAATTTTAGAATTTGTCTGTTTCATCCATCTTGATTCGCCCATTCTTAGCTTATTTGGGAGGCAAATGCTCCGAATTACCAAAAGTAGCAAAAGAAAAAAGGTTTCAAGCTGATAATTATATATTGCATATATATATATATATATATATATATAAATATATATATATAATTTCTTACTTTAAACTATTAGACATAAATAACATAATATATTATATATATACTTATAATTTATTTACTTACATTTATCACCAGTTTATATATATACTGATAAATTAGCAATCATAAATATATTCAGTTTTGGCGCCAAAATTATGGTTCGAAAAAGGTCATGATTAAAAAAATAGTGAAAACACTGAAATAATGTTTTCAAAATCCTCATTACTAGCCATTACAACGCTGGTATTGAGTTATATATATTTGACTGGTGGTTTTGAGCCATGGGGAGCTCAGACTCCCTATCCATTTGAGTTGTTTAGGCCAGAATTTATAAGGCAAGTTCTTAAGGAGGAGTTACCACAAAGCACAAATGAAACTTTGCTAGAAAAGTATGTGGATCTTTGGACAGTATATCCCCACACATTGATAACATCAGAATTCCCCGATGTATTTCCAGCTGAATTATCACTAAAAATACATAATAAACTTATAGGAAAGTTATTTCTGAATGAGACAAAGTTTGAAGACTATGATAAGGATAAATGCTATGTATTAGTATTAAGTGGAGGCTCAAATAGAGGAGCATGGGAAGTTGCTGCTTTAAGAGGACTAGTAACGAGATATAGAGATGAAGGAAAAATCATTGATTGGGATGTAATTTCAGGTGTTAGTGTGGGAGCAATTGGAGCTTATAGTGTATTGTTTCAGAAATCTGTTTATGAATGGACGAATGAACTTTGGAACTATTGGTGGACAGCACAACAAGGTATACTTTCTGATTGTCAGGTACCCCTTAAAAAGAATATCGGTAATTGGATACAAATGTTACTAAAAAAAATGATTGATCCAGATGCAGTATTTCAACATTTATGTGGAATTGCAGCACCAAGAAAGATTCTTAAGAATAAATTTGGATTCAATAAGAGAAACAAGTCCAAGTCAGCTACAATAACAGCAACAAGAATAGAGGATGGATTAACAAAAACATGGTATGGTTGGAATAGTACCGATGAAGAACTTTTGGATGCAGTTTTTGCTAGTTTGGCTTACCCATTAGTATATAGGCCAACATATGTAGGAGGTAGTTATTATATGGATGGAGGTATTAGAGGAAATGCTAATTTGATTGATCCGATTAGACATTGTATGGAATTTAAGAATGTTACTATAGATAAAGTAGTTGTTGACTATATTGAGACACAACCAATAAAACCACGTTGGATATGGTTTCCATCAGAGATGAATATTCGTGATCATATTAATAGAGCTTTTGATATATTACATTTTAATGTTAGAGGGCTTTCAAAACTTAAAGAAGCCATTGAAACATTTCCAGAGGCAACTTTCAGACATTATTTAACTCCTACGACTTGGAGTGATTTCCAATTTTGGCCTACTTTGGCTTTAGATGTTACAGATAGGCCAAAAATGATACAAATGATGAAGATGGGTCTTTCTGCAGGGATGAAAGCTGGAACCATTAACCAGACACAGCTGCTTGAATATAACAGGACTACAATTAGAACTAAGTCGGTTGTTTCACTACCTTCTCTCAATATTACCACAAGTACTTGAAAAGATTACTTAGTATGAGATAAGCTTATAATAATTATACTATTAGTTAAATGGCTAAAGTTGTTATTTTTTCCCAACATTAACTACATGCTAATATATAAACTATTTGAATTTTATGGTAAAAGAATATTTGATCTTCTTTTATATAGATTCATTTCCATATAATAGGTAATATAAATCCTGGAAATAATTAAGGTATTATTATTAAATCTTCTCTTAATTAGAAATTAATTTCGTTATTTGTACTTGAATGACAATACTGGAAAACTCTATAAAAATCTTCAAAATCTAGAAATCCATCACCGTCTCTATCAATATGTTTAATCATTTGGTTAAGATCATCATCTGAAAATAAAGTATCTCCGGACTCACTTGGATTTCTTATACTTAAAGAAAGGGATTCTCTGGAAATTTGTGAAACAAGAGTTTTTAAGCTTCTTATTCCAACTTTTCCGTTATTACCAATATCAAATAGAGAAAAGACCCTTTTAACATATTCGATAGAGACTTCTTGTGAAGGATCTGAGGTACCATAGAAGGCTCCAACCCCAAATTGATTTTGACTTGTCATCAAATATCCCAAAATTTGACAAAACTCTTCAAAATTCACTCCTCTCTCACCCTCCAGGTCCTTACCTATACTTGATGAGTATTCATTCATATGAGAAGATCCCATAGAATTGCCCAAAGCTTTATTTGAAAGGGAACTCATACCTAAATAACTGCTACCAAAACATCCAGTAAAAACTAATTCTATATCTTTCTTTCCCACATCAAACCCTAAAGCTCTTAAAGCAGCCTTAAGCTCTCTTCTATCCACAAGACCATTTCTGTCAGTATCAAATACCTCAAAAACAGAGCGAGCATCCTCAATCTGTTCCTTATTTAATTCTCCAGAGTTCATAATTTTCTCAAAAATGCAGTATTGAATTAGAAAACTTTACCCTAATTATAGAGAAGTCTGAAGTTCACAATTAGAATAAATTGTGAATTTATTCACAAATATTTTACACCTTCTTTTCACAATTTCTCCCAAGCTTGTCTAGATGTAGCTTTATTTATAGATCTAACACTTGGATAACTATAAGATTCAAATTTAACCCGTGTTTATTTTATTCCTAGTAATTATCAAACAGAAAGCAAAATAAGGTATAATTGACTCCAAGGAATACATGCGTATATATTATTTACCTTGGGACCTTATTAATTTATATGTTCAGTAATTCAATTATGATAACTAGATATGTATCTACAGGATCTTATTCCAAGAATACAGCCTTGATGTGATTCAAATCCTGGTATATTAATACAATGATCTAATGAATATTCGTTTAATCTTGGCAAAATATATACATATATATGTATATATATAAATAATTTTTTTTCTAACAAAACGATGATTTTTTAAATTACGTGGAAAGGTACCGGATTCATGTTTTGGCGCGCTCTTGTAAATTTGTGTTCCCCACTTTCCCGGAGAAAAAAGAAAGAGGAAGAAAAAAGGGGAGCGAAAAGAGAATAAATAAAAAGTATTAAAAAATTCGGATATATATATTTATATATATATTGGAAGACAAACTCCAAAAACAATCGATAACCAATAATGGCAGAAGTTATTGGAACTTTTGATACTGGCCACACTGGTCCGGTACACGACACACAATTGGATTATTATGGCCGTAGATTGGCAACAGCATCATCAGATCACACAATAAGAATATTTGATGTCTCTACGGATCAACCAACTTTCTTGGCAGAGTTAAGAGGCCACGAGGGGCCGGTTTGGCAGGTTTGCTGGGCTCACCCCACATTTGGAAGTGTATTAGCTTCTTGTTCATATGATAAAAAGGTTTTAGTTTGGAAGGAAACTCAAAGATCAAGATGGGAAATTGTATACTCATGTGATGACTTTTCATCTTCAATTAATGGTGTATGTTGGTGTCCATGGGATTTTGGGCTCCAATTTGCCTGTGCTGTATCGGATGGTTCAATAGCGGTCTGCTCATATAGTCCAGAAACAAGGAACTGGACTAAGAAACAGGTATTTGGTCATCCAAATGGAGCAAACTCTGTGTCTTGGGCTCCAGCAATAAACTCTGTTGGAAGCTCAGCTGTTAATTCATCTTCCCAGCCTGTTAGACTTGTTTCTGGAGGATGTGACAACCAAATTCGTATTTGGAAGCAAGATCCTCAAACAAAAGAGCTTTCTGAAATGAGCCAAACCCTGGATGTTGCTCACTCTGAGTGGGTGAGAGATGTTGCTTGGAGGCCATCAGTAGATCTCCTTGCTGAGACTATTGCTTCTTGTGGAGATGATAAGATTGTGGTCATTTGGACTCAGGATGCTGATGGACAAGGTTGGCACAGTAGCCAAGTACTCAACTTTAACGAGCCAGTTTGGAGGGTTTCTTGGAGTGTTACTGGAACTGTTTTGGCGGCTTCCAGTGGAGAAGATGTTGTTACTCTCTTCAGAGAGAACACCGAAGGTAAATGGGAGGTTCTCACAAATATCTCAGGAAACGAGCAACATCAACAGCAGCAACAACAGCACCCACAGATTGGCTCTGAACCCAGTGATGGCTTTCCCCCTGGTCTGAATGTCCAATCCTCAGTCCCGGAGCCCTCCCACCAAGAGCAGGGAGGATCCAGTTCCGGATTTAGCGCCCAGAATCCAAGTCAGTTCCACAATAGAAGCGGAGACCCCTCTCCTCCACTTCTCTCTGCACATAATCAGCATCGCTTTAATCAGTCCTTCTCTCCCTCTAAGAATAACATCCATCCCCAGCAGTCCCCTCTCCCTCCAATGGCAGCTCCCCCGATGGCAGCTCCCCCGATGGCAGCTCCTCCTGTGGCAGCTCCTCCTGTGGCAACTCCTCCTGTGGCAACTCCTCCAATGGCTGCTCCTCCAATGGCTGCTCCTCCAATGGCTGCTCCTCCAATGGCTGCTCCTCCAATGGCTGCCCCTTCAATGGCTGCTCCTCCAATGGCAACTCCTCCAATGGCTGCTCCTCCAATGGCTGCTCCTCCAATGGCTGCTCCCCAAGTGGCGGCTTCTCCAACAACATCTTCTTCCACCTCAATGGCACCCCCTATGGCTCCTTCAGCGGTGACTACAGCTCCCCCAACAATGTCTCCCCTCTCGCAGGTGACTAATTCTCAGTTTGTTTCAAGTCCACCTCCAAAAACCCAACAGGGACCCTTTCCGCAAGCACCCAGACCAACCTCATCTTACATGACAGGCGGAGAGACCATTCCTACCCCAGGGTTGCCAAAGGCAGAGATTTCCCTTCCGCCGCCACCATCATCATCATCTTCTATCTCGGGCTCTATCCCACCAATGATGGGAGGAACAACTGCACCAACGCCTTCTACAAACTTAAATACCGCTTCTCCTTTTGGGAATTCTTTTGGAGCTGCACCTCCACCCCCGCCTCCACCTCCTCCTCCTGGTATAAGAAGGTATCCTGGAATACAGTAGTAATGTAAATAAGTGGACATTTAAACAAAAATTTATCATACTGGATTAAAAGATTACTTAAAGTCTGAAATACTATTGTTTTAATGCTACTACAGCATTAATAGTCATGGTAAAGACGCTGGACCAAAGTAAAAGATGACTCTATTCACTTTCAGGCTAATTTACTATAATTCTACTAGCAAAAGACTGAAAATATTTCCAGCCTAAAATTAAAATAAAAAAATTTCACACCTTATTTCCTCTGATTACTTTTGTATTATATTCATTCCTCACAACTTCATGCATAAGTTTGTGCATCGTACATTGTAGATACATTCACACATCTACATATTCCTGTATAATCCAAGTAACTCCAATATTTATCTTTTGGCATTTTGAAATTAATATATTTACATTTGTGTATAAAAACAAGTGAAAATAACAATAAAAATTAAACAAAATGAAAAAAATGATAGAAATCTACTCTGAGTTATCATTAATTATATATTTAATTTATCTTCCCTCTCATATCCCCCTTCTCATGTTTCCCTCCTTATAACTTGGAGCATTTTTGTGTATTTATTTTATTTATTTGCCACATTAATGCATGCATGCATAAGTTTGGCTGTGAGGCAGAGGCGGCATGGCAAGATAACATTCAAATAAAATATTTTAGTTACATATAAACATAACTACGAATAGCTAAGCAGATAACATCATTGTATAATTATTATTAACAATAAAATAAAAGAGAAAGTATTGCAGGAACAAAAACTAGTTACTAATCAATTGAAAAATACAAATGTTTTTTTTCAGAATAATATGTATGTAATTTTAAAATTGAAAGAGAAAAATCAATACATATGGTTAAACAATTTTTAAAACAAAATATATAATTTCAATTTCCCGCCAAATTGAGCTTGTGGATACATGTAATGAATGTGTGAAAAATTAATTACTTGCATGTAGATTAAATAAGATATTAAAAGAAAACAAGAAATAGTTATTTAAAAACCTTTTAAAACAAAATATAATTTCAAGCTGTCTAAATCCTTTTACTAGAATAATTTAGTTGTACCAATTTCTTTTTAGAGTCACATTCTGGAAAATCCTCAAGATTATAATACTTGGGAGAAACCTCAAGTAACCATTCTCCTCTAATCTTAGTTACTGTTCTGATAAAATTTCTAGAAGTAAGAACAAACTCATTATATAACACCCATTCAGGTTTTGATCCTAATACACAACTTGGATGAAGATGTACCACTTGATTATCTCTTACTGTAGTATAATGGCCTGCCCTATGTAAGCAGGCAACTTGCATAAAGAAACCTTGGGTAATTGCTTTTCTAATAGAAATATTCAGCTTTGATTCAGAAATTTCCCCATCATCAGAGCCAACATTATCATTAGTGTTAAGTATGTGTTTTTGATATGTTCTTTCAAGCTGTTTTCTAACATTTTCTGCAGAAACCAATGCTCTATAATTCAAAAAGTTCTCCTTTGCAAATTTCTTTGCTTTATTCTCATCTTCATATAGAACCTCCCTAAAAGATTCAAAAGCATATAATAACGTTAAGTGGTCCCCATCCGGGTCAATAAAACTGGATTTTGCATAATCTGCCTCTTTAGATTGATCTCTTGGTCTTAAGAATATATTTGGTACAGTTAATAAGCTTGTTAAAGATAGTATGTGAGAGGCACATCCTAATTCTGATGATTTGATTAGCATTCTAGCTAACTGGGGATCAATTGGAAATTCTGTCATAAGCTTTCCCATTTTAGTTAGTTCTCCTTCGTCATCCATTGCTTCTAAAAAATATAACTGTTCAAGAGCTCTCATTAAAGTTTCAGGAGCTGGAGGATCCATGAAATCAAAATGAACCAAATCATTAATACCCAAACTTTTTAATGTTAAAACAACATTACTAAGATTACTTCTCAATATTTCGGGGTGTGTTTGATCTACCAATTCTGATTCAAAAGCTTCTTTTGTGTATAATCTAAAACACTTACCCTCTCTAGTACGCCCAGCTCTACCCATTCTTTGTTTGGCTGAAGCCTTGGATATTGGTGAAACAAGCAGAGATTCTACTCTTGTGCGAGGATTATACACCTTTTGTTTTGAAAAACCTGGATCTATTACATATACTACTCCATCAATTGTAACACTAGTCTCTGCTATATTAGTACTAATTACTACCTTACGTCCTGCAGGCCCACCTGGATACTTTGGTCCTGGAGCCTTATCAAATATTTTTTGTTGCTTATTTGGAGGTAGTGTTGAATATAATGGAATTATTACTAATTCACCAAACTGATGTTCTAAAGGAGAAGACAAAAATTCTAGACGCTGTTTTGCCTGTTCTATTTCCTCTTCTCCTGTTAAAAATAATAAGATATCTCCAGGAGATTCATTTTCGTGTATATAAAGTACTTTTTGTATAGATGCTTCCAAATAATCTTTTTCTGCCTTTGTGTTATATATTAATTCAACAGGAAACATTCTTCCTGGGATTGAAAAAACTGGTGAATTATTACCAAAGTAACTCTGAAATTTAGTTGACTCTAATGTTGCACTCATTACTACTAATCTCAACGGATTTTTAGATTCAAAACTTCTTCTTAATAGTATTTCTTTTAATGATCCCATCAAAATATCTGTTGAAATAGTTCTTTCATGTGCTTCATCAATTATAATTACTCCATATTGGGATAAATCATTGTCATACATTGCTTCTCTGAGTAACATTCCATCTGTTACATACTTAAGTTTAGTGTTTTCATTACTCTTATCTTCAAATCTTATAGTATAACCAACAACATCACCTAAACAAACATCCATTTCTTCTGAGACTCTCTGGGCCACACTAATTGCTGCAACTCTACGTGGTTGGGTACATGCAATCTTTAAATCCCCTCCTAACCCAGATTCTAATATAAACTGTGGACATTGTGTTGTTTTTCCACTACCAGTGTCTCCAACTAATATTACAACTTGATTCTTTTTAACTAACTTACAAAAAGTCTTTCTTTCTGGCCAAGCTGGAAGGGATTTTCTAAACTTTCTTAAATCATAGTATCTACTTGAATATGGCTTACCATTGTTCCAGGGATTTGTTTGTTTATTATCTTTATTATTTGTTATTATTGAATTATCGTCTACTGTTATTTCTGTTTCTTCTACCTTTATTCTCTTTCTTCCACTACCCATTTCTACCTGAAAATTGGTCTTTTTTTTCTATTTTATCCTTTTCTCCTTATTTTTTGCCAAATAATAGCTATATTTCTAGTATTTCATATACAAAAAATTCAAGCTCAAATAAATCAAAATCGTTTAAAAAAACTTTCAGAACTGTTAAAGAGGAAACTAAGAATAAGAGAATAGAAACTAAAAATCTTCTTTATCAAAGTCTTCTTTCTAGCTCTATTTTCTCTTTATCTATTTCTCTACTGTATATATAATATATGTATATATATATATATATATATTATATATAAACAATTTTTCAAAAAAGCCCGCCAAAAGTGTGTTGTCAAAAAAAGATTATTAAAATGTTGAAAATGAAAACAAAATAAAGGAATAAAAAAAGTAGAGATGAAAAAAATATAAAGAGTATAGAAATTTAATATTTGAATTAAAGCAATATGCTTAGTGGTATTAAGTAAGTAATATGAGCAATCCTTTAATAATATTTCCAACATCAAAATCTAAAATAATCAGTAAGTATACAAAACTTGAAATTGAAGCTTTGCAATTTGCAAGCTTAGTATGGGTGATAATCTTGTAAAATTTGTCTCAGCTTATTTCTTAATCTCTCTCCATGATTAATATTTTATTCTGATGATAATCTGAGTATTTATGTGTGAAATAATACTTATTCATCCAATAGGCTATTTTTCTATATTACAGCTCCATTTTTTTCCTCTTTCTCTTCCCCCCTTTCCTTATTCCTCACATTTTCTCTACCTCTTTCTTTCTATAAACACACATTTAAATATAAAATGTGAGTTGATTTTAAGTAGTCTTAAATTATAGGACCAGTCCTAAGTTTGTGAATTAGTCTCTCAGTCTCAGCAATCTCATCCTCCAATCTGTAATTATAGTAAGTTTGTTTAAGAGCAGAAACGTAGCTGGTAGAATCAACTTCTTCATTTTCAACATTTTTGATAATATAACTAATCCATGGGATTAAGAAAATAGTAATAGCAGCCGCAGTCACAGAAATGTAAAACCCTGAATTCAATGTAGAAGAATCAAAGAAAAGAGAAGAAAGACGATTAGTTTTGATGGCATTACCAAAACCATTAAACTCAGCATGAAAACCTCCAATTGAAGTATAAAGGAATAATGAAAGTAAAGAAACAGCTGATGCTAATAATAACTGAGTAAGTACAATCGATCTAATCTTCTTATTTGATCCTCTAAAATATAAAATTATTAACCAAATAGGAGCTGAAACCAATAATGCAATAATTATTATTATAGATGAAATCATTGCTGCTGAAGCTGTATATAAGTTTGAAAATGTTGTGCAATTAGACTCCTCGGAAGTTAATCCATATCCTCGTAAACAAAGAAACCTCATAACTTCTCCTATAGAATTACCATCTATATTTGAAATAACCCACCTACAAAAATCAAAGTTCAATCTGCCATTTAACATTGTAGGATTACAATCTGAGGATGCCCAAATATTCCATAAAGATATATCCATTGAAAGATAATTACCTATTGGAAAGGAAACTATTAAATAATGATACGATCTTGAAAAAAGTGCCAACATCCACCAGATTCCTGCAACTAACATACTAAAAGCTGCTGTAAACACTCTTAAACGGTTATATCTATTTTTTTCATTCATATTTACATTAATTTTCACAAATCATATCAATAATATATCCTTTATATTAATTTTATTATTCAATTTATTTAGTTATTTCTGTATTTAACTCTAATTTTATTAATTATCTCTTTTATTTTTATTCAAGAAAATACATTCTTCTTCTTGTTTATTATTTTTAAATGTTCTCTATTTCAACTTTCTCTCAACGTATTTCCACTATTATCCTTTCACAATCTTTTTTTTCTTTTTTATTCCATGTTATTTTTGCATAGACAAGACGTGCGCCGGTACTTCTTTTGGCGGCAAAATGCACCCAGTTAAAAAATTATTAAAAAAACAAAAGTTAAAGAGTTGTGGGAGAAAAACTTATATTAAATATTTGTGTTAATATTATCATTTGTTTCTTTTAATTTTTCCAAATATTTTCATTGCAAAGTAATTTACTTATTTCCTCTTTGAAACGTGTATTACTAGCTTTAGGAAAAGGAATTAGGTATGACGAGTTGGTATGTTGATTTTCAGGAGGCTTATTTGAATATGTAATAGTTGTAATAGTTTTTATCTTTAGAATAAAAATCAAAAATTATTATTTAAGAATGGTTGGAATATTTGTGATTGTGTTATAAGAGAATGCATCGGATAGAGATGGAAAATAACAAAGATTAAAGAAGGAAATTTAAGTTAAATAGTACGAAGAACAAAAAAAAAAAATACAACTTACTGTACTTCTTAAATCATTCATATTATTAATAGCAATAAGATGTTTATCATTGTGAAGTTGGGTTGCTAGCTCAACTTGATGATTATCCATAAGAGATTCATTAATTACAACTATCATTTTCCTCTAATTTAAGTTAATCAAAATTAATAATTTAGAAAAAATTGTATTATAACAATTTATTCTTTTCTTTTAGCTTTCATTAGCTAAATAAACGTGGATTACCAATATAATCCAAAAAAAAAGTAAAACTTACGTTATTTCTTAAAGAATTTAATATGGTTCCAGCTCCTGCATGACCTATTATAAGATCGTAATCTGAATATATAATCTCTTTCATATAAGGAGTGGCTTTAATTTCAAGGATTTTATCATATTCTTTACTTTCATTACAATTATTACTATGTCTAACTTTTCTTTGTTTTGGAACATATTCACCACTAAAATAATTTATAATTTATTTTGATTATTACGTAATATACACGTGTTAAATGAAATTTTAAATTACCTTCCATATTGAATAAATAAATTTCTGTAACCACATTCTAAGAGTTGGTCATGAAATTCTACTTTATCGACTTGTTGTATTAGTAAATCAAATTGAGTGGTACCAACTGTCACAAGTACAGACATACTAATTTCACTTATAATTAGTAATACGTGTTTTGGCTTTATTTATTTAAATAATTTTGCTGAAATATTTACTGTGATCTGTTTACTCAGCTATTTATTTTTTTAAAAATTGGGAATAAAATAATTAAAGGGTACCGGAATTATATTAATTTACATATATTTTTGTTATACCGGTATACTATAAAACCAAATAAAATATATAAAAATTATTTTCTTAAAAATTCAATGGCTTTTTGTTCAACTATTACTGTATAGATAAAAGTGCAAATATCACAGCTATATATATATATATATATATATATAATACATATATATATATATATATAATATATTTATTTGTTTGTTTATTCATATACATGTTATAAATAGAATCTATATGAAATCTAACAAAAGTCTTTCCCTTGTAGACTACTCATCATCTAGCCAAAGTGAGGATGATGAAAAAAGTACTGTAAAACAATGTAAAAAACCAAATACGGAAGTCAAAAACAAATCAGACTCACAAAATCTCAAAGATTTCAATGCTAATACCAGAACTGAACAAGATATCCACCAAATAAGATCCAAACTAATAATTGAGAAAGAACATGAGGATAGTGATGAAGAAGATGGAATCAATAGCCTCTCCAATATTATGAACCTGCGTAAAAAAATGGAAAGTATAATAGGAGATTCAGTTATTGAGTATCCAGTAAAACACTATGTACAGTTCAGAAAAAATGAAGATATCCCAAATCAAGATTTAGAAGAAAACTGTAAAATAAAACCAGTAACGACTATATCTGTCTCTAATAAAGGTAATCGGATGATTTGTGGTGTGATTAATGGAGAAATTGAAATTTATGATTTCAGTAATTTATATGAAAATGATATGAACCCAAATAAAGTTATTTGTCCATTAGAAAATCATTCAATACAGAAAGTTGAATTCAATGAAAATGGGAACCTTTTTCTTGCAGCTTGTGGTGATTCTGTATGTAGAATCTTTCAAAGTAATGGTGAATTTATTACAGGTACCGTACAAGGTGATCCATATGTTAAGTCTGTTAAATCAAATCCTGGACATACACATATGATTCTAAACTGTAAATGGGACCCTGGAAATGCTAACCGTTTCTTAACTTGTTCAATTGATAATACAATCCGTCTTTTTGATCTTAATAGTGACCCATTTGGAGTTGATAGATATATTCCAAGTACATTTGTTATGAAATGCTTAGATAAGAGAAATTTAAACATATCTTCCATTCAAGCAAATTCTTTGTGTATTTCTTCTTTTGGAGAAAAAGTTGCAGTTTCTTGTACTGATGGATCTATTCAAATTTTTTCAAGAAATAGTAATTCATACTCGGAAACTCCTTCCATTATTATTAGGGATGCACATAAATTTGACAAAAATGCAAACATTAAGAGCATATCTGATATCACTTTTGTCAAATATAACCTGAACCAAGATACTTACTTAGCAAGTAGAGGAATTATTGACAAATCTGTAAAGATTTGGGATATCAGAAAGACCAATATTGCTTTGAAAACAATTAATAACCTTCCAAGTGATGGAAATGAAAATTCGAGACTTGTACTTTCAAAATGTGGAACAAATATTGTTACATCTTCAACTTTGATTAAAGATGAGATAAGTAATGTTAAAAACAGCTTCAACGGTAAAAATATCAGTAATCATGCAAAAAGTTCCTTGGTTTCATTTCAAATAGATTCTCTAATAAATTCAGCTGAAAGTAATTTTCATAAATTAATTACTCTTAATAATAAGGTCATTTCAACATTTGAATGGTCTCATGAAATTAATCAAATTTTTGTTGCTCTCAATAACTCAAGTATTATTGCTTATTATGATGATCAACTTGAAAATAATCCAAGTAATAATGGAATTCTATCTGCTTTTGGAAAGAAAAGAAAATACCAATTCCAAGGATTTTCCAATGCATCTTTGGAAACTTATAATATTGAAGAACTTCCAGATGGTTTTAAGGAGACTAAGAGTGGGGAAATTAAATATGTTGGGTCAAGCTTAAAGAAGAAATCCAAATTGTATGCTCCAAAGCATCCCAACTTATAATAATTATATCCACAATGATTTGAATTAAAGTGGAATACATATAGAATATATTCATTTGTACTACCTTTTATTCATCTTCTCCAAATAATTCATCTAATACCTTGTCAATCCTACCAAAATCTTCATTTTCTTTACTAAATAAACACTCATCTCCTACACTAAGCATCTTCTTCTCAAGGTTTTCCCAGTCATATCTCCACTTTTTGTCATTTTCATCAATTATGTATTTAGTGATTCCATCTTCAACTTCATTTTCAATTTGATCTTCAATTCCATCCTCAACTTGATCTTCAATTTCATCTTCAATTTCATATTCAATTCTATCAGAGTCCACCACCTCATCTTCATTCTTTTCATCCATAAAGACTTTGACTTTCCTTCTTTTATTGCTTTGATTCATTGATTTTATATTTTCTTTATTAACTTTAATTTTCTTTCCTATTACTTTCTCTGTAAATATTTTTAATTCAGCCATTTCCAAACCAATAAGCTTAAATAACAACTCTCTAAGCTCCTTTATTCTGTCATAAGTGTAAGAGAGAATACAATTTCGAATAGACCAATTGCAATTATTGTCTTTTTGGCCTTTTAAAGATTCCATGATCTGATTAATATACTCTTCAACATTAATTAAATCTTCTTTTTCTATTTGAACTATATATTTGTCATCATCATCATAATCATTCTGGTCTTGCTGTTGAATTAAATATTTATCCAAAACAGCTATAATCCGATTTGGAATCTTCAAATCTTGAGTATTTCTTCTGAAATTATAAATCCCCAAACAAAGTTTTGAAATAGTCTTTTTTGAAAAAGTATTATTCCTATTCAAGTCCTTACTTATATTAGCCTTTATATCAGCCATTTCAATCACCAACTCTCTGAATAACTTACTTCTCTCTTTAAACTCAGTAAGAGTAATCCTCTCATAATCAAGAACCCAAACTTTAATAGAAGAGTCATTCAAACAATCATTCCCAATTAAATGATCATCTAATTCATCATCAAATAAACTAACTTGGTTATTATTTCCTCTTTCAGATAAATCAAGATGATCTTTTGTTATTCCTCTGTCTAAATGAACCAAAAAGTCAGTATCATTAGTAATTCTTGACTTTTTAAAACCTAGCAAATGTAGTAATTTTGACATGGTGAATGATTCGTAAATCTTCTCAAATTGCTTTCTTATACCTAAACTATTTAGCCTTAGTTGAGATAAACACAAACATATATTATCCAATTCCATTCTTTCCCAATTATTTGCATGATTGTTTTTCTCTATAATTACTTTTAATTCACTTGAAATTAAATGTAATAAACCATTTTCAACAGGAACTTGTTGATCAATTAAATGGGAAATTTCTCCTGATAATTCAGAATCTTCAATAAAATCCTGTATTGTATTCTTCAAAATCTTAATTGAATAATTTATATTTTTAATCTCAGACTGGCAATTATTTGAAACAAAGTTACTGATACTATTCATCATTTCTGTTAACTCAAATATATCTTTTTCTATATAATCCCTGAACAAATTAATAGTGCCATTATACTCTTCTATACTTAATTCTTTTGGAACTACCCACAAATTCTCATCTTTTCCTGGTTTCTTTAATCCAAGAGAAGACATGATCAACTTATAATTTTGATCATCCAATAAAGAAGTTGGTAAACTTGAAGGAATTTCTATGGGGATTTCCTCAAATTGATTATCACCAAAAATTTCCTTTGTTGATAAAGATTCTTGCAATAAATCAAGTAACTCCTTTAATACTATACTTGAATCAAAGGTGAGTCCTTCCTCAATAATATCTTCTGGGCAAGCATTACTAAGTCCAAGAATTCCAGATATCAAATCAACATTAATTATTGTCCGGGTTCGATTCTCCTCTTCATCTTGGTCTTTTAGATCATCTTGAATTAATATCTTTCCTAACTCACGTAATCTTTTCTTAACAGATCTTTCAGTTTTTACATCCGTTAATAAGCTTGCAATAATTGAAATACATTTAGGATTTTCTTCAAACTGAGTATATAGTGCAAGTAATTCTTCATCATCTTCTTTGCTCCAATTTGATACAGCTTGTTTTTCTTTGTTAATTTTATTCTTAACAAAGCTTTTAGCTTCAAATACGTCCTCATTTCCTGTTGTTTCCATTCTCTCAACAATAGCAGCATCTATCCCTTGTTCATAATTAGTAAAAATGGACTTGAGCCTTTCAGGATCTGCTAGTCCAAGTCCCCTTGCAGAGTTCTTTGAAAATAACAACTCCATAAAAACAAACTGATTAACTTTAGCTATTTCCCAAAATTGGTGTATTACATGTCTTGACAATAGGACAATATCTTGTGCTCCTTTATCAGATTTAGAAGAATTGAGAAAACTTTTATCACTCAATATCTGAGTGAAAGTTATGAAATATGATAATTGAAAGAATAAGCCACAGAATAACTGCATAAAAGGCTCTTGTTGACCATCTTCTCTTAAAATAGATACTTCACCTTGAGGACGAGTTGTAATTATTTTTCTAGCAAGCCTTGCAGTGTGCCAATTAATATTTGAATGATTGGTTGAGTAATTATTAACTATAAGCATTAAATTTGAAACCACTCTTCCATCACAATAATCACTCATCATCTCATCTAAACTCATCAACTTAGTTTTTTCTGTATAGTAGTTTTCATTAAATCCAGAAAGATTTTCATCCAGGTTATAATCTTCCTCATCATTATAATCTTTAATATCTGTTGGTTTATCCCTTCTTCTCCTCCTAGTACTTACTAAAGTTTCCCCACCAAGCTTACTGAATAACTTGATCAGTCTATTTGATACCTCAATAGAATACAAGAATAATTCTGGATGATGAGAAGTTTTTGTGTAGTGCTTTAATATCCAAGATAAACAATTCATTATATCCAGTCTAATTATAAATGCAATCAAAGATATGCCCAGATCTCGGATAGCTTCTTCTTCAGAATTGGATACTAAATGTATAATTTTCAATTGCTCATTTAAACAACGAATAGCTATCCTAGCAACTTTGTGAGATTTATTCTTTAATAGCCTCTCTCTAGCATGTAGCTTTATCGTAGAGTATATGAAATCGATTGCCATATTTTCCTTTGTGTCCAAAAGGTATTTTGTTTCCATCAACAACCTAGTTAACTCTTCTTTGATTAACTGTTTATCTTTTTCATTTTTTGTAACTTCAAAGAAAACTGTCCTTTTATAAGCAAGTACCCAAGTCATTAAACTGATTAATCTGGAAATATCCCATAATGTATGCTTTTCACTACCACTTCTAAGTATAATAAATATCTTTTCAATTAATGCAGGAAGCTTTAACTTGAAAAAATTCTCCAAAAATTCCCCTAATATCTGCACAGTCTCATCATAACTTTGTGATCTATTACCATCAAAATTTGCCATTGTTCCTTCTATTGTTGGATAACCATACATCTCAAGACAATGAAGAGTTCCTCCAGCCGATTGCATTGCTCCTATAAATATATCTATATACTCATATATTTCATCTATATCAAAATCATATCTATATTTACTCACCCTCTGTGAAGAAACACGTTTTGAATTAACTACTTGGCCAGTAGTTCCGCCATTGTTTTCTTTGATCCTTCTTCTGGCTAATTCTGGGTTAAATCTTGAGTGCCTATTCATCAATGAGTTGGAGGTAAAACCACTTGAACTACTTTTTTTTATTAACTTCATCTTTTCAACCAAAGAATTCTTTAATATTTCATTTTCTGTTAGATTTCTCTTAATCCCAAAAAGTTCATTAACAAAATCAATGGGTTGAATATTACATATTAAACCATAAATATACTCTAATATTCTCCAAGGAGCAACAACATCAGAATCATCGATAACATATTCTCCTTTAAGATCGTTCAATAAGCTTTCACTATCATCTTGAATAATTTCAAGTATTCCACTCTGAACCAAATTACTAACTAAGAGCAAATGTACTGACCTTACTCCAAAATTAGCTAAAGACTCGGTAACTACTTGATCCTGAATCTTTAAAGTTTGTATCAATAACCCTTTAATCATCCCAATTCTGTTCTTATATTGTTTAAGCCTCCTTTCAGCTTTTTCATTAATCATAATGATTTCATCTCTTAAATTACGGATCATCTCAAGCCTTTCTAACCTTTGCATTTTATGCCGATCATTTTCATCTGTTTCGTCCTGCTCATCGACCAAATCCTTAGATTCATGCTCGTGGCCTTTTTGGGTGACTTCTTCTCCCTGTTCTTTATCTTGATCCTTCAAAAAGGCTATCTGTTCTTCTCTATTCCTAAGGTCTTCATTGTCTTCTTTCAAAAAACCATGGTTTTGAATAACTTCCTTAAGCTTCCTATACAATATTACAATTTCTTTCCAAAATGAAATTGAGCATAATGAAAACTTTACTTTTTGCATATTCTTCAAATATGCCTTACATTTCATTGACTTTGAATGAAAAGATCTCCAACTTTCATCAGGAGCAACTGTTAACCAAAATAAAACTTGAATTATCAAACTTTGTATTTCAATATTGTTAGTTGATATATTCCATAGTGGCATTAATTTTGTATTTACTACATTCCATTCACATAGCATTGTTATTGCATATCTCTCAGAATCTGCTCCTCCTTCAATCTCTCTTTTTATCAGCTTTATTATATCCCTCAAATCATCAATAGCGTCAACACCAACTACCCATGTTTGGTTTGGCTTACTATTTTTTTCTGCTTTAGTTATACTCTTCCTTCCTTCAAAATTTAATTCATTTTGAGCATTACATTCATTTACTTTAACAATATCAATAGACTCATCAGCTAAAGGCTCTATCAAAGAATTAATATAATGAAGTAATTCAACTCCTATGGACTCCTTGTCTTTAATATAAGTTTCTTCCATGCTATTCTTATTTCCCAATTATCAATTTTTTTCTTATCTTATTATTTAAATTATATTCTTGTTCTTAGTCTTAAACTAAAACTGATTATTTTGAACTTTCTAAAATTAATTATTAATTTAATTTAACACTTTTATATTAACTTGATTTAGCACTAATATTGAGAATAAATAGAAGAAACCTTACTTATCCAATAACCAACAAAAACCCAAGTTATTAAGCAATCAACCATCAATTAGTGAGCAATCTCCATGAATCCAATCCTTTCTTCTTTATTTAAATTGTCTTTTGTTAAACTATAAATTACCTTTTTTTGTACTCATTAACACATTTCTTTTTACTCTGCCCCACATTTTACCGCCAAAAATGCAAATATTACTCTGTAATCACAATTGCATGCATTCATGTAATTAACAAAAAACATATACCGGCGTGAAAGTCAAATTATTAATGTATTATTTATGTGGACAATCAAAATAAGCTGATTAGGTCTAAAAAAAAAGCAAGAGATGGAAAGTAAATAAATTTTGGAGATTTTTTACTGTAAAAAAAAAATAATAAATATATCATTATTAAAGTAAATAAAGAAAGATATTTAATAAGTCAAAGAAAAAGAAAGTATGAATATTCCTCAAGAATTTCAGGGAAATGGAATGATTGCTTAAGGAGCTAAAGCAATCCATCGTCAACACTATTGACAGCTGCTTCAATTTCTTCTTGTGAAAGTCTTCTTGCCTCTTCATCATCGTTATTTTCTTTATTAACAGGCATATTCTGCGGATATTCCATAGCTTTGATAGCATTACTTCTAAGGAGAAGACTAAAAGCAATACGAGAATGGAGGTTATTGAGCATTGACTCAGAACCATAGGTTTCACATTTCTGTTGGCTCTCTACGCATTTAATATTGTCATTAATCTTTGCATCAACAACCTTATCAAAAATTGCTTTAGAAACTACTCCCTCAACATCATGAGAATTGTCCCAACCAAAATGTTCAGCAATATCATCCAGATATATTCGGTTGTAAGATGAGCATATAGTCTTAAGTCCAGACCTAATAACATTATGTGCTAGCCTTTTAATCAATGAAAGTGTTCCGTCACGTTCATAAATTTGGCCTTGTTTCTGAAGATTCAAATCAAATTCTTTCATATCACCAGATCTTACTGCTTTTACAAGCTCAAAATATGGTGCTAATCCTTTTCTCAAATCAGTTGAATTAAAAATGGAGCGATCTGGGATTTCTCCCATGAGCATTTGAACCACAATCGCAAACTTCTGAGCTGAAAGAGCAAAATTAAGTGAACCTCTTCCTTTAGTTTGAGGAGTTTTTCTAAGTGACTGCGTAAAACTATTAAAAGCCATTTGATATTCAAGTTGAGCAGAGTAAATTCTACCAGAGTAATATAAATATCTTGCTTGTTGTATTCCAGATGAAAGATTTTCTGGATAAACCATCTTCTCTAATGCTTTTAATCCCAAATCATATCTTTTAGTCAACACATAGTTTCTAAGGATCAAGTTAATACATGCAGCCTGAGTCATACTATTGTGATTTAACACAGCATTTCTGTAACACTCTAGGATTTCATTCTTAATATTTGTAAATTCACCACAAATTTCGTGGATTCTTGAATAAAAATATATAACCTTTGAAACTATTTGATCCATTGTCTGGCTTGTGCTTCTTTTACAATATTCAAACAAAATCTTAGAAAATTCTAAGCATTCCCGGAAATTACTTCTCTTTAATTCCAAGGACTTTTCTTTTTTTTCTATATAATTTTCTGCCCTAACACTATACATTCTTATAAGAACTAAAAGCCCCAAAAGTGTAATACATTCCTTTAAACATGGCTTCATTGAATTCCAATCCATCTTTTCTATCATATTAATTGTCTTCTTATTTTCAGATTCAACATTTTCTGGTTCGTCTTTCATTTCCACATCATTCTCACACATTAAAAACTCTAAATCTAAATTCAATCTTAGTGATTTCAACATTAGAATATTCGATTCTTCTGGCTCTTGGGTCATTATCATCTTCTCAAGGCCACTTAAAACTTCCAACATATATTTCCTCTTTAAATTACTCCTACTCAAACTGCATAATCTCAAAGCACGCCCAATTAATCTTTGATCTGCCGACTCCACACCTCTTTTAATCAAATCCATTGAAGATATTAACTCAAGAACAAACTTATCCACAGAAACAGTACTGGCCACATCCTGCTTGGCTGTAGCCTCCTGAGTGTTCTCCACATTGGTTTCTTTATTTTCTTTTCCCATATTTACCCTCGCCTTCCTACCAATCACAAATAATAATTAATAAATAAAATATTGTTCTATTAAAATTAAACTTTTCGAATATTTCCTTATCCTCCAAAGGCTATATACGGCTTTATATTCTCTATATTTTCTCTAAAGTTACCCACAAAATCTCCTGATTATTTTTTTATCTGCTGTAATAAAATAACTTTAAGAGGGGTATTTTTTAATCTTATTACACTCCATTTTGGCGCCAAAAATTCTCAATATTTGATTTACTAATAATACATGCTAAAACATTTCTAAGTAAACCACAAATAAATATTTTTTACAAATTTTTTTTTTCTTCAATTCCTGCTGAATCTCAAAATTTCGGATATATATTTTCTAGAAACTAACACTTAAATCACTTCTATATTTTTTTTATTGTTTACATAACTTAGTAGTTAATTAACAGGTAGAAAAGTAAGGCTGGAAGGGTATTAAAAAAAAATCACTTCAATGAGATATTTGTTTGGTTTAAAACTATTCAAAAGAGGTTTTTTTAGAACAAAAAAAATACAAATACTAGAGAAAGTGTGTTTGAATAGTCCAATGGGAAGCTGAACTATGAATAATACTGAGACAATAAGGTAAATATTGATTTCAATAAAACAAAAGGAAGCAGAAGAGGCGTAGATTCTAATTATAAACATTCAAAGAATTAACGTAATCCACTTTTTTTCCTTTTAAGTCTCAATTAAGATACATAGAAACTAAACACCAAAAAAAAAACATCATCTTACATTAAAAGTGATTAAATAACCCCCATGTAAGGGATATAATCCAAATCTAATTGCTAATTCCTGATATATCTATACATATATGTCAAAATTTTAAAACCTTTATTAATCAAATATAATTATAAAAAGTTAGGTGTAAACCATGCGATTCTACCCTCATCCAAATCAACTTTACATATACTGTATATACAATAACATCATCATTAGCTTTGTTTCATTGTTAGAAGTCTCTATTTTTTCTCCATTTCTCAATTTCTCTTTTCTATTCTTCTAATCAACTCATTTTCCTCCTCAAAAACTCAAAGTAGACTCTATACAATAAACATTTTAGACCAGTAAACCGTACTTTAACGAAGACCTAACATCATTACAGACCCGAAGCTTAATTCAGAATCCAACCCAATATAAAATCTTAATTTACTTATATTTGTGGAATCCTATTGCTTCTGCTCTTTCACGGAAGCATTGTCTGCAAATGTTCAGTGAATACTTTCTAATTAAACCATGATGATTGTAACAGACACGGCAACATCTGCTACCTTGACCGTAAGTTTTTGGATGAGAATTGTAAACCTTGCTGTAGCCCATTCTTAATTTTATTTGTGTTTTGTTTTAATTAATTAAAACTCCTGTGACATTTGCTCTTTTTTTTCAAAATATACACCTTTTACTATAACCGCCTCTTTTTTTCTTTATTTATATTATACTTTTTCCTTTTAAACTATATTTACATTATTTATTATTATTATTTTTTTTTAATTATTTAATTTTGACTTAATTCCGTCTCAAACTCATGTCTCCAATGTTCCCGCCCAAATTTCTATACCGGCATTATATTATTATGTAACAAATAACATGTAATAGAAAAAAGTTTAATTTTTTTCAAAATTCTTATGCATTTCTTTCGAAATAATAATAATAAATA